TTGTACTTGGTTTTCATATGATGAAGCCATAATCTTTCAATCAGTTTAATTGAGGTCTGGAGCTGGCATGTCAGTAACTGCTAGTAGTCCTTTGTTCATTTATGTATCATTGTCATTTTGCTTAGTTTCTTTTGTTACCTATTCTGACATCGGAATCGGACTTCTTTTAAACTGAGTTTTACTGTGCGTATTGCTATGTGTTTCTTTATTCTACATTGGCTAGAGGTATTGGGGGAGGGTTGAGATCTCACAAAACATGTTTAACCCCGCCGCATTTTTGCGCCTGTCCCAAGTCAGGAGCCTCTTGCCTTTGTTAGTCTTGTATGTTTTTTAATTTTAGTTCACTTATATGTTTTGGAGTTTAGTGTGACGTCCATTTTCACTGAACTAGTACACAATTTTATTTAGGGGCCAGCTGAGGACCACCTCCGGTGCGGGATTTTCTCGCTGCGTTGAAGACCCTTTGGTGACCTTCGGCTGTTGTCTACTCTTTGGTCGGGTTGTTGTCTCTTTGACATATTCCCCATTTCCATTCTCAATTTTATCATAAAAAGGTCGAGCAATTCAATGTCAGTTTCAAATTGATCTGGAAGGATAAGCATATCCTCCTCTACATGTGGCACCTGTCGTGTTACTCATGTAAGTAAACAGTCGGTGATTAGTCTAATTCGGTGATGTCACATACGAGGAAAAGAGATCACTTCAGGTGAAAAGCAAAGGAACAGCACTTTTATTGCTGTTCTTCATCTCATCTTCATCACAGTGAGGCACTCAAGTGTGTTTTCGACTTATGTTTTTGTATATTCCTTTGATATCTTTCGCCTTTCTTTATCAGAAATTTTTGTTTGATTATGAGTGCTTTTTTTACACAGTATGATTGTACCATCCCTTAAACACGGATTTTGGATCTGAGTAGGTTATATATGAAGCGAAGTTGGACCAACTCTTTCAATTTGTTTTGATATGAATACTGTTTTCCACTATTGAATGATGAATACTTGTGTAAAGGAAAGAGAAGGAAAATGTTTTAATACTATAGAAGGGGCTTAAATTGTTTGTACTCTAACATATATTTTTATTATTTTTGTATCCACATCTGATTTACATTCAGTTTCCAACAAACATGACCTTAATATTCCTAAGGCTGTCTAGTTTAATGTTGTGGTTATTTTGGTTTATTGCATTAAATGCAACAAAACCCTATTGTCACTGACTTGATAGTTACATTTTCAAGGCCTCGTCATCTACCTTTGAGAACACAAAATGGTGCAGTGAGGTCAACATTCTTAAAATCCTAATGTCCATTTCAAGCAATACATTAATGATATATAAGTAATAAAAGGATGTGTATGTTTATAACCATACTTTTTATTTAAGAAAACTACTTTATAGAAAATTACAAGTTGTCCATTGGTACGAATCTATCTTAAAATAGGTTCATCTATAGATTGAAGTAATGGACAAAGGAAGATAACTCCAAATCAAATATTTTACAAATGTGTTCCACTGCTCAATACAACTAATGTTTAATTTTAAGTTCACATTGCTAAAGAAAGCAATATTTATCCTTCAGTGTTCACAATAATTTATACAAAGGGAGACAATTGAATGCACATTATCCTTTTTCATACACGAGGGGGTGGACAGGGGTGATCTTAGAATCTTTTTTTCTCTCCCACCTATTTTTTGTCTCCCACCTCCCACCCCCTTCCTCCCACCTCCCTCAAAAGCTGTCCACCCCCTCATACACGTATCTAATTACTTCTTATACTTTAAAGAATTTACAATTGATTTCAGCTCTAAACAATTTGTCAAAACATGAACATGCTCAAGAGATTAGCATATGGTTTCAAAATTAAAATCGAAATAGGACAGACAAAACAATGGCCTATAAATATATATTATATCTAGGATTAGGATAATTCCCACAGATAACAACAAAACAAATTAATGATTGAGTGACACACACTTCTGGTGCTCTGGGAGGATGCATAGTTCTATCTTAACTAGCTGCACTGATTATGTTACTAATGACGAGTAAACATCGATGATAAATAATTAGGTTTGTCACGAGGACAGGAGGATGGGAACGTGGCTTATATTAACGGAACATTTGTAAGGGGACGACAATTTGATTTTCTGGCGGAGAAGAAGATTTTGAAACTGAATGTCATGCACTAGTAAACTTATTTTGTTCTGAAACGGTCATTTTGATATGAACAGCTCTTAAAAGATCTGAACAATAAATTGTTAAGTCATTTTCAGTTTTTCAGTTAATTTTTTGACTTGTCCACTGCGGTCAATTCATGAGAGTATAGATCATTTGCTTGCTGTCAATTTAGATCTGATTGTTGAAATGGTCTTACCCGAATAGTTTAGTCGTAATACTCTGGACTTCGAGGTGCGACTGTGATGTCAGATCGGACTTCGGTTTAATGAACGGACGTCGATCTGGGTCTAGCAAAAATTCTTGGTGGTTGAAGTTTTTCTTGAACGTAACTCTAACTTATTTTTGAATTGACTGTGCTGATAAATTTATTGTTGTTTTCTTCAACGTCCAGTTCCAAAATATTAAGCATATACCAGACGAGAATACATTTGATAGATGGGTCCTGTAATGCAGATCGAATGGAGTAAAGGACTGGTAATTCAGACTGCCACTGAAACAACTCAATCTCAAGCGGAAGTCCGTTTTGCATTGCGGGATGTATGAATAACCGTATTGCATTAACTCTTTGACGGTTCCGTAGGTGGTTTGTTGGGAGACAAAAATTTTGCCCGTGTCCATGGCCATCTTAGGAGTAATAAAGCCATGGTAGAGCAGTGAATTTTGCATCCTCTAAATCGACGTCCAATAGGACGCCATACATAAATAAAACGAAGCCCCATCATAGTCTGCTTTTATTTCAAGTTTGATCTCTATTTGTGTTACCAGCAGTGATTTTTTTCGGTTCTTATTATGTTGCATAAATATTTCAATAACTGAGTTGACTAATGAAAGGAAACGACAAATAAGACAACACCCTGTTACAAAGAAGTCACAAAACGTAGGAGTGTACGGGAGTAATTGACAACAAAACAAGCACCGACAACAGATAATATTGGCTTATTCATTGCATGGAAAACCTTAATCCAGTCGACCTCTATATGTGCATTGTCTCATTCCTTTCATGTTCATATTTTTGTTTACAGCATAGAAGCTCAGTCACCAGATGTAGAGATATTGTCATAGCAAAGGATCAGATATGCCGGATTCATCATTTTGAAATTGATATCAATACTTGTTTAAATGAACTCAATGTTAAAATTATGATATTAAAATTTGTAGAAATTGTACTGACTTTTTACTTAATTTGTCAAAAGTGTCTTTCTGAAAATTCGTGAGGTTTCAACTATTAAGTTCAAATTTAAATTTCGTGTTCATATCTTCAATAAGGCTAAAAGAAATTAGCCTATATACGCCTGCATATGGAGTATATATCTCCCATTTGAAACCATATTCCAGGGCTTGTATTTTCTATCATGATTTCCTTTATAGATGGTTGCTGCTCACAAGGAAGCTATTAAACCAAGAGTTCCAAGTTGTGAAGTTGAAATCATCCCTTCGTAAGTTTTACGGACGCCATCACGAGTTGGGTGACCGTTATGGAATATCAGTTTCACAGATGATAGCAGATATGTTCCTAATGTCGTAACTACAATCCCGTTCCCTTTTCTCGAACGTGACCTACCGAATTAGACTTATTACCGGGTTTGTACTAACATGAGCAACACAACGGGTGCCACATGTGGAGCAAGATCTGCTTACCCTTCCGAAGCACATGAGATCACCCCCAGTTTTTGGTGGGGTTCGTTTTGCTCAGTCTTTAGTTTTCTATGTTGTGTTTTATGTTCTATTGTTTTTCTGTTTGTCTTTTTCTTTTTTAGCAATGGCGTCGTCAGTTTATTTTCGACTTACGAGTTTGAATGTCCCTCTGGTATCTTTCGCCTATCTTTTGTCTATAACATCAGTATAAACATGTATGCTTTACAATTACATTCAGTAAACGTATTTGCAACTATGAAGTCATATCAATACTCCAATAAAAGGACGTCGATCAGAGAAGCCAGGAATGGATTTGAGAAAGCGAAAATGGACTTCGAATAAAAGAGATCAGAATTGGTCGTCGATTTGAAGTCGAATTGAATTATAACGTCATATATGACTACGATTTGAGGAACAGTCTTCGATTAGTGAAAGTAAAATAACAAAAATACCGAACTTGAAGGGAAATTCAAAACGGAAAGTCCTTTATAAAATGGAAAAATCAAAAGCTCAAACACATCTAACGAATGGAAAACAACTGTCATATTCCTGACTTGGTACAGGCATTTCCTTATGTAGAAAATGGTGGATTAAACCTGGTTTTATAGATAGCTAAACCTCTCACTTGTATGACAGTCGCATAGAATTCCATTATATTGACAACAATGTGTGAGCAAAACAAACAGACATAATTGGTAAAATGGTCAAAAATCGGGGTACAGTCAACAATATAATCTTAATCACTATAAAAACAAATAACAGTTTCAACAAAGAAAAACAAAATGGCATATAATAGACAAAGTACAAAAGCAAAAATGAAAGACAAGAACTCAAAATTGACCATATCACAATAACACAACGGCGGGATGAATAAGTATCGATCCACGTCATAGGTATATAATCAAAAATGGATAAACAGTAAAGGTTAAAAATATACAAGGACAAATAAAAGAACACTTTAACACGTAATTAAGATGATAAACAACGTCAGTACCTAGAAACTATACTTCAAGACCATCATGTATTATTTGTGAAGTTGATAAGGAATATTTATCAACAAAGTCTTGGTATCTCCTAATGACCGGACGTTGGCCCAACATACTTATTAAAAAACGATATATGCTGTGGAACATTTAAAATAAAAAGATTGTCCCCTTTTTAGTAAAAGTAATACAGACTTTGTTTGTTTCTTCACTATTTTATTGATGTTAATACATGATGAAGTAGATTATAAGTAAAATCTAACATGAAATAAGTGTTCAATAACCTATGAATTCATACCTTCGGGCTATATCGTCAGTTGTTTCCCAAGTAGAATGCTTATATATCTTACATGCTTTTGGCATGAGTTATGAGTTCATATCTATACTATTAGTTCTAAGTCAATACATAGATGAGAAATCTTTTTTGCGTGATACATCTTCGCGTATATATGTCCTAAGAGGAACTCTTTTTGATATAAATTGCTCGGCATTCTTATTTTTTAATTCGATTTGATTTGCCTCGGAGTTCTCGGTGCTTCTGCTTCTCTTTCTGCCTCTAACTCTTCCTCTTCCTCTATTTCTATCTGTTGTAAACGTCTAAGTGCATCACTTACTATGCACAAATCGCCACGTAATTCACTAACAGCATTGGCAATACAACGAGTGTTGTTAAGTACGTCAACAGTTTGTGTGTATGGGTTATATCGGACAGCAAATGGTCTTTTAATAGTACAAGCATATTGTCTAAAAAAAATTAAGGCAACGTTTAGATAAACAGTTTGTTGTTGGAGTTTATATTCTTGAAATTTTCCTTCTTGTAAATGAATTATAAAATATAATCTTACCTTTGTAGTATATACCTGTATTACAAAATAAGTTTTTACTTGATCGACTAAAAGTGAAGTTAATTTTGATGCATGCTGTGAACAATTAAATGCTGAATACAAAAATAGGTCATCTTCAAGTAAATTTTAAGAACTTGGACAAAAAGGTCTTGGTGAGTATGTTTTTTTTGCGATTTTATATCTAGACTGCAATGTTGATTGAATGTTTGATCGATCGAGTTGACAACATAGAAATCTAGTGGTCAACTCATTTCATCCTATTCAATCATGTTATACAATAGAAAAAATATAGTGGAGTAGAAAATAATAATAAAACACAAATACATAATTGATTGTTTTCTATATAACACCTATATGTATTTATTTATTGAGATATGCTAGAAACGTAATACACAAATTTATTGTTTTTGCTACATCTGCTGTCTTATTTAATGTTTTTCATGTGTTCGTATGTTATTTTATGTTGAATAATTCTGACTAAGATAAATACTACAGTTAGAATCAATTACTTACTACAAAAATCCAATATAAGTTTTGTTTGTAAATATCCAGTACATAAAATTATGCAAGTGTGTTAGAACCAAGGTTACAACTCCATCAGGCAATACTGACCTTAGGGGGTTTTGGCTGTTAAGACCCTTTTGGTGTTTACGCCTTAAAAGGTATGCTTGTTTTGGCTTTTTAAGCTTTTGGAGACTATCGTACCTGATGAAGGCTATGCAAAAAACAAATGTTGCGCGCAAGGAAATCATAGCAATTGTGTTGATATGATTGTAAATGTACGCTTACACGATTATAGCCACACAAAAAAATAGGCCTTAGAAGTTTTGCAACATAAGTTCTTAACCTATGTACAAAATGAAATTATTAAAGGAAATCTGACAATAATACTTCCAGAAGGTATTACCAGAGATATGTGTTATATGTCTCTGGTATTACACGCTCATCAATGATACCAGGAGTATAATTTAATACGCCAGATTCGCGTTTCATCTACATAAGACATAATTGAAAGTTGAACCAAATCTGGTTATGGCCTATTATGCCTGGGAGTAGAAATTGCTACATTTAAAAAATAGTGCATCTTTTAATTGATGTCGACTGTAACATCAGTGTGTGATACTTCCAGAATTAAGTAGTCCAATACCCGATAGCAATGAATTATAGTAGATATCAAAGTCTTATTAGTATGGTACTTCCGTTATAAAATTCTTCACATTAAGTTGAGACCACGAAATCAGAAAAACCAAAAGGAAACAATCCGTAAAGTCCTTTAATCACACTTAAGATAACCTAAGTTACATATGTCATAACTGAAATATAAGTATACCTCATACGGTCCTTTGCCTCCTCGAAGCTTTCGGTATAAAAGTATACATCTTGGTAAGTGGTTATAAGACATTCCTGTTTAGATGTTCTAACTGGTTCAAATGGTATTTTCCTGGACTTGTCCGTTAATGCATGCTTGAAAAATAGAAATATTACTCAGACAAAAGTAAGATTGAATGCATATAGTGAATATTGCCCATCATTTCAGAAAGCGTCCGTTATGGTTTTACAGTCACACCGAAAATGTTCTCAGATAATAGTAATCAGTCATTAGTATTATAATTTATTTCAACTTCTCTTATATTGAGATGATGGTTAAAACTTAACATGCATGAAGCAACACCAATAATTGATTAGAGCGGTTCATTCAATTGTATACAGGCACCATAGAAGAAGTTATTCGATGTCAGTTAAAACACAAATACAGGTAGAAAAAACATAGAATGGAAGTATCAAAAAGTCGAAATCGTATAAACTCTACCCTGAGTGAGTCCAGGCGCTTGGACGGGCCAAGCAAATGTCTTACCTTAAGTTCTCCAATAGAAGAGAGAAGTCCAGCACCGTATACACGCATAAGCCCGTCTTGTTTACATAATCCAAATTCAATAGTAAAGAAGTAAAGCTGGAAAATAGAAAAGAATCTTTATAATGCAAAGATGCGACGTAAATGAACTAAGTACCAGTATACACATGATTATGCTACTATATATCAACGTGGGTTATTTTTTTATAAACAATAGCTGTTTTTGACAACTTACTGTAGCTAATTTCTGTACTGCTTCGTCACTAGCACCAAGTGACGCCAGTCCCAATTCTTGCGAAAACTGTGCAAAGCTAGGATCCGCTAATAGTGGCATGTGTCCAAGTAATTCGTGGCAACAATCACTGCAACATGAAACATATATGTAAGACAACCACAAACAGCTTGATAAATACATGCAAATGATTACTGGCTCATACTGAACCATTTTCAAATTTATGAGAATAAACTATATTTCACAGTTTATTCCAGCGCTACACAAGCTCTGTCTTCTTTTCTATACCTCTTGAGACTTCGCTTGTTTACGAAAATAAATAATAAAGTCTCGTTTACTATTGGTCTATTATAGTACATTTTTATATAATAAAAACAACCAGCAATGGCAATTTTTCGTCTAAAATTTGATTTTAAACAGTGGAATGCCTTTTGCCTCTGAATTATTAGATATTTAATGAATGTTTATAGCTAGTGATTGTGTTTTGCGCATTGTCAGCTCTAGACACCACCAGGCAAAGCTATATTCGATTTTTAAGTTATGTTGTTATGGTTTTTAGGTCTCAAGTGTCTTACGTTTCTGTCTTTCTAGATTTGCAGCGTACCAAATGTAGGATATTTAAGAAACACGTGTTATGAAGCACGAAAATCATATTACATATCGTAATTTTTGTATAAATCATGTACATACGGTTCAGGTGTATATAAGGGATCTGAACTATGTCTTATATACTGTGTACAATGAAACACTCGGAAAGCCAAACCAGCTAGGAAGTCACGTGATGACAGGTACCCAGCAACAGGACGAAGTTGAAATCCTGTTTTCTCTGTAAGTAATAATTAATATAAAGCTAACATTATAAATGAATCAGAAAGCATTAGAGAATCCGGACATTTCAAATTGTTATAAACTAAGAGTAAAACTGATTTTATTCATCTATTTACAAAGTTTTTTTTCCAATTCATTGGACTAAGTTAAGTATGAAATACATGGTTGATTTAAAAAAGAATAATACCTTTTAAAAATTCGGATACATCCTCCAGCTGTGGCACATTATCTTTCCTGTAAGAAGTAATTTTATAACATTAATCAAAGTACGTGTATGTAAACTATTAATTAAGATAGCCAACTCATCAATACAACTTACCGCTAATTGTCCACTTACTGCATGGTATCACGGACGTTCCCGTAAATTTTGAGCCACAAAAGAAAACGTCGATGCCACAGTGCAAAAAGAGGCGGACGATACCAAAGTGAGAATCAAAGTCGAAGAGAGACCGAAAGATCATGGCAAATAAACAATAACGATGAAAAGACTAACAACAGGCTCAAAAAAACTACATAGAAAACCAATGACTGAGCAAAACGAATCCAGCCACTACCGGTAGTTATCTCAAGTACACTAATTTCTACACGTGCTGCACATGGTAAGTACACACTTGATGTAACCAAAAGAAATCATGATAGGAAATGCAGGATCTGTTATATTGTATCAACAAAGAGACTCCATATGCAGGCGCTGATGGGATGAACATACATAGAAATGGAAATTTCTCAACTAAAAAGCCGAAACCATCTCTTTTATCGTAAAGTTTTGTTAAAGTGATAGTGTTGTGTGATGTCAATAGTTCATGCGTCGCAACATCTCGAGTCAAGTGTCGCAGCATGGTAAATGTTGGTAATGTATCACAATTTTGTTTTAGATATTTGTTGACGTTTTGTTTAAATTTGTATAAATATTAAAATATATCAGTACATATATGTGTGTGTATCTATATAAAGGCTATCCAGATCAGTGCTCGATTACTATAAATAAAAAAGAAGTGGCATGATTGCCAATGAGACAATAAGACCATATCTCGATACCGGGATAAGTTTGTCTGGTATTACATAATTAAAGTTGTCAATGAGGCTATCTTTTTAAAATTTCCTTTTTGGTTACCACCACAGTTGTGAGGCATCAATTCTCAAATACGTTTTCGCTTTTCTTTTAAAACATACCTATATCCGCAAAATTCAGTAAGCTGAGGAATATTTCTTAAATATTCTCGACATGCATGTGAAGGATAAAGCTTCATCAGCTCTGTGAAAACAGTTCCCCTACAATATTAACGTTACAATGTTTAGTCAAATATATAAATAAAATTAGTCAGATACATTCCTTCATATATGTAACCGTGAATAATCAAGCTATAAATGTAATTTTATTTCCCAGTAGCCAGTACTTCGGTATGGAAATACGGATATTGTTTAATTGAAAGTTGCTGTTATAAAATTTTGATTATATTCGAGATTAATGAATGTATCTCCTTCACAAACATAGCTCTATTCCTTGTCTGGGTTTGGCTTTACTTTATGTACTTTTTATTTTTTATAAGTTTTCAACTTTTGTTAACTTTTGCCTCTAACATCACTGATTATACATTCATTTTCAAAATACTCATCTTTTGCAGAAAAAATGGTACTGTTAATGTTATTTCAAACTCCAATATTCAAAAACCAACGGCAAATACAAGTACAAATCAGGAGTTTTAATTACACCCTAAAACTGAGGTTTTATGGATAGAAATCCAACAAATCCATGAAAAAAATGATTATGTTAAAATGGTTTGGAGGTTGACAATTTGAAAATTTTCGACTAATTTCGTTGAATAATACATTTTTTTAGTTTTAGTCTTAATTTCAAATATAAAAAAATCAAACACAAATCAATGATAATTTACAATGACCTGCAATATGTCATATTGATAAACCATTTTGAATAGATATGTTTATCTCTAATCTTATTTTGCCAAAAATGTTCGAAACTTGTTTCTAGTATATGTACTAACCATGTTGTAACCTCTTCTTCAGTATAATCTATTCTAGGTATAGGTTCTCCGCTGTCAAAAGATAAGGAAAATATAATGTCAGTTTTATGTGAAAAAAATTTACGAATTCACTCTTCGTTATTGTAATGTATTTCGTATCGAACAATAGTCTCTCCTGTCACTCATTCTCAATAAACGCTATGTTTGTTAAGAGAAATTACATGAATTAACATAATTCATTTATTAGTTGAAATTTGGCTTTTAACTTGTATTCCTTAACTGCGAGTACTCTAAGATCGGCACTGTGTGTCCTTTGTGATTCCGTTTGTTGTTTTGTTCTTGAAAATATCGATTTGATGATTAGAGCCTTTTTACAGATTTTTACGGTTTATTCTGATTTCCTGTTACACCACTGTCTTAGTTTTTTAGGTAGGTTGGGTGGGATTGAGCACTAACAAACATGTTTAACTCGGCCTAATTCTTTTATGTACGGTATGCTATGGGTGTTGCTCATTGTTGTAGGCCGTACGGTGACTTGTAGTCGTTAATTACTCTCTCTGGTGGACTGTTGTCTCATTGGCAAACATACCACATCTCCCTTTTCTATACTGATGATTTTTTTTATCATTTAAGAAATAAGCATACAATGTGTTCACTGGTTTTTGTATTGTAGATTTAGCAATGATGAGGGTCTCATATTTCAGTTTATACATATTCAAAAATAATATATATGTCATGTAGCTAGTGAATTGAAGTTGTCGGTTTTAATGCTGATACATACTCTGTTGTCTGTCGTTTTGTTACATTGATTTATTAGACGCAAACGTTGTAAACACTTTATTAGTTGTCAAATTATCAGTGTTGCACTTAAAGAGGTAATCAATTATATATAGATCACCTCATTTCAAGTTAAAGATCTCCTGGTTATATTTTAAGACTTAGATATTTTGAGTTGAGAATGTTCTTAATTATTCCGAGTGTTCCACAAACAATTTGTATAGTTATTTATTTATTTGGTTTTTGCCAATTTTTCGAATCGGTGTTGTTTTTCAGAGATGTCTGAAGAATTGATCATTACTTGTAATATATCCAATCTACTTGAAGCTTCCTTTATGTTTTGAACCTTCATTACATTTAGCGACATCATGATGGCCATTATATGTCTATTCCTTTGGGGTTATTTTGTAGGGTTTCTGACTAATTGATGATTTCTCCGTATCTCCTTCATTTACGTCCATCTATTTAGCTGTTAGAAATTGCTACTTTTACTAATTTGTCAGAGATTCAGCATTAAAATTTTATAAATTCATTGTAGTTTAGACCTTTTGACAGATATTGATAACATAAATCATTGGAAAAATTATTATTTCGTCTGCCATTACAAACCATAAAAAGTATCAAAGTCGTATTACCATTATTTATTGGTGTGGCTTTATTTAACTATTTGTTACTTATACAAACGCTAAAACTGATGTTTTAACACTCAAAACATTTTTCATAGAATGCATTCATCACAATTAGGCGACAATCGCCAAATCAGAATCGACCTTACTCACAAATAAGATAATACCAGTAATATTTCGACGGATTTGCCAAGAATGATACTGAGATAAAACAAAAGGTCTACAACATTAACTGATAAGCAATAAATATTCATGAGTTAGGATACAATCACAACAAATTATCCTTTTATGGCATTACCGATGTTCTATATGTCGAAATAATTTCTTTGATTTCACGTTAGAAAATTGTATACATATTTTATAGTTATCCCTCCCGATATGACGTTAATGAATCCTCGGACGTCAATTTGTTTTTACCTTAAAGGTAATCGAGGTGGAAAATGAAATTACTCCCCCAAGGCCAATTTTACGTCCTGATTTACACATAAACATCTTCAGTTTGATTTCATTCCATAAAGATAAAACAAATAGATGGTTCTAGAAGGTTAACTTAAGCTTAGTACATTTGCAGCCTTTTTATATCTAGATATTACAATGCATTTATATTACACAAAAGCAGTAAAACTATTAGGGCTTGATAAGGCTCACATGGTGAATCATCTATTGTGTGAAAAATTATACGTCTATCAATAACGTTTTCATGACTGGCAAAAGAAAATAAACCTTAAATTAGTGGATAATTGTTATCTGGATAATTCAGAACCAAAAACTAGGGAAATAAAAAGACATATACAAATACATGTTGAGCTACAAAGACCGAAGACGTTATCAGAGAAGCAAAATGTCTTAATTCAAGGATAGCTTTGTCTGAGAGAGTTGAACCCTAAATTATATTAAAACATTTAACAAAAAGAATAGACACCGACCTGTCAACATTTATGCAGGGCATGGGTCTTCTCCCGATCAACATTTCTACGACTTTAAATAATCAAGCTATTTTTTTCAATTATATACAGAAAACTCATTGTTGAATTTATATTTTCCCTAATTTTCAATGGAAATAAATTTTTTTTTCACTTTCCTTCTGCAACGATTAAATTTTTCAAGAATCATACAGTTTATCAAAAAAGATACTACTGGAATTATAACGTATATATTAGAATACAATTTCAGGTGATAATAGGCACCGACCATCATCTTTAAAAAAATTAAATTATTCCACTAGTGACATCCGTATGGTTATTTGTGGCAAGTAAATACACCAAGATAAGTTCCATGTAGTGAGTGAAGTGATAAACGAAGAACAGAGAACTGGATTATGGCCGCTACAACGTATGAAGCATATCAGTGGCCCTTTGTGACAAAGAGATTCCATAAATGATTGCCAATTGCATGTATTACTTTTTTCATAATTTCAGTTCGGTCAAGAAAGATAACTCGTACTTTTCTGATATACTGTTGAACACCAGATAGGAAGCTATATATGGAAGAGGATTAGCAGGTGCTCCCTCTAAATGGAACCGGCATTTTTCTTACAATTCAAAAGAATGTATAGAAATAACATCAAATGTATAACTCATTCTCAAAAAATCGGATAACGGATTACGATTTTGTACTTAAACTTACTATTTGTACTTGAAAGCAATATCTGCAAATATTTTTCTCCTTAATCTATAAACCTTGTCTTTGAATCCCTGAAATGTCAAAATTATATAACTGAAATGCATAGTGAAGATTTAATATATGAAAAATGTATATACTAAAAGTCAAAATTGAACCAAAAAAATGGATATATAGAAATAAGTATGTGATGAATAAATAAAAACAAGCGCGACGTTTACGCTTTTTAAAGGACATTTGCGCAACAGAACATTTTAGTCTTGGTGTTTCATATTTCTCTCCCGTTACCCGGGCTGGAAGAGATTCATGTAATTCACATGTACCATTTGTATTCCTAAGAGAGTGCTAATGACTGAATTTATCACTACCATGCTTGTGTCAGATGAAAAGAGGTCGAATAAAAATGAATTCCTAATAACAACCATGACTCTTTATTTTAAAGCCAACATAAACAGTTAATGAACAAACCACTTTATGAATGTCGTGTGTCCAAATCTCTTTTCTAGATTTGCTTTCAGCAGGAATGTTAAAACTCAAAAGGGTGTACAAATATTCAAAACAGTGTAGCGGGTTTAAAAATCAATGTTCGATCTTGAATTACCAATTGAAATAAGCTTAGATTACCAATGATGTTACATTTCCTCGGATTTTCCAGGCAATAGAATGAACACCGAGAGGAATGACGTTTCCACTTTATATATAAGTTGATTTTAATTTTGCGTTTTCAACTTATTACGATTTTATAGATAAAAAGCGCAAATGCCCTATAATTCAGTATAGGTGTATTAAAGTTTAAAGCGCAAATGTTGGAGCGCAAAAATCTTTTAGTGTTACAGGTAAAAAAAAAGCGCAAACGTCCTGTTCCCTCTTATTTTTTCGTTCATTTTTCGAACTTTATCACTGAATTTATGGGCACAGGACGTTTGCTCTTTTTTACTTGAAAAAATAAGAACAGCGCTCCAGATGCATTTGAAATACCGGAGGTTTTCTTTTATAATTCTCTTTTTTAACGTGAATAATTCGTTTAGTTATGGTGGCGCTGTTTCGAAATATTAATTCATAAAAAGTGATAATTTAATGACGTGAAGACTTTGTAACACATTGATATATCCTTAAATTAACTCTTGTCACAAAGAGTTAATTTGAGAATGTTAGCACAAATTGATTTTGTGTGAAATACAAGGCTTTTCGAGATTTACGTTCTACTCTGACATTCAAAATGACCATATATGGTTAGGAATACCTTTAAACTTGTATTAAGAATCTCATTGTAAAAACACCGACGTAGGTCATTTTTTGTGCCAAAATATTGGTCTTTCGATACGATATAATTTCATCTTTTCGTCATATCGCTGTTTGTGTAGCATCGCACCGGCATTCTAGGCGACCCAATACCTATGATGGTTTAGCGCTCACGTCAATACAATGCATGAAAGGTCTTATTTTTAATTCAAACAAAACAATTTGTTTTAGAATATTTAGAAATTAGCTCTTTTTGTATGTTATTTAGTCCATAAACTCTTATATATAATGTATTTTTATACGTAAATTCAGACGGGGCTGTCATCATTTGCCAATTGATGGCACAAAATACCTAGAAACGAAAGGATATGTAGTGTATGTTCTGTTTTGTTGCGAAAATGAACCATTTCATATTAATGCATGTCAGTAACTGCTAGTAGTCTGTTGTTATTTATGTATTATTGTCATTTTGTTTATTTTCTTTTGTTTCCTATTCTGACATCGGACTCGGACTTCTCTTAAACTGAGTTTTACTGTGCGTACTGTTGTACGTTTGTTTTTACTACATTGGCTAGAGGTATAGGGGGAGGGTTGAGATCTCAAAAAAACATGTTTAACCCCGCTGCATTTTTGCGCCTGTCCCAAGTCAGGAGCCTCTGGCCTTTGTTAGTCTTGTATCATTTTTAATTTTAGTTTCTTGTGTATAATTTGGAGTTTAGTATGACGTCCATTATCACTGAACTAGTATACATATTTGTTTAGGGGCCAGCTGAAGGACGCCTCCGGGTGCGGACGTTTCTCGCTGCATTGAAGACCCATTGGTGGCCTTCGGCTGTTGTCTGCTCTATGGTCGGGTTGTTGTCTCTTTGACACATTCCCCATTTCCATTCTCAATTTTATTATTATTATATTATGATAATAATAGTATACTAATTTCTCTGAAACATTATGTTTACGAATATTATTTTAATTGGATATTCGTATTCGTATTAAAGATTATTTTTATGGCGTTGTTATAAGAAACGTCGTCAAGGAGCTCACTCAGTGTTTAGCTGAATATATATAGATATATCGAGTCGTCATTCCTATGAGGTGTTGGATTATTAGCAATAATTATATTGTGGTTCATAAACTACTTTATGACTTGTAAATAATAAAGTAAAAAGACTATACCGGATGATCAGCATCAAGTTCTGACCCATACATCAATACTCTGTTCGCAGACTTATCTAAGTCAGATACTTTTCTAGGAAACCACGGTATATTCTGTAGTTCATCATCTGAATATAAAAGTGAACAAAACCTCAAAGAAACAGCCTGAAGCCACAAATTGGAAGATAAAACAAAATTCAGAGGAAGATGAAATACACAAAACATGAAAAACAAACAACAATAAATAAGAATATCAATTAGAAACAGTATTAAGAAACACAGTTCTAGCTTATACAGTCGTGTAGGGGGGTGGGGTGGGGTGACGAACCCATTTGCCACAGAAGGACAAGTGGTTTATACATGCACTATGGTACCATGAAAGGTGACTCATGTTTCACTCCGGTAAATGTGGTCACATTTACGAATAAGAAAAGCATCAGGATTGAATTGTGACTATGACAAACTGAAAAGTTAGCTTTTTACTTCATACTAATTTGGGTTAAAATGTTTTATTGCATAATTTTCTGTTATTCTTGTTTTCTATTTTGTTTTGACCAATCTGATTGAATGTTACATTTTCGAGGTAGGACGCACTCCATTCATTAATTTTAAAGAACAAAAACATAATCAAACACTGTACATTTCAGGACTGTATTAAAAGAAAAGCCTACAGACACCTCTTTGTTACCTACCTAAATAAGTAATTCGTGAAGCGGTAGCCGGTGATGGTGGTATTGGAAGATCGTTGTAAGATATACTGTTGACCTCTTTCTTAAGTCGCTTGATTAATTCTTCCAGTCGGATGTTATCCGTCTCTATATCCATATAAATATCATACATAGAATCACAACGCCTTGACTTCCTGGATTCTATATGAACAACATTGATATGGTGTTCCTGAAATATTTTGAAGGGAGGCTTCATCAGTAAAAGACATAAACGAGAGAACTGAAATATTTAAAATGAGGCTTCATCAGTACAAAGACAAAAAAACGACAGAAATACTTACATTACATTGATGTGAAAACAAATTTGTTGACTTTTAGATCCCTTTTTGTGTCGTTGGGGTGGTGTTTCAATACCGTATAAATCACATTTTTTTTTCAACACAAAGATTCGAATGCCAAATTTTTCAACACTCACATCAATCAATATTTGACATATTCTATTGGCTGTTCTCAAACACTTTTGCAATATATCAATTAATAAATTTTTTTGTGATAAAAATATATTGGTGAAAATAAAATAGAATAGAACTTACAGTGTTTAATCCACAAGACATACAGTGGTATGATTGTATCATCGTTCAAAGAAATAATAAGACGTCACAGTAAACAAAAACAAGAAATACTATTGTAGAAATGACCTTTATACATAGCGACCTACTCATCATCATGACAACAGACAGGGCAGATGGTATTTCATTGGCAAAGTTCATAAAAAATGGGCATTATTGTGTATTCGCCATATATCTCTATGGTCTTATGTTCTATTTGAACACATTTTGCTAGTATAAAAGTGACTTACTATGCATCAAATAAAAAGACCAAGTTGATTTTAGAATCCCAATGAAGATATTTTAATGGCAACGATATCGAGAAGATCACTAACCACTACTACTGGTTCAAGACAGGAACCGAAACGAAAATGTAGCACTGTGAGAAAATCATTAAGAATTTAATTTTATAAATCTAGGTGACACCGTGGTTTCGCGTTCACTTTGTAACCTGAAAAATCACACATCTATAGCAACACCAAGGATTGAATTTACGCCTAGTAGATGCGTATAACGTATAGTTCCTATGACAATAGAGCAGTATTGTGAGTGAGAAAACATGCACTATTACGTAGTTGACATGTCGTTATGTAGTTGACAAAATGTTCTTATTTAAACCTGTACATATATATGTTTATCACAGTGCATTCTTGTTGGGGCGATTTATTGTACATTTAATAATACACTTTCTTCATAATTATATAGTAGTATAAGTTTGTTTTATTTTTGACAAAGTGTTCATGTTTGACCCCGTACGTAACACACTACAGAATAATCAATCAACTCTGTATTAAACACATCCAGTTTTTAGTTTTAACAGTGGTAAATTAATTTTCATGGTCATCTTTTTTTTGCACAAGTCTAATTTATCAGTAGTGAAAATACTAGTCAATCTTTTAAACGAACTTCATCATACTTAACATTCAAACGTTAATACAAGTAATACATGAACAAATATTTTCAATAATTTGAAATGGATTTGGCTTTAGAAAATATTTGTAATCTGTTTTGATCTGTTGAAAATAGTGTATCTTTAGTTGTTAAAATTTGGTACTCGAGATGAAAAGTGCAATATTTTTTCCTTTAGTGTGTCATAAAATGTTAATTCATGTTACACTGTTGCGCAAGGGTCATACTAATACAATAGGTTGACATTTTTGTTTTCAAAATGTCCGTTCTGTATGAAATAAAGGATGTATTGTTGTTTCGCACTTGCTATATGGTGTCAAGAGTTGTCATGTTGAAAAAAGTATATATTCCAAAACATTTTATTATTCTCAATTGCAACGAAAATTCAAATATGTACATTTTTAAATGACTCATATACTATATACAGTGGTGATGTCTCGTTCCGTAAAGAAAAATAATTGTGGTAGATTGGAGATAGTTCTAAAATAATTAATACCTCAATGTGCAAGCCAAATTTAATAGTAACAGTGATGTTCTACGGATGTAAAATACGTGTATGGTCTCTTTTTAAATAAACAGTTAAAGAAAGTTTGAAGGAGCAATAACAATATAGAAATAGGGATATGTAGTACGATTGTCAATGAGACAACTATCCACACGAGTGCAATTATGGCTCACCGTACGGCTTTCAACATTAATAAAAACCCACACCGTATAGTCAGCTATAAAGGTCCCAAAATGACAAAATTGGAAACAATTCAAGAAAGAAAACTAACGAACTAATTTATAACAATACAAATTACGAAAAACAAATATGACAGATATGAACCAACTACAACTACTAAATTACGGGCTCCTTACTTGGGACGGGCACATACATAATGTGGCGGGGTTAAACGTGTTTGTAAACTTCTTATCTAACCTGGGACAGATATGTAACAACACAGCACAATATAAAAACAAACTGTAAAAATAAGTTGCAAATGGCTTAACTAAATAGATGGGTAAGAAACACACACAAAAAAAACCCCAAAACAAATAACATTAAAACAAGACACAAAGCACCGATATAAGAGTACTTGCAGTTACTAAAAGCTAGTTTAACGCCAATTACAACTAACAGATAAATCTTGTTCTCTCGACTAAAGTATCGATCAGTACATATCCAACGGATTTAGTGTAAGAAAGTCATGAACAAACTAAAAAAACGCATGACTTTTTGCAATGCCAAAACATAATTTAACAGAACCGACAGGACGTAGGATCATACGTATTCATAACTGTACATGTATAGCTGTATATTTAGTTATTTTCTTATTTTTCGAAGACAAAATCAATTTAATTACCGATAAAAAAATATTTAATGACTTTTTACAATGGTAAATTGATAACCTTTAGGAATATTTAAAGGATCTTTAGGTTAACATGTATCGTATCTTTAATTTACAGGCCCTATAAACAACATCAACGTAAAAATTAGGTTGTGATATCCCGTTTAAAATAAGAATTTTACAGCTACAGCCAAACTGTCTAACCAAATCTTTGTATCTGGAATAATTTCATAAAAAGTTTTAATGAATTTGTGGTTACGAATTTCCTGACTTAATAATTTACCATTTATACATAAGTTACGTTCATTGAAATAAAAAACGTCATTACAGACATTAGCATATAGCGATCGAGTTGTGAAATATACACACCGTAAGAAGGGGCCAACTAAAAATGACCGTCCTAAAAAGGAAAATTAACCTAGGGAAAAGAAAAATCGTCTCGTTTGTCTTAAAGTTTTGTATAGAGTTTCCCGTGTGACACTTAAATATCCAAATCTAGAAAAGGATAATTATCGTCGTTCATATAAGATTTACTCAAAGTAAGTTCTTTTACGTGCATTTCCTCAGTATGATTAGAAAGCTCTTGATTAATTAAAGCAAAAATATCATCAAAGTAACGGGAAGTGTTTTTAAATTTATCATTTAAATGTAATTTAGACGAATCTATACTGAGTTTGGTCATAAATTGTGATTCATAACAACACATGAACAAGTATGCAATTAAAGGAGCGCAATTGGTGTCCATAGGATTACATACAACCAGTAAAAGTGCATTTTTATCGTTTGATGTTATTTTGGTAAAGTTGTAGTTATTGTTATAGAGTTCCGTTTGTTAAAAGTTTTTCCTCTTTGTTTAATTTATTGAATTAACTAACGACTTTTCAGTTCGTCATGTCTTGTTAAATAATTGACTTGACCTTTTGTGACATGCCATATTATATAAAGAACCCGACTTACTTCAGTGCTAAATGCGAATAAAAATAAGATTGTTTAGTTAATAACTACTAAAACTAAAGTAAAACCGAAAAAAAACTTAATTTTCAAAAGTGAACATAAATAAATACCTGAAAAATCTTGAGTGCGTTCGCCAGACATCCCACTTGATCTTTAAGACTGAATACTATCGATGTTGTTTTGCCTAATCCAGAAGGGCTGTAGATGCCATCAATGCTATCCAAATTCTTTAATACAATGATAAATGAGGAAATTGAGAGTATTAGATACACAAGAAGAAGTTGACAGGGTTTTTAAGTAACAATCGAGTTGGATAAATGAGTTGTGAATCGCACAGTTTACAAGCTGTTAATCGTGTCGAACATACACACTATAGATAAAATCCCTACATCCAGGAACGGAACCTGTAAGTGTATCATGACAATCGTTGACAAATAGCATTCTAGCACAATTCTGTTTGTGCCAACAGCATAAAACCAATGAAAAGATCTTTAGACTAAGATTCCAAATTTTACATTAGTTGAATGATAAAATGAAATCAAAGATGTAGAATAGATATGAATGGTTGTCTACATAAAATGTAAGATTATTGTTCACCTTGGAGTATTTTACCAATATAGAGAAATGTTAATTGTATCTGTTTGTAATATTAACAAAACTGCTAACTGATCAGCTAATTCATGTATAGATAATATTTCAAAGATTTAAATGATACAAAGACATTGAAAACAGACATCAAATGACGATGATTCGTTAAAGGAAAACTTTTAAACATAAAAAAAAAAAACGTTGCGAGTGGGAGTTTTCAAACCTAACGCAAAATTCAGTTTTGTGTATAATATTATGTATAACATTTTGAATTCCTTTGCCGACCTTACATGACCCAAATCAATAATTACAAATCTCCTAATTTGCAGACAATCTTTGATGCTATCTGAATTATGGCGCCTTTTGATTTGCATATAAATAGGTGGATTTGTGAGCATTCTCTTTTGCAGACGTAGATGAAAAAAATCGTTGATTATGAAATATGTCGATACAACATCCAAATATGTATCTCATTTCAAAATGTCATGTTAAGGTAGATTTATGGTATACCCCCATCTTGAATTGTACAATCGCAGTTCAAAATTGGTCTAGTTATTTGCCCAAGTCTGCAAATTTGGAGACAGATTAGCAATTAAATGGTTAGACTGTTTATTTATATAATAAAAACTTGGTGATTTATTGTTATATACAAAATATTTGAATAAATATCATTTTTTCTTGTTTACAAATTCATTTTTTCAAAAGAGCCATTTAAGGAGAGATAACTCCTTTAGTAAAAAAATTATACTGGACTAATAGGGAAATTTTTAATTTTTACTTGTAGCAAGAAAACAAGTTCGGTGACACCATTTTTTCTTTTTATTTTCTTAAAACATATAATAAAACCTATCTTCTCACAATTTATTTCAAAATTCTATCTCATAGAATTTTTTTTATGCACACAAATGTGTTTTTTCATGAACAATCTAACCAAATTTAGGCAATTTTCAACGACTCATAGCTTGAAAAATAGCACGGTGACCTATACTTTTTATTATATTTTTGAAAAAAGCATAGTAAAATCTTCATTTTGGCAAATTATAAGAAAATTCTGTCTCAAAAAGTATATACTTATGATGTACCTTAAAAGAACTTTAACAGGCCCAAAAATCTTTCAAAAATATCAAAAATTAATGTAATCTTAACAAGACCAGAACACGCAGGATTACCGACAGATTCGAATAGTTAAAATATTCCAGTTCATACGTACACGTTTTAATTCTGTTTAAGATAAGAGTTTCACTTTTCAGACTTTTGAAATCGAGCAGACCTGGTTAAAGTTAATCCAAGGTTAGGTGTGTTAAGTATTCAAACATATATGTTTGCTTGATTATCGCTATGTATTCATTGCATTTCAATGGCTGCTGTTCGATTCGTAAAATGAAAAACTGACGATTCCAATAATTTTGTGTGGTATTAAAATAAACAAGGAGCTTTACACAAAGTGTTAATTAAATTTTAAAATCTTTATATATACACTACAAATTAGATGCAAATGAGCACTATCAATGGTGTTTTTCTGTTCATATTTGTCCAAGGTTTTCTTTTAGTTGGGGTTAAACAGGTCTCTTATATCCATAAACAGATTGTTCTTTAGCTTACCATGTTTCCGTTGAAGACTTTGTCATGACTATGTGTTGTACTATCTATATTCTATGCGTATTGTCTCATTACATATTCTTTCATTTTGATATTAAATTAACCAGAGAGGATGCAGTCAAAAGAGTTATTAAATTTTATAAGGAACTGACTGATACACACAATTGTGTTTAATTCCCTGTCATGTGCACACCATGTTTGACAATACAACTTTGTTGCTTTTGCTAATTCAACGTAATAAAAGTATATGACCACTTTACAATAGACATAACCCACAGAAGGAGTTAAGGTCGACTTCAATATGAACACTCTTTTAACTATTATCAATGCGGAATTAAAATTTATATTGATCGAATTGCCTTTCATAAATAGACACAATTCAAAATCATATTAAAATATAACTTGCCCTAACACAAATGTTTTACACCAATTCGAATTTAAAAAATGTCGGTACTAATGGTTTTTTTTCAAATTCACAACCATGTACTTTAACATTTCAAATTTTAATGACCAAATAAATGTTGTTTGCTTAACTCCCATTTGCAAATATTTCACGTGTATTCGAGGCAAGAATAAATTAACAACATATTCAATATATAGGTTCTGTGAAGTTAGTCGACTGGGATGAACATTGAAAAATTTAGATTGCCATTCAAAAGGAATGTATGCTGAATACCAAAAGCGTCTTTTTCTGTAATAGACAACACATGGACCCCATGCACATAAGAGTTTTTGCAAATTCCCCTCAGTGAGCAGAGAGCTTTACATTTTTCATGCAAGAGACATTGTACTTAAAGTTCTATACCGACATAACCATTACAGCCAAACGACCTTTGTTGATGAGGTTGGTAGTTTTTTAGTTTATAACGATTTTATTTGCTCATAGATACAAAAAGGATCGGACACAAGTTTAACCAACTTATGAAGTCTTCTTCTTTACATAATATTACAATAACAATTATACAGAGCATGCACAGTTCAGTAGATATATATTGAAGGATATAGTAAAATGAGGCATTTACACAGTCAGAGAAGAAAAAGAAAGAAAAAAAAAAGCCTAACGCAATTAACAAGGAAAAGGATAGAGAATTGAGAAAAAGAAAAAAAAAAAAAAAAGAAAAAAAGAAAAGAAAAATTATAAATAATAGAAAAAAAGAAAAAATAGGAAATAATATAAATATAAAGAAAAAAAATAAATGAAATTCTGTGGACACGATGTTTTTTGTTCAGTCATATCTTATTTGATTATACTACAAGGAATCTTTTTGATTTTTTTATATATCTAAAGACTTCTTTAAAGATTTCACAGTTTTCCTCGTATGCTAAAGTTTGGCTACCCTCAGTGAGCAACTGTAGATTTATTGTCACTTGTAGACGATGAATGTTGGTTAATAGATCGTTCCTTATATCGGCGTATTTATTGCAATTAAAGAAGAAATGAAATGAATCCTCACGCGGAGCGCCACAAGCACAATATGGACTTTGTATTATATTTGATTCAAATAGGTCGTTATTTAGAAATGAGGCTGAACATCGCAGCTGTGTTAAAATTACACTCAATTTCCGCGGACCATACATAAAATGCTTAGGTACAGTCTTTGCTTCGTATGTATTATTCAACAAATAGCGTTTGAACTTAGATAGGGTATCAAGTGTACGGATAGAATTATCAAGTTTGTTCCATTCTCTGATGGACGAGGGAATAAATGCAGAATTTGTTAAGGAGAGTCGACAAAAGGGGACTATTAAGTCATTGCCATTACGCAGTGAATAAACAGTTGTACTTTGTATAGTTGGGGGAATTAAATCACATAAATATTTTGGAGCGAGACCATTGTACATATTATAAAATAATTGGAGTTTTCTTCTGTGCCTCCTACTGTGAAGAGGTTCCCAGCCAGTCTCTAAATATAAATACTCGGTTTTAGTAAAGATTGGCAGTCCTGTTACAATCCTCGCAGCTTGCAGTTGAAGTTTTTCTAATTTGTTTGAATAGCAAATACCACAATTGTCCCACACTTCGCAAGCATACTCAAATATAGGACGAATATATATCAGATACATTTTTTCTAAGTTCTGTCTTTTCATCTTAAATTTTAATTTTCTTAAGACTCCTAAATGCTTTGTAATATTTTTGGAAATATTTTCTACGTGCTCATTCCACTTTGCGTCCTGGGAGAGAGTTACTCCTAAGTGTTTATGACTTGATGTGTTAGATATTGATATTCCATTGAAAGAAAAACTTAAATTACTTGGAAACTTAGTATTTGAGCAAATCATTATTTCCGTTTTATCTGGGTTAAAGGACATTAACCAATTTTTTGACCAATCATTGAGTTTGTTTAAATCATGATTAACTTCTACCTCCAAGTCTGTAATGCTTGCGGTGGAATATCCCAGCGACGTATCATCAGCAAAAAGTCTAGTCAGTGAAATTAAATTTTCGCCAATATCATTTATATACAGCAAAAATAAAAGGGGACCGAGAACAGAGCCTTGGGGGACCCCCGCAAAAACAATGGACAATGACGAAGACGAATCTCTAATAACTACTTTTTGTTTTCTTTCTACTTTTTGTTTTCTTTGAAAAAGATAATTTTTATTCCATGCAAGTAAATTTCCCTTTATTCCATAAAAATTCATTTTATATATAAGTCCATTATGCCATACTTTATCAAATGCTTTGGAAAAATCACATGAGGTTGGTATGGTCGTGTCCCACAGATGAATAACGCGTGTCCAATTTGAACGTCCTGGTGCCCTTAGAATATTTCTTTCTTTACATCTGCCCATTATTTTGGACAACGTTCATTTCACGATTTCAAAGAATTCTGTCAAAAGAGTTTTGTACAGAAATCATTAAGATAGAGGTATATTTTGCCAGGACAAATAAATAGTCTTTCATAAGTTTACGATATCAGTTAGGATTTTATAATATGCATAAAAAGTTAGTTGTTTCAATGACAGGAAATGTCAAATTAGGCAACAACACCACACAAATTATAAGTGACTTTTATTTTAAAATAAAGAATGACACTTTCGACGATTATGATATTTTAACAAAAAGGCATGCTTGACGACTAAGTGACTTAAAATGACCCTCTAGACATTAGAAAAGATTAAATGAAATTTCAATTCCAAATTTTTATAAAGCAAACATTTGCTCAATAAAAGGTTTTAATTTTCATAATAGTTTTTGGGGCAAACGGGGCTTTTGATTATTCCCATAAGTTCCTACCAAAAAAAGAGAAAGAATATAAGTATAAAAATACTTATAAGTATTATAGGCAATTGTACGGCCTTCAACAATGAGAAGATGATGTATTCTTTTATAAGTTTGCGTTTTAACAAAAATAATGAATGAACACAAAAGCGAAAGCTTACAGAGTTGAATAATACTTCTTTTACGTATAACTTTAACTAAACATTTTGTTTATTTATACTTGGTTAAATATTGAAATATATGTTGTTGGAATAAACAAGAACAAAAAGTGCAATATGTGACGTATTCCGTTGTCGGATCGACAAAGAATGGAAAAGCCAAGAAATACATTCACATTTTCGGTAAATAATTTAGAATTAAAAATTGTTTATATTTGATATGAAAGTTTAAGAAACGGACTGAAACCAATGCGATCATTGGTTTTATTGTGCATAGTGGTCAGGTGCAGAATTTTCGTGCTTTATTTTACTGAAAATGAAATTTTAACGTGCTGTTTTGACACAAATGAATCTACCATTACACAATCCTATGAAAAAGGAAATGTGGTATAATTGCCATTTAGACAACAAGCCACAAAGACCAAAAAACAAAGATGTGCCCAATTTTACCACTGTACGCCAACTCATAGAAAGCTATGAAGGGCTCCGGCATGACAAAATGTGAGATAATTCATAAGAAAACTCCAACAGCCTGATTTCTGCTAAAAACAATAAACGAAAACCTTCAAGTTTATCCAAATTCATTAAGTAAATGTTATGATAAAAACCCACTTACCTCAAGATCTGAAATTTCATTAATAGATTGTGCAGATATACTTTTACATCGCCTTTTCCTCCTGAAATTTTCCACTTTTGTAAATTGATTACGTTTAACAACTTCGTCGGCTTTCACATGTTCGGGCTTCACAAATTGGTCAACTCTTACATGTTCTGGCTTCACAACATGGTCAACTTTCACAAACTGATCATTTCTACCAACATGTTCTATTTTTCCAACTTCTCTTTTCTCTATTCCGTTTTGCATCACTTCTGGGCCGCAAAATGCCGAATTTTTTAATGCGGCCTTATAAGCTTCCATACAATTACCCAGTTTTAATTTTTGAGATTTCAACGTTAAATTAATGAAATTATATAGAGCAGTTGAAATGTAAGACAGTCCGTCTGGTTTCCAAATTGAAGAGCTTAGTCTTTTCTGAATAGTTTGATTTGCAAGTCAAATTTTGAATTAGATATAGAATTGCCAAGCGTCTCCTCAAATAGGCATCTATTTAGTTCTAGTTGAATGTTTCTATTTATATGTAGAGTGGTTCAATACATTATGAAACGTCGAATTAATTACCGTTTTACTTGTGTAGGAAGGTTTTTGAGTAACATGTCAAGCCCACATTATTGGTATGAGTCTTTGCGTATAGTTGTACTATCATCTGCCAAATTATTACGTTTATTGCACACTTATTTCGTAATACAAAGAATGTGTAAATGAAAAATAGATATTTACTGTTTTGTTTATCACAGGCATCAACTCTGTATAAAAAATACAAACCGTACAATACTGTTAATGTGATTTTATTCATTATCAAATCGTTTTCTACTAACATGAGTACGATAAATTATTACAATTATTACACTTTTTTATTATCTAATTAGCAGATTGATCTCTCCTAACACTTTATTAAGAAATCTATGGTGTGAACCAACACTCGTCGCCTAGGCTGTCAAAGTCTTTTTGAACCCGTGGAAACTCATGTGCGCACGAATGTAAAATTAAAAACAAAAACCATAATTCCACATCCAAATTTAAGCATTAAGAAAAGATAACGTCAAGAACTATTTTATGATAAGACGAAATTATAGTCCTATGCAAATCAAGTACACGATATTCAAAATATACACGATATTCAAATTAAATATTGTCTGTGAAATTATTAGCTTTGATTCAATTGGTTAAATCAGATTCAAATATTTTGAAAGGACAACAACAAAAGCGAAATTTAAAGCGTTGAAAACAAGAACAATAACACTGTGACAACAATAACTACAATAACTACAGAAATCATGATAATAACGAAAAAGAAATATTATAGATACAATAGATTCAATATTTTATTAAAGGCTCACCACATGATATTTTCACATACATATATAAAACGTAGCGTACATTAAAACTTGTAGAATATCATTAGCTTAAATAAAAAAAAACATATAAAAGTGCCAGTCTATTAAGAATAGTGGAATAATGAGAGACTATTAAAAGAATTATTATAAACAGTACTTTACATATTTTTTTAAAACTATATAAATATATGTCTTGTATTGGGAAATGTTAGTACAAAAACACAACATAGAAAACTAAGGACTGAGCAACACGAATCCCACCAAAAACTGGAATATATATATATATTTATTTTTATTGAAATCACCATATGGTAAGTTTTTTATTACCCTTTACGACTGACAGAAATGTCTGATCTGCAAAATCTACATGCCACTATATGTCATGTAATTTAGAAGAACCCGAGCTGAGCCGGCGAGGAATAGCATCACTCGTCTTACGAAAATTATATTTTATAGAGACTAGTTGGCCGAGTAAAAAAGGTCGATTGACAAAGTTCAGGTGGCGTTGCCACGATGTCACAAAAGCACGGAATAAAATTCTCTGAGGGAACAACCGCAAATTTTCACCTGGTTGTGAATAAATATAAATGAAAATGAGTGGCGAAAGATACCAAAGGGGTTATAAAACTCATAAGTCGAAAACAAATGGACAATGCCAAGGTAAAACGAAACACGACCTAAAAGTCCAACAACAGTATTTATATACAAACCACAACATAGAAAATTTAAGACTGAGCAACACAAACTCCACCAAAAACCGGGGGTGATATAAGGTGCTCCAGAAAGGTAAGCAGACTCTGCTGCACATCTAACACCCGTAGTGTTGCTCATGTAAGTTCAAAAATAGGTGATAAGTCTATTCTGTATGTTTTTTTTCGTAATAAAAATATCCATGAAAGTAAATTAAATAAATAAACACACTGTTGTTTATTGGTTGGGGTTTTATGTTGAAGCCTAGAAGTTTTGAGCGTTGAAATGTCGTCTATTGTGCTTTTTCCCATATTGCATTTTATACTTTGATTGTAATTACATAAAATCCAATGGCAAATATTTCCTACATATACGGTGAAAAAACTACAATAAATACAATATTTTCGCAGATTTTCTCAAAGTGGATGAACGGGGATGCAGGGCAGGGATTTAAGAAATTAGGCTGTGTAGGATAGTAACTGTAACTATACTTTGCAATAGACAACATACGGACCACGATGGAATTTGTTACAATTGTTATTTTCAAAGTCCCGGGAACTTCCCACTCTCCCCACATGAATCTTCGGCTTTAAAGTCACCATTTTGACCAGAAGTGTCTGTATTTATACATCCAGCATAGCCAAATGGACATACTTCTTTAGCATTGGTTTAACTGCAGATTAAAATTAGCAATGTTGCTTGTTTCTGGATCCCATTGTTTATACTGTATTATATTATATAGCATGATTTGACTTATCGAATAAAATATTGTTTAAACTAACTGCCGTTTGGAAGAAGTCAAGAAGACCATGATACTTCTATACATTTTGGTTTATAGTAAAGATTTGAAAGTGTTATCTAAGTTATTATATAATGATATATGTATACTCGCCTTCGACTTAATAAATATAATAATAAGAGTAAATGGTATGATTTCCAATATGAGACAACTTTAAAGACTAAAGACTAAAGGGAAAAGATATACTAGAGCCATCAAACTTAGTTTTTTTAGTTTTCTTAATGAATGCTTAGTTTAAAGTCAGTAAAAATTCTACGCTAATATCTGTACAGATGAATTGATGTGAATTTTTCACGCTGTATAATTTTTAAAGCCTCTCCGTTGTCGATAACCGTAAATTAACTTCCTAGATTTTGTGCGTCTGAAGCACTTTTCTGTTTTTACGTCTGAAGCACTTTTCTGTTTTTACGTCTGAAGCACTTTTCTGTTTTTACCTTCATCAGAAACGCTAAAACCTAAACAATCGAAAGCCAAGGATGTTTAAATAAGTTTCTCTAATTCTTCGTCAATTTATCCCTTTCTGCACCCATTGTATAAAAAAAATTTATTACGTTGGTAGCAATGAATTACATTGATTTCCCAGTCAAATAAAAACCGATAATTTCACATGTGAAATAAACGTGGTTATTTCACTCTCTGACGTCATACAACAATAGGCGTTGTCAAGACGTCGATAACATCGGATCAAAACAAATTGTGAATGCGTAGAAAAAAGATATAGTTCCTTACATTTTCTACATTAATTTCATTAAAAAAAGCCATTTGCCAATGTAATAAAAAGAATAACTAATCAAAGAATTCAAATATCGAAAAATATTCAACTCGTGACCGAACAACACTGATAATTAACTCATGCGCTACGCGCATTCGTGAATTAATGTGTTGTTCGGTCACTCGTTGAATATTTTTCTCTATTTGAATTCTTCGATTAGTTATTCTATAATTAATCAACGTGTGGTTCGTTTGATCTCAGTTCTTCATTGGTTAAAATCCTATTATGACGTCGAATTTTCTTGCTTTCCTCTGAATTTCCATTTGTGACGGCATGAAAAAAGGCGACCATGCCTGATGACGTCACATAGAAAGAACACATCTTTTTTCAGATCATTCGAAAAGAGGGAACAAGTTTGCCTGCATATTGTTTGAAAATCATTAGAGAAACAGATTCCACCACCAAATCTCGTGTAATACAATATTTATCCACTCTCGACAGTTAAATTTTAAATATTTAAAACGCTCGGCGAGCCTCGCGTTTTAAATTTGAACATTTAACTGTCTCGAGTGGATAAATATCGTATCACATTCGATGCAGTGGTAGAATCTATATAGAAACGTTAGGGGCTATATAATCAACAGGGATCTACAAAGAATAGCCAAATCCATCTAAGGTCAACCTTGCCTGGTGGAGTTAGAATCTTAGTTCTTAATAATTTTTTAATTCAAATTATGAAAAGTAGCATTCTTTGTTTGCTTACCTGAATATAAAGAAAAAGAAACATCAGTTTTAAAAAATGGAGTTGAGTTATTTGGATGTTGTTTGAAGTAAGCACATATGCTCAGACAGACAATTCCGCAAGAATAGCACCATGACGTTGGTTTCCGTGTTAGTTTTGAAAGGATAATTTTGAATTGAAGTGATAAAGTTTTATCTTATTATGCATATGAAAGTCATTAAAAGTTTATTTCAATGATTTTCATAGTGTATATTTTAAAGAAAAAATAAGGACAAGAATAAAAAAAAATAACCAATATGGTGTTATCTGCACGTATTAATGTAAATTCTGGGAACATCGCTCAAAATATTGTTATATCAATGTAACTAAATCGATATCTTAAGAACAAATATAGAAAGACTAAATCCCGGTATTAAGGGATAAAATAAAATGTCCCAGAATCATTCATATATTCAAATAGTATGGTTATTTTATGTCAAAATAAGATCAATTCTAAATATTATTGTACAAACAAGGCAATGAAAAGAAACTCCATTCATGGCAATGTAATTTGTTTCATTCATACGCTATACCATATGTAAGTGTTATTTATTTCCATATATGGCAGTAAATGTCAGGTTTTGTATAAAAGTGGGTAATTGGTTATAGGTTATATCAAGTTAAAATGATACTCGTTACTTTCAAACAACAAGAAACATTATATTTTCAAGTATTGGCACATCTTTATATAAGTATGTTTGCAAACATATACAAACTTTAAAAAAAACTTTAAAAAACACAAAAGGAAGAATGGTAAATGGAATGGCTCTGAAACGAATGATAGCGATAATTCGTGAATAAAAAAGATATCATTAGGGCCGGGAGCCCAATATTTTTCACGTTGTCCGTCTGCCCGTCCACAATTTAAGTGAACACTAAAACTCCAAAAGTATAGGCAGGAGGCTAATGAGATTATGCACAGTTTTTGCGCATAATATTTAAATGTGCATATTATATTTTGGTGAAATTTGGCTCATTAATTTTGGAAAAAAAAATCGTTTTTGTTAAAAAATCACAAATTTTGTGAAATGTCTTTTGTAAACGCAAAAACTCCGAAAGTATAGATAGGAAGCAAATGAAATTTTGCGCAGTTGTTGTGCATAATATGAAAATGTGCATATTATTTTTTTTTGAAATTCGACTCATCAATTGTGGAAAAAACTTAGTTTTGAAAAATGTCTTCTCAAATAGGTTTTTAACCAAAACTGAAATATATATAGGCATACTATGCATCCCATTTTTTTCTCAAGTCAAAATTGTGTTAAAAAATTATTTGTTCTTAAAAAATATAAATTCTGAGAATCATATTTTTTGCTAGGATTTCAATGAAAAGGTATCATTTGCTATTACGAAACGATTCTCTTTTGTCAAAATTATTGGTTGTCCACCAAAATATATGTCATAGTGCTTGGATTTCAACAAAACGTATATTAATCGAGAACAAATCCTGAATTAATTGTTGGTGTCAACATATATAAAAATTGACAATCTATGAACGTTAGCTTTGTATGCAACAGTCTCTTTGCCTCACATAAAATTGTACTAACTGGGACCCTTGCTGAGAAATTTTAATAAAGTTAACAGCCTGTAATTAAGAGATTCTCGTTGGTTGCTGTCTGTAAATACTATGTTTTTCATAATCAGGCCTTTGGTTCTTTTCCCTTTGAATTATTTCACATTTTGTCATGTCGGAGCCATTTTATAGCTGACCAGACGATAGAGTTTTTTCTCATTGTTGAAGGCCGTATGATGTCCTAATTCCACGTTGGACTCTGCTAGATAGTTGTCTCATTGTAATCATATCACATATCCTTATTTCATATCACAGCTTTTCAATATTTAGTATGCCACATATTTAAGTTGTGTTCAGTTATCATAAAAGTCTACGAGAGAATCCCCTAAGTGTCTTTTGTCTTTTAAAATAATAAGTTGTTGTAACGAAAATTGTTTTTAAACCAAAAGGGTTGACTAATGTATAAAAATCTTGTCACTTGGACTTCTTCGTCTGACATTAAAACCCATGCTGAATAACTTTCGGTGGATGTGAGAGCTGTTTGTCAGATCTCACACGGATTCATACAGAGAAGTACGCAGTAGTTGATATTGTTTGATAGTTCTCGTTTTAATTTTACCTGTATTGATATTTGTAATTTTGATTTCAGATGCCATCTTTATGTGGATGAGATACTTGCCACTGGATGTGAAGCTAACAGCTCATGGATATATGTTAAAGGTCGTAGATTATGTTCGACATATTGTACAGACACCCGTTTGATATTGATGTGACCCTCTATACGTCTTTCTCGTTATCGTTTTCTTTGGTTTGCTGTCTCATTTACATATAATTATCTGCATCTCCCTCCTTTTATTCATGTCTTTTATAGAAACATTTGTAGAAAAAAATGTGTCCCACATGCCAGGAAAAATTAGTTCGGTAATCGTAATGAAAAGAAAGAAAAATAGGGCTGCCTAATTACCGTCATGTAAATGATTGACATTTTACAAAAAATGAAAACAACACTGTATAAAATGTGGTGTAAAAAACGACTTATCTTGAAAATTAACCATTCCTTGGTACTCCCTTAGATATTAAAATCTTCCTTTATATATTTATATCATAATTTAGATGCACACTTATAGCGATAAGTATCTGTGACGATAACACTTATTTAACGTTATCAAATTTTCTGCACCCAATGCGCATTTCGACAATAAATGTCTCTTCAGTGTACTCGAGGCCAAAGTATTTGAAAATCCAAAACTTAATAAAACGACGAAGAGCTTATAAAACAAAAACGTACGTAAGTAGATAAAGATGTAGTATGATTGCCAACGAGACTACAAAAAGACCAAAAGACAGTGATGTGAACAGCTGTAGGTCACCGTACGCTTCATTAAAGAGCAAAACTTATACCACATTGTAAACTGAAAAAGTCCCCGGCATAACAAAATGTGAAACAATTGAAAAGAAAAAAAAACACCTGCCTGATTTAAGCTAATAACTTAAACGAAAAATAATTATCGCTGAAAAAAACCTAAGACTACAACTTGAATATAGCCGACTGACTTGAGGCAGGTATATAAAGAATGTTGCGGGATAAAGCTCAACCCAAACACAGGACATTTGTGCAACAGTACTACACTACAATTAGTGAAGTTTAAATAAAAATACTAGTAAGAAGATGTGACATGATTGCCAATGAGACAACTATCAATCAGAGACCAAATGACGTAGATGTTAGTAACTATGGGTCAGCGTACGTCCTTCAACAATGAACAAAAATCCAAACCGCATAACATGCTTTTAAAAGGCCCGATATAACAAAATGCCAAACTATTCAAACGAAAAAACTAACGGCCTGATTTATGTACAAATCAATCATAGAAAAACAAATATGATACATATATCAACAGACGACAACCACTGAATTATATATGCTCCTAATTCAGGACAGGCACATAAGAATTTTGCAGGGTTTGCGGGCGCCCAACCTTCTCAATAATCTGTGGCAGTGGTGTTACAGCACTACACGACAACAAAAATCATGCAGTTGAGTAGGACCAGAGTCATCAGAACAATACAAAGCTCAAAAATACTTGAGGCACAAAGTACCGATCTTAGAGTACTCACAGTTACTGAAAGATAGATCGAAGGCAATAACAACTAAAAAAATCATGCATCTAAAACAAAACAAAAGTCTGTGATAAGTTGCATCTGATGATACCAAAATCGAAGAAAAGAGGACGAAATTGTGACTAAACAGTGCGACATCGATATTCCATATGACTGTCAACCAAAATCATGATGACATCTGTAAAACATTCGAATGGATGACTCAACCTTACCATTTATGAACCTTCAGTTCAATAGCTTTCTTGTACGCAACTATCAAGCAATTCATGATTGGAAACGCAAGCCCTAGAATATCGTATCAACTTGAGATATTTACTCCTTATGCAGGTGTTGCTTGAATGTTACTGAACAGAAATGGAATATTTACAATGGGAAAATATAAATCATTTTTTTTTGTCGTTGTTTATAATTTTCAACTGACCATCATTATCAATTTCTAGATGTAAAAGAAAATATGAAGCATACATAAGTGCATCTGTGGTATCCTTTATTTCAAGTTTTTTTTCCAGGATATATGCAGTCAACATATTCATGTGGACCTATCTTTAAATTAGTTAAGTAAGGACATTTTATCCGAACGTGAAGTTAGAGATTAATACTAACTTCTTCTCATTATTCTTGAAAAGCCCCTGCATTATAAGAATAAAGGAACAATGCGAAATGCTGAGGGACACAGTTGGTTCCCATAGAAATACCGATAGTCTGTTGAAAAACACGTCCTCCAAATGTAACAAACATGTTATGAATATAGAATACTCAGCATCTTGATGATGTCTGTTTCAGAGAACTTTTTGTTTTAATCACAGTGAGTGAGTATTTTTGTTTACAAAGTATGACAGGTCCCTTTCTATACTTAATGGCACAGGGTGAATAAAAATTAGCGATGTTCAGGAACACAAAATGCGCAATAGCAACCCTTTTTCTAGATATAAAAATCAAATACTTTCATGGGGAGACAAATCTATCTAACATAAATCGGATCAAGATCACGTATGTACTCAAGGACATTTTACTTCCTGTTTATTCGTGACGATAACAAACACTTTATTTGGCCGACCAACCAAGACCTTGTCCCGGAAGGTAAGTTATAATAGTTAGTACAATAAAGGTATGTACTGCGTCTTCTTTGGATATGGGAGAGGGCAACATTTGGAGTTAAAAATATTGCTAAACTATTATTTGGTCTTAATTTTTGGCAATTTATTCAGTTCTGGGGCCTGTTACTTATTACTTAACTGCAGTTTTGTGTATTTTTATTAATACTTCTAGCTCATCTGAAGTTTGCTGATTTTCTAGAATTCTTAAGTATATGTACAGTGCAACATTATGAACAATATGATTTGTGCTCTGATGAATGGTTATGTTTCATGTTTGTGTATGTGTGTGTTTGTGTGTGTTTAAATATTTAGAGACATCTCGAATTAATATGAGATGTCTGCCAATGACTTTCAGACCTTTTCATTTCATTGAGAAAATTCTTAAATTCATAAAAGATGTCTTTTGACTATAACAAGATTCCATTGCTTTTCGTTACAACTCTTTAACATTTACAGATTTTAACAGCTCTAAAATCTCACTATAATATTTTTGATTGATTATGAATCAAAATTCCTTTATAAAGTAGGTCACAGATAAAATAGGAACCTCAAATAAATCTAAAAGAGGAGATATTGTAATATTTATTTTGTCTGGTCCCTGAAATTGAAGAAATACTTCAATCCTTTCAAAACTTTGTTAACTTTAACATGAAACTTGAATGCAGAAATATCAATGCATTTAGGTCAGATATCAACAATGTACAAGTGTAGATAAAACTAATATGGTAATCATAAACAAGCACTTCTAGAGTTGATATCATCAAAAGATAACACATGAAATCGTTACCACTTATTTATAAAGGAGTACATAGAGTGTATGTATTAGATACACCCCGAGGACGTAAGCCCGATGCGGAGTATTCAATTTACATCATATTATGGTTAATTCTAAATGATAGCTTTCAGCAAACTAGCAGTGAGGTCTTTCAGCAATCTAGCAGTGAGGTCTTTCAGCAATCTAGCAGTGAGATCTTTCAGCAATTTGGCTTAAAAAATGCTAAAGCATGATATCTACAGGATATTCAATTGCATTTAATGGTATAATGGTGTAAATCTACCTTTTGAATTATCGAGTAAAAAAATAATCTTATTTATGACAATACAATCAATGAACATCAAAGTAGAAGGTAGGAGAAGGTAGGAGAAGGTCACCTGTCTGGCCACTTGAATTCGAAAATCAAAATAGTATATTAAATCTACCAAAATACACCCTCAGCTATTCACAAGAAATTAATCTGTCAGACATCCGAATATACATTTTTTCTTTTTTTTCTTTAATCATTTTTAGGACGTCAAAAGTCTTGCAGTTGGTACAGCCTTGCAGTTAGTGTAGTCTTGCAGTTGGTACAGCCTTGCAGTTAGTGCAGTCTTGCAGTTGGTACAGCCTTGCAGTTAGTGTAGTCTTGCAGTTGGTACAACCCTGCAGTTAGTGTAGTCTTGCAGTTGGTACAGCCTTGCAGTTAGTGTAGTCTTGCAGTTGGTACAACCCTGCAGTTAGTGTAGTCTTGCAGTTGGTACAGCCTTGCAGTTAGTGTAGTCTTGCAGTTGGTGCAAAACTGCGAAAATCTCCTCATTATAACTTTTTTCATACCTCCTCCTCTATATGTTTTTTTTCAAATGTAGGTTTACTTCGATACGAAGGCTTCATTTATATTGGACCTATTTGTTTTGTTTTGTCTGGATTTATTATATCAATCTGCAGTTTCCTTTAAAGTATGTGATACCACGTCATACCAGGAGGAGTAGGAATATATGGTCGTAGTTACATTTAAAATAAAATGCTTCGCTGGGGCGCAGCTTGATACGACCGCAGAGGTCGAACCCTGAACAGTTGGGGCAAGTATGGACACAACATTCAAGCTTGATACAGCTCTGAATTTGGATTGTTATTAAATATTTGACACAGCATAGGTTTCTGACACAGAAAGAATGTGGTCTAAGAACTTGAATTTTTTTAATTTACCTATTATGGTCCAATGTCCAAAATCAAAATACATGGTTAGATTCAGCATATTAAAGAACCCCATATATTCAATTTTTGTTAAAATCAAACAAAGTTTAATTTTGGACCCCAACTTGGACAAACTTGAAAACTGGGCCCATAATCAAAAATCTAAACACATGTTTAGATTCAGCAAATCAAAGAACCCCAAGAATTCAATTTTTGCTAAAATCAAACTAAGTTTAATTTTGGACCCTTTGGACCTTAATGTAGACCAATTTAAAAAACGGGACTTAAAATTAAAAATCTAAATACACGGTTAGATTTGGAATATCAAAGAACCCCAATAATTCAATTTTTGATGAAATCAAACAAAGTTTAATTTTGGACCCTTTTGACCTCAATATGAACCAATTTGATAGCGGGGCCCACAAATAAAAAATCTAAATTCATGGTTAGATTCAGCATATCAAAGAACCCCATATATTCAATTTTTGTTGAAATCAAAAAAAGTTTAATTTTGGACCCCAACTTGGACCAACTTGAAAACTGGGCCCATAATCAAAAATCTAAACACATGTTTAGATTCAGCATATCAAAGAACCCCAAGAATTCAATTTTTGTTAAAATCAAACTAAGTTTAATTTTGGACCCTTTGGACCTCAATGAAGACCAATTTAAAAAACGGGACCCGAATTAAAAATCTAAAAACACGGTTAGATTTGGCATATCAAAGAACCCCAATAATTCAATTTTTGATGAAATCAAACAAAGTTTAATTTTGGACCCCAATTTGGACCAACTTTAAAACTGGGCCAATAATCATAAATCTAAATACATGTTTAGATTCAGCATATCAAAGAACCCCATATATTCAATTTTTGTTGAAATCAAACAAAGTTTAAATACTGGACCCTATCTTGGACCAACTTGAAAACTGGGCCCATAATCAAAAATCTAAACACATGTTTAGATTCAGCATATCAAAGAACCCCAAGAATTCAATTTTTGTTAAAATCAAACTAAGTTTAATTTTGGACCCTTTGGACCTTAATGTAGACCAATTTAAAAAATAGGACCCAAAATTAAAAATCTAAATACACGGTTAGATTTGGAATATCAAAGAACCCCAATAATTCAATTTTAGATGAAATCAAACAAAGTTTAATTTTGGACCCTTTTGACCTCAATATGAACCAATTTGATAACGGGGTCCACAAATAAAAAATCTAAATACATGGTTAGATTCAGCATATCAAAGAACCCATTATATTCAATTTTTGTTGAAATCAAACAAAGTTTAATTTTGGACCCCAATTTGGACCAAATTGAAAACTGGGCCAAAAATCTAAATACATGTTTAGATTCAGCATATCAAAGAACCTCATATATTCAATTTTTGCTACAATCAAACAAAGTTTAATTTTGGACCCTTTGGACCTTAATGTAGACCAATTTGAAAACTGGACCCAAAATTAAAAATCTAAATACACTGTTAGATTCGGCATAACAAATAAATAAATGTGATCAAAGATTTTACAAATCTAATGCGCCATACTGTGCAATTAAAGATTACTTCTTGAAATTTTTCAATATTTGAAATTTGAAAAAAAAAAAATATTTGAGGAATAATTCTTTTTAATTTCTGAAATCTGAAATGAGAAAAAATGCCCCCCAACAATTTCTTTTTATCCCCCCCCCTTTTTTCCCTTAAAAAATTCTTTCCTTCAAGATATGGTCATAATCTCAATTCAAATTTCCAATGGAGTTGGCAACCATAATTACCCATTTAAATTTACCATAGTGCTAACTTAATCTATTTTATAATAGAATTAAAAATATAGTGTCAAATCATTCATATGGATTTTTTTGTAAAAAAAAAAGATGCAACATTTGCAGATATTTTTACTGGTCTTCCTTTATAAATATGCATTTCTTTAAACATAATTTAAAAGCAGTGTAAGGGAAGTAACCAAAATGTTGTATTTGGATTACCTCCCTTACACTGTTTTAAATTATCTGTATTGTTCATTAACCATTACTTTATACATAATTTAAAAGCAGTGTAAGGGAGATAATTTCAATGATGTATTTGATTTATCTCCCTTACACTGCTTTAAATTATGTTTTGTACTAAAGTATTTGTCCATTAACCAGGACAACCTTGTTTTTCCCCCTTTTTTGCCCCTAATTCCTAAACGGTTTGAGCCATAACCCCCCAAAGCAAATCCTAACCATCCCTTTGTGGTATGGAAACTTGTAGTATAATTTCAGAGAGATCCATACACCGTTCCACAGTTATTGCCTGGAAACTAGAAAATGCTTATTTTTGGCCCCTTTTTGGCCCCTAATTCCTTAACTGTTGGTACCTTAACCCCCAAAATCAATCCCAACCTTCCTTTTGTGGTATTTAACCTTATGGTCAAATTTCAAAAAGATCCATTCACTTAAACTAAAGTTAGAGTGCGAAAACCAATGTGTCTTCGGACGACGACGCCGACGCCGGACGACGACGACGACGCCAACGTCATACCAATATACGACCACAAAATTTTTTGCGGTCGTATAAAAATATATATATTAGGCTATTGAATAAACTTTAATTTCAAGAGATTTTATAAGATATCCCATTTGCTATTCATGAAGCATATAATTGCATAAGGGAGCACTGATTTAATTGATAAGAGAGACCAAGAATCACTTTCAATAAATGTGTAAGTCTTATGTTGATTATGATCTTAGGGAGAGCAATTTCTAAGATCAAATTATATTCACACAGAGATCTTCAATTTCTGAATTTGACAGAAATCTTGCAAATGATAGAGGGTATGGATGGGGTTTACAGAATAAAGAATAATGGCAAACATCGCAGGATAAAGGGCTAAAAAATAAAGTAAAATAGGCTAAAATAACCAGAATAGAGAAAAATAGGCAAAAATAACCAGAATAGATAATGATGGGGTGCTAAAATATAAAGAATAGAGAAAAATGGAAAAAATATTTGAAGAAAAGAGAATAATGGTCAAAATGAATAAAGAATAGAGAAAAATTGTCTTAGAAATTAAAGAATAAAGAAATAAAGGACCCCCATGCAGATTCTCATGATATATATAGAGAGTTTCATAACATTTATATTGAATAGGAGAGCTAAAGTCAATTAGAGAAATCAGAATGAGGACCGTTAATGGATGACCATCAGATATCTCTTTTTTTTGTTTTTAATCGATAGGATGATTTGCCATTGTGTAATCCTCAAACATACTGAAGTAATAATAAAATTTTACAAGTTGGATTACTTCAGCTTCTGTCCATTGTTGGTGAATTGTACCATCTCGAACAAATACTTTAAATAAAAACGGCTTAAGAATTATCTCGATTGGATAAACGTTCGAATTCTAACTAATTTTAGTTCATTTTATTTAGAACACTTGAACTCGGTTTTTTTTTAGACCAATGTCATCATGTATAAGTGGGAAATGGATTTTAAACAGGCATTGTAAAGCTTTTTTTTTAGGCACGGAATAAATAAAACGTATTTGTACACACACATGTTTAATGGTATTTAGATACAGATTTATATATTGAGATTGGTCTCCTAAAATAATAAGTAATACTTCGTATTTCTAAAATCTTTGAGGGATTAATTGCATGGATGTATTGTTTCTTGTATGTGAAATTGTGTGTATAATTTGTATTAATGAAGCTTATTTAACACATTGCACGTTCGAAGAAAGGACTACACGAGATTTAATATCAGTAAAAAAATATTACAAAAATACCAAACTCCAAGGTAAATCAAATAAAAGGAATTCTATAAAACCTGACAAAACCAAAATGCTCGACTATATCTACCAACGGAAAGAATGTAAACAACTGTCATATTTCTGACTTGTACATGCAATTTTCGAAATGAAAATGGTAGGTTAACCTGGTTTTATAGCTATCTAATCCTCCCACGTGTATGACAATTGTTTAAATATTCAGTCCAATTGGTAAAATTGTATGAGCAACCCAACAGCCATAATTGGTTTATATGACAATAATTTGGATCCAGCAGCCAAATTGTGTTAACATACATCATAGATATACAACACTTGATTTCAAACAATCCAAAGAAACAAATAAATCTAACAAAGACGCAAACAACAAAAGTCTTTGTAGTTATAGTAACATTCTGCATCGCAATGACGTATCACAATAACGAATCATCACATTTTTTATGAAGACTTTGTTGCGTTTTGTGTACTGTTGTTTGTCGTTTGGTGTTTTTTTTTGCCACGGCGTTGTCAGTTTTTTTTTCGACTTATGATTTTGAATGTCCCTTTCGTATCTTTCGCTCTCTGTGTAAGTTTATTCCAAGATATATTATTATTTAAAATATCTAAATTCCTTACAATGTTTACTATACACAGATAATTCAAAACGAAAATAACAAAAGAAGATATTGTGAAATTTACTTTGAAGTATGGGAAGTTGTCCCCGTGGAGTAGCTATTGAAACTCAAAATCCTCACTTCAGCAGTACGGGTTAGCTCGAGGGAAGATCTCGGACGGTTTATGGAGTTTCAATTTATTCCCTTCACGTGAAAAACATGTATACATACGGAATATGCTAACTATATTTGGATTAATCTACACAACATGAAAACAGTACTGTTTATATCTCTCATAAAACAACTATATACAGCACAAAAAATATATTTTAACAAGAAATACAACTATATAATGTTATCAGTTATAACAACAATTTTCATTTATTTTTACTTTTCCTTAAAGAAAGTATAAAGATAGATCATGTTGGCATACATCTGTTTCTATGGTCATTAAAAGTGAAATGCAGCTGCATATTTTTGTATTATCTGTTATAATTATTCATAACATACGGACCCTTATTAGAACGTTCCATAGAAATAAGAAATTGGAAATCAGTGTTTGAAATTAAAAGCGAAGCACTAAATGAATTAGGAGACCATTTTAAATTTAATTAAAATGGCTTTAGTCTCCCACCGCATATGATAATCTTTTGTTTCCTTTTCATATTTTATAGCAGTTATATGATAAAAAAGAAAAATGAACCTTAGTTTGACGGATATTGTAGAAGATATATCATTTAGTCGAATCACAGATATTGATATATGGAACAAGCTTATACATTATTTTAGTGAGCAATGGGATGGACAACCAGAATTTATAGCCGTTCTGAATTTGTCAGGAAGACAATTAGGTGAACAGATAAAAAATGTAAAAGACACCTATAGTTACTTTAATGCTCTGGAAAATACTTTCAGTGATAATAATGATTTACTCGAGTTTTTGATTAATTTAACTGGGTATTTAAATTATCACACCGAATCAGGATCGGTCAACGTCAAGCATAGCCTAAAAGAATTGCGTAAAAACTTGAAACATTTGCGACAGCAGTGTGTAAGAAGAGGAATGTTCCATGATAGGAATTTTGTTGGCAGAGAAGTACAGATCAAAACAATGGAAGACAAAATTAAAACAGGAAGTACAAAAGTTAAGTATTCACATACTCTTCGTCTACTATATAAAAATTAAGAGATGTGGCACACACAATTGCCCATGAGAGAACTATCCATCAAAGCGAAATTAAAACAGGAAGTATAAAAGTTAAGTATTCACATACTCTTCGTCTACTATATAAAAATTAAGAGATGTGGCACACACAATTGCCCATGAGAGAACTATCCATCAAAGTCCACATGGCGCTAAGGATGGGAACAGTTACTGGTCACCGTACGGACTTCGGCAATGAGCAAAACTGATACCATGAACTATATCATGTATATACAGCAATGGGATCACTAAAATAGTTTGTAAACAATGATACATTGTATAATTTTTTTTAAAGTTTCCTTGAAATCAAGGCAGTGGATAAGGAGGAGTAATGGAACCGATATCTTTTTAGAATTGTCTCGGGAAACACCAAAATCATTTGAGTGAAAAAGTAACATAGGAGATGCATAATGTTATTAGGTATACTTCAAATTCTCTTTAGATATTAGAGGATAAAGGATATTGTTCGAAAAAGTGTGAACATTGATCACTATTTACCACACTTCATTAAGGGGGTAAGGGTGTAATAACGAAAATAATCAATCTTTTATCCTCAATTACAGAGGACACATTAACAGAGTTTAGTCTTGATAATATATTTTTCAATATATACGTGCAGGTATTCTACTATGTGGTCTAGGAGGAATGGGAAAGACCAGTCTCGCTAACACAGTCTGTTACAGACTCCGTGGTGAATGTTGGAAAACAATTAAAATTGAACTAAGGTAATGTCAAAATTGATAGTTTAATATATTTTCCATTCCGAAGTATAACATTATGGCACTAATATACTACAATAATTTATGAGTACTTAAGATATACTGCTTGTTTGGGCACATCTTTAGTACTACAAAGTTGTAGTTGTAAAAAGTACACATGCAAAAGTAGTGTACGAACTTGAAAAAATAAAATAAAATTAAAAATTATGTCTCCCTCGAAATATTTGAAGTTATAAATGATATTCCTCAGTTGAAATATTGATGTATGACAACAAAGAACACTTCTTACAAATATACAACAGTCTGAACTTAAAACGACAAAAACGTGATTTACGATATTTGTCTTTTTTAAAGTTTGCATAGACAGTTTAATGAGGTTATTATTCTAAGTAAAAACCAAGGATTTATAACTCTAAATATACGTCCTTGTATGAATCAAGGATTTATAACTGTAAATATACGTCTTTGTATGAATCAATAAGTTCAGTTTTTTTACTTGTATCTGCAAAATAGTACCACTTCTTGTACTTAATAAGATATATAAATAAGAAGATGTGGTATGAGTGCCAATGAGACAACTCTCCATCCAAGTCATAATGTGTAAAAAGTAAACAATTATAGGTCAAAGTACGGCCTTCAACACGGAGCCTTGGCTCACACCGAACAGTTAGCTTAAATGGCCCCAAAATGACTAGTGTAAAACAATTCAAACAGGAAAACCAACGATCTAATCTAGAAAATAAACGAGAAACAAGAAACACTTATGACGACAACCACTGAACAACAGGCTCCTGACTTAGGACAGGTGCATACAAATGCATGTTTTTAGTTTTTTTTTACATAGGTAATATTCTAACCATACTGAACTGTATCCAGGCAAGAAATTTAAAATAAAAAAAAAACATATACTACTATGGGCATTGCTCACATTCATTCACCCGGTCCAACCTTTATTGTACATTAATGTTTTGCAGTTACTGTAGTAACCCAAACCCTATCCCTGATAATCTTTAGGATAAAGATATAAGATAGGAAGTACACTATTTTAAAAGGAACTGATTATTGTATGAATCTATTCATAGCCAACTAATTGTAATTATTGTGATTAATTTCTTCTCGTCCTGAAATACATGAAACATTTGACATTGGACGTTAAGCAACAAAAACAACCAATTAACAATAAAAGAATAAACAGTACATAATATACATATAGTAAATGTAATTGATCTGACTAACTGTATCATATCGTTTTTTATTATTAGGGAGCAGGTAACGTACAGACATTTTTTGCGGACTTCCGTTCAAAGTATTATGAAAGGATCAAATGTACTGGTATCAGGTAGTCAATCATCAGACAATGACCAGAATGGAGAGAAAACAGACCAAATTCTCATTGAAGAGCTTAATCTGCGACAGAAACTTTTAGAACATATTACAGAAAAGTTACGAAGGAAACGTAAGTCAGGTGAAAAAGTAGTTTAATGTTTAAGATTTAAGAATTTCAGATATCGAGGTACTGAATACATAATAGTATTAAAGAAGTCAGGAAATTATAGACATAATAAGCACCAATCCATGAAAATGGAAAGACGAATATAAAACAAAAACAGTTACACAAATCTAAGTTTCTCATCTTGAGCTATTGATTGTAATATTGTAAATGAATGCTGACACTTTTAGTGCTCACTACATTTTTTTATACACTTCAAAACCAGAAGACTAAGAATGCCACATGTTTACAGCGTTCTGAATCTTAGTAGCAACAAGCGTAACATATCAATCAAAACATGAAACATACAACTTTGCCTCGACAATTCGTAACCATCTCCGTTACCATAGTTTCGTTATCATCACATTATTAATTAACTAAAATTTACAGCACGGTATTTGCATAGCAATTGCTACCGATGAAAATGAAGAGATTTCAGGAATGAGCAATAAAAAAATATGAAAAATTCCAGGGAGATTGACAGTTTATATTCTGTGTTTACTGTTCATTGTAATACAATATAAACCACCAAAAAACCCTCTAAAAATATGTAAATGAGTTGAAATAATATATATTCGATGGTATACATTCTCCTCGAGTACCTTACGTCTCGGGTCGTAAACTTAAGGTAAGTTGACACACTACAAACACTTAATTTAGTAAGGAGCATATTGTAAAAAAAAAACAACATCAGAATTAGAAAAAAATGTGATTATTTGTGATCGTTAACTTGTATATTCTTTAAGTAGCCTTTTTCTGTCCCTGTTGATTCTAATTTGAAAAAAAACTAATACTTTTTTTTTTTTTTTTTTTTTTTTTTTTTTTTTTTTCTTTCTTTTTTTTTTTTTTTATTATAGTGTCACATACCAATATAAAACACAATGAATACATAATTACATAATATGCAATTAAAAATTAAATATTACAATTAGAATATTGGTACCCAGCCAAATAACTGACTTATGAGACACTTTAAAAATATAACACATATTATAAAACAATTAAAACTAATGTACTAAAATATTATTACACACAATACCTCCTTCGATAAAACATGTGATATAAAGTTTTTGCTAAAAATGGTTGAATTGCATCATTTGACATTAAGAAAATAAATTTGTCCTGTAAATCAAGATCGTTAAAAGTCTCACAAATATCACCAGATTTCTTCATTAAATCATATCTTAAATCTGCATAAAAATCGCACCCTAACAAAAAATGTTTTTCATCCTCAACACAATTATCTGTACAATATATACAAGTACGCTCATTTAAAGGAATTTTTGGCTTGGTGTATCTACCCGTTTCAACTGCCAGTGGTAAACAGCCACTTCTAAAATTTGACAAAACACGTCTATGCTGCCTATTACGAACTAATTTTACATAAGAACTAAATTCTAAAACATTTTTATACTCCCTATACATACGTAATTTATTACCATTACATTCATTTCTGTCATTAAACAATTTTTCAACCCATTCATTTTTATCTTTTTCATAGAGTTTGGATTTGATTTCTTGCAGTTTATGTTTGATGGAAAAAGTATCATTAATAACATTTTCAATACCTAAAATTTGTGCTTTCTTTATACAGTTTTTATCCCATGACCTAGAACAATCCTTACTCCACGCATGAACCTTATATGTAAGTCTTGTATCGTAAGTTTTGCTCACTCTAAGAAAAAGACGAAAAGTTTCCAAAATTTCTGCTGATTTCGTACTTTTAAGTCCCATATCACCCTGAATGGCTATATTTGACGCATTTGAAGCACTTCCTAAGAATAACCGACATGCTTTGTTCTGTATAACTTGTACATCTCTCCAATTTGTATGCCCCCATATTCCAGAACCATAGTATAGAACAGGCTCAACTACAGACCTATAAAGTTTCGTAAACACATCATAAGTCATTCCACCACATGAAATAAATTTAGCATATAAGGCTGAAAGTGCTCTGCTTGCTGATTTAGTAATTTCTCGTACTGTATGTTTATAATCCAAAAATTCATTCAAATGCAGTCCCAAATATCTGTAGGATGAAATATAATTAACCGAAGTTTCTCCGCAGTTAAATTCGACAGTAGATCTAGCAGTGTTTTTATTACGAAAATGAATAACCTTTGTTTTTTCTTTATTTAGTGTCATTCTCCATTTCCTACACCAGGTTTTTAAACAGTCCAACATCTTTTGTAAATTCTGTTCATTTGGAGCTATCAACGCAACATCGTCAGCATAAAGAAGAATAGATACATTTAAATCACCAATATCTACACCAGCATTAAGCGAGCGAATATCATCCGCAAGATCGTTAACATATATGGAATACAAAGTAGGAGACATTTTACAGCCTTGTTTCACACCGTATTGAACCGGGAAAATATCTGTCAAGTTGTTTCCTAATTTTACTGCACTTTGTGTCGCATCGTAAAGAGACTGAATTGCTTTTAGAAACGTTCCGTTAATACCAATTTTCATCAGCTTATACCACAACATGTCCCGATTAACATTATCAAAAGCCTTCTTCGCATCAACAAAGCACACGAAAGAATCTTTCCTTCGTAACTTTCTATTTTTAATAATTGTTGTTAATACATATAAGTGATCCAAACAGCTTCGGTTACGTCTAAATCCATTTTGCTCTTCTGCTAACATGTCATTTTGTTCTAACCAATTTGTCAATCTTTTATTCAAAATATCCGCATATATTTTGCACGGCACTGATATTAATGAAATTGGACGGTATTCAAGTGGATTAAGGGAATCCATTTTCGGTTTCGGAATCGGAGAGATCATACTCGTTAACCATTCATTAGGAACGTGCCCTTCTATGAAACAAAACTGAATAATTTTATATATAACAAGTCTATACACGTGTCATTTCGCAAAATCTCACTCGGTATCTCATCAATTCCAGCGGATTTACCTTGCTTAGCTCGAAAAACGGCCTCGCGTACCTCATCCCTTTCAATAGCTCTATTAAGTTCAGTTGTATCAATATTATTGTCACAATATTATACTAACATGGATTTTTAATTTTTTGTCAAATAACTAACGAACTTCATGATTGCCTAAATGGAAGCTATGTCATTATGATTTGTTATATGATAAAATTATCTAAACATGTTTATTTTTGCAGAATGTTTAATCCTATTTTACTTTTTTAATATTTGTACTTCAGTTATTTTTTTATTTGATAATCTTGATGATGAGACTACAGAAGACGCCTGTGCTACCCATAGTTCCATTGAACAGTCAAAGATTATGGAATTCTTTAAGTCTTTACTTGAAATTATGACGGCCAATAAAGACTGCCAGGTATTTTTGTGTATCATAACTTCGAAACTTCTGGTTTATGATATCAGTTTGCCACAAGTTCTTAACTTTTATTCAGGAATACTTTTTAACAACTTTATGTTCTCAGTCTTCATATGAAGCATACAATGTTATACTTACGGACTTAAACAGATGAAACATACTACACACCAACAGATACATAACACTACTGATTTTTTTTAAATATATGAAATACATTAAGAACTTTGAAATATCTAACCACTATGTTTTCTAATAGCAGATTAATAAACTGATTATACCGAAATTTAAATGTAAACTTTTATTAACGCTTTTAGTAATTAAACATCGGTTTGAAACAAAACTTCGTTATTTTACAACAATGTTTTATAAGGTCATACATCTCTGTCCAAAAAATTAAAAAATCGTATCATCAATTCCAATAGATATGAGTGACTTTCAACAACTCATCAGAGTCATGCATTTCGTTTGATGGGGAATATATACATATACATGTAAAATAACTCATCAAAGATACCAGGCTTATAATTTTGTACGCCAGACGCGCGTGGCGTCTACAAAAGACTTATCAGTGACGCTCGAATCAAAACAGTTAAAAGCCCAAATAACGTACGAAGTTGAAGGGCATCGACGGCCAAAATTTCGGAAAGGTTTTGCCTTATACAGCTAAGGTAATCTATTCCTGGGGAAGAAAATCCTTGGTATTTCAAACAATCCATATATAATTGATACAGCTGATAACTTGTATCTTAGATAAATTTACAATAAAAAACAAATACATGGACATTAGATTTTTTTTTCTGCTATTGTCTATAGCAAAATACATTTAGCCTAAGAATGGTTGTGGTACTGGAAAGAAAATCTATACAGTTTATTAAATACAGTTACAAATATACTTATTTATATTTCATTCAGACTAGACTTATCATAACATCAAGGAATAACTTCCTGTTAACTTCTGGTAAGGAATTAAGAAATCTTCTGGTAAAAATTGAAGTAGACAGCTTAGGCATTGAGGATGCAAGAAAGCTAACCTTAAAGTGTACGAAACAGGTATAGCATTATGACACCTTCTAAACTAGTTATTTAAACAAATTTTAAGAATAAAATTACCGATGTATACATTTGTAGCTATATCATTTTTCCCCTTGTAGAACTACAGAGGTAACAAGAAAAAAGGAAAGCCATTTAGTTCATTAACTAACATCAACTAAAAAAAGACAAGAACAAGAATATATGATGTATGAATTCCAGATAATAATTTAGTTCGCAGACATAGAAAAAGAACCTACTGGATACAGGAACTACTACAATCAAACTCTTCTAAAAGAAAAAAATAGACAAATAGACAAAACATTATGATTTATGGCATAACAAATCGGACTCAACACGGAAATAAATTCCTGATAGACCACTTATCAATGTTGAAGAAATAATAATTAATCTGCACAGTACAGCTACCGACGCACAGTAAAAATGTTTGTTTTAAACAGGTTTGCTTTTGTTTTCAGTGCACCACGAACGATCAGCAAATCGATGCCATAGTGACTGTTTGCAGTGCATGTCCTCTTGCCATCCGAGTTATCAGCGACGTCATAAACGACTCCCCAAATGGCATTCAGATAGTTTCACTTATTCAGAAAAGTACAGACACGTTTTTGTCGCCATTGCTGCAGATTTATGAATGCTTAAGTCAACCATTTGAAAAACTAAAGGAATACAAGTCTACATTATGTCAACTTTCACTTTTTGGTACAACAAAGTTTGACATGAATTCAGCAGCTAACATTATATTTGGAAAATTTCAAACCAACATGGAGAAGAAAGAAATCATTAAAAAGCTCACAGAATTAAAGCTTACCCTTTTGCTTTTTAAAAGTCGACACCTTATCGAAATAGAAAATGAAGAATGTTCGTACAGCCCAGGCGGTCAAAATACGGACATGGAACTCGATGACCTATTTGCAGGACAGAGAATATATTCTCTTCATCCTCTTGTTTACAAGTTTTTAAAGGAAAAAGAGAACGATAGAGAATTAATTGGTGATATTCGAATTGCTAAACATAACTATATAGTATTCTTCGATGAACTAGTTCTAGATATTGGTCAAGAATCTAATGTTTTAGTTGCCAGAGAAAAGGCTGAAAAAATAAAAATTCACATATTAAAATATATAGAATTCATGAAAGAATATAAAAGCTTTTCTGATATACCTCATCTACAAAAATTATCTACACCTGAAGATGCTAAACGACGTAACACAGTAGTTCAAATGATATGTATACCAGAGTATCATTTATCTTTTATTGAATCTATGCTGTCGAAAGTTGAAAATAATGTTATAGCAAAACTAAGCTGGGAGATAGAATATGTAGCAGCGATTGTAAGATATCAACACTTTTGTGACAATATTGACGATAGATGCAAGCTGATTTTACAAGAACTCAATTCAGTCGCATCAAATACATTAAGTGAAGTGGAAAATATTCAGCTATCAATTTTAAAAGGACGAACATGTTTTTTCTTAGGAACCATAACAACAGATTCCGATCCTGGATATTCAGAAAAGTGTTTATTGGAAGGAAAACATATTTTTGAATCACAACAATTACGTCAAAAGCAAGAAGCTTTATCCTATTTATCTGCAATTTATAATGGCTTGGGTCATATATTTTATCGAAAAAAAGACAAACAAAACCGGATAAAAGATATCGAAAAAGCAATAGAGATGCACACACAAGCTCTTAATTTTTTATCAAACAGTCAAAGTGAAAATATTGTCATATACTATTCAAATATCGCAGCATGTCATTTTGAGCTTGCAACCTATTTCCATAAAGAAAAACGAACCAATGAAAGAGAAAAATCTTTGAAACATTACAATACCTCAGTTGAGCTTGCGAAAGTTTATGGAATGATAACTTCAGATATTTACCTGCGTAAATTACTTGATAGAGGAAATGTTAATCTCATGCTGTGGCAGTTAGAGGCAGCTGCAAAAGATTTCGAAGAGTGTTCAAATTTGGTGAAGAAGCTGTATGAAAAACCAAGTAGGATCGAAGTACTTATACGTCATGCACATGGACATTTAATTAGAAGAAAAATACAACTTGGGGGTAAATAGAATAATTACAAAGTAATGAAATGCTGGTTAGAAAATGTTAAGATGAAAAATATACTAGTAACCTTTCCTATCCTGGCGTATCAAACACGTCAAGACCACTAGAATTCTGACGTCTTAATACACTTGATAGTAATTTATCAATTAAGACTTTTTTAAACGTGTCCCTGAAAAATTTACCAATCGTCATAATGAACAACAAATCATTGTGGGCTACTGTAGTTTAATATCACTTAATAACTAGTGAAATTAGGAGATTTGTCTTTAAAATTTTGTATTGTATCTCGGAATCTCGTGTTTGCTTGGTTTGTTCATCTAATGTGACATATGCAGAATCTTCAATTTGCATTTAAAAAAAAATGTTCATCGGCTTCAGACGTTTTGTTACCTTTGGCATTTTTGTTACCGTTGACTTTTTTTTATCTCGTCTTGTCAAAGAAGTAGATATCAGGTTTTTTCTCTTGTAATCGACTGTACATGCACATTTATTTCAACGAAGTGTCTATTGTCTTGCTCTCTTTAAACGTGTTAAAACTTTTTTAAGAAATAGGTTACATGATACTCTATGCTCTAAGAATATCTAAAATCTTTGTTGATTATCCAGAATATTATCATTCGCTTTTTCTAACAATTATTCGTTAATCTGAGCATAGAACTAATGCTCTATATCATGGTCTATACATTTAATCATATAAGATGAAATATTTTTCGGCAATCTCTTAAAATTGCGTTGAATGTCAGTGACACGTGTTCCCGGTAAATTGTCAACACATTGTAGTCCATCGTACATTGCAACTCATTTAATAATTGGTCAATGACCCAGGTAGAAATTTAGTATACTTGAATGATCATACTCGTATTAGTTAGTATACCCGACCTGGTAAACGTGATTTCACGTGTTCTGTAATAGTTATCCAATGATGACGCGGTGTGTCAGTGTAAGATCACCCCGACGGCCGGAGGCCAGAGGGTGATCTTACACTGAAACCAAGTCCGAGTGAGATAACTATTTTACATCCCAGCTCTTCTAGACTATATGAAAAAAACATTTACGCTTCATAACATCTAGTTCAGAATGCCATACAATAATTATAATATACTTTATATATTACTATATAGTATATACCCTTTATGAGCTCCGGATACAACGTTTAAATATGTTAAATTAACAGGGAATTTGTATCCAGTCGTCCTGGTGTAGCTTCATATGCTGGAGGTTTTGAGTTTGATATCCCGCTTAGACACTGGAAATTAAGTGGATTTTTCTACATAATTTTGAAAGTTAGTCTTTATTCCGCTTAAATATTTCTAAGTTTTAATGTGTATTCGACATTCCCGCCAAAATGTTACAGAACAAAAGAAAGCATGCAGAACAAAAAATTCAAAGTAGGGTGATCTGGTAGGGGTGATCCGACTCAGATCACCCCTGTTAGAAGAAAGGAGTTGGGATGTAATATAAATAACCGTATATAAAATCTCAGCAAAGAAAACAGACCTATGATTGGTTACCACCACTTTATTTTAACTATGATGGATAGTTGTTTCATTGACAATCATACCACATCTCCTCATTTTTATATTATGATTTGTTGATGAGTAACGAAAAGGAGATATTCTGAATTATATCAATACTAAGTCAACTAAATACAAATGAACACAAATAGTAAACAACACATATTTATTTATAATAGCTTAGTTGATAAGAGATGAGAGAAAAAGAAAACAAACTATGTGATTAATTTGATACCGTTTTGATCAAACTTTGCAATAGCATGTATGATGAATAGAAGTAACATTTGTACTATATTAGAAAAACGAGAAAACACGCGGAAAAAAAAAGACAAAACCATTGTAAATTTAAAATAAGATAAAAAAGGACAAACTAATAAAGAAAAGTCTTCAAAACGCTACAGAGAAAACTAAGAATTAAGCAACGAGAACCTCACCAAATACATAATTCGGTGGCTCCGGAAGTGTAGTCATTTCTACACTAGAGGCAAGAATCAGTAATAAGGCGCATTCAGTGATACAATTAACAATTTTCGTATGTGTCTAGTACATGAAGAGAAAACGTTTTGTCCGATAAGATGATTTATTATACAAGAAAATTTGTAATATAATTATGATGCAAATTTCAACCATTAAGAAGGCCAAATTTTCCCTTTTTCATGAACACTTTTGCTAAATTGAATTATTTTGGTCTTCTACGTCTTTCCATTCCTTGATCAATTGCAGTGATAAGAGCTTCAAATGTCTTTACTTTCGTTGATCACTTGCAGTAATAAGTTTTCCTTTCCTTGTAGTAATAAACCAGAGAATATATTTACAGGAGAGAAGAGGGGCGGAAGATACCAAAGAAATATTCAAACGCTTGAGTCGAAGACGAACTAAGAACGCCATGGCAAAATAAAAAACTAAAAACGACCGAATGACAAACAACAGTCTACAACACGCAACATTGAAAACCTAAAGCGGAGCAACACAAACCCTACCAAAAACCGGGGATAATGTCAAGTGTTCCGGAAAGGTATGCATATCCTTCTTCATATGTGGCACCCGTCTTAATGCTCATATAAGTACAAATTTGATGATGCCCCATTCGAGATAAAGATGAGGAGATTCTTGGAACGACAATTAAAACAATCCGTAAATCAACTCGTGATGGCGTCCGTAAAATTTTCGAAGGGATGGCTGCAAATTCACTACTTGGAACCCTTGGTTTAATAGCTTCCTTGTGTTACGCTTCCTGAGCACCTGAGATAACCCCGGTTTTTGTGGATGATCCTGTTGCTCAGTCTTTGGGTTTCTATGTTGTGTTTTGTAGACTGTTGTTTGTCTTTTGGTCCCTTGGTGTTTTGCCATGGCGTTAGTTTTCGACATATGAGTTTGAATAACCCTTTGGTATCTTCCACTTTTTTATTGTAAGCCTCAAATCGCTATCAATAAAACGCAAGCTCCGGAATATGGTATATACTCCATATGCATGTGTTTCTGGAATGTTGCTACATAGAAATGGAAAATACCACAATTTTGTCGTAAAGTTTTGTTCTCAACCGACCTTCATTTTCAATTTCTAGATGAAAGCCAACATATGAGGCAGACTTAAATGTAGATAGATGCGTTCAAAATAGTCACTTAACTTTGAATTATTTTATTGAGAGAACATACTAGTAGATATTGTTTCCATTTACAAACTGACGTATTTTCAATATTTGGTTTTCTTTTATCTTTTGTGTGTGAAAAAAATAAGGTTGAAAACCAGAAATTTTCATAATATGCTTTCACGAAATGTTATCCTAATAGGGACAACTGTAAAACTAGGCGCATAGTAGGAGATTAACAAATCGACGCACTCAGTCACGCTCTTTTTTGAATTCATGCGACTCCCTCGTGGTATTGTATTCAAAATCGATGAATTAATGTTGCCTTGGATTCATCAAGTCCAGTATAAGAGAAAAAAGGCAAATATGAATATTTGGTTTGCGACGGTCAAGATACCTATTATAAAAAAAGTGCAAATATTCCTTTCAGAATATAGAATCCAATTTTAACTCAATCAATTGTATAAAAAATTTCACGTTTGAAGTTTGGAGGGGCCTTAAGCAAGTTTATGGTTATTACTATGCATTTTTCAACAGGATGACACTAGGGTAGAATCATTTCATACCCTTCAGGAGAACCCGACTACTGCTCCGGATTGGTGAGATAATTTTGATCAATCTCTGATTTTCGGTTTAGTGTTTAATTCTGATCATATATATCTTTATCCTACTTTTTTGTCGACTATTTTTTTGTTTTTCCTTCTTCGACTTTTAATTTATGACCCGAGACAACTTTCAAATGATGTAAATAAACTTATCATAGATACCAGGATTGAAATTTTGTATTTGCGCCAGACGCGCGTTTCGTCTACAAAAGACTCATCAGTGACGCTCAGTTAATGTCACTGAATAAAACTAATGCGAGGTAATATTAGCCGTTTTGATAATAAGTGAAAATTCAAATATAAGACATAATACTGAAATATGAATTAAATAAACGCACATAAATTTCTTTTGTCTTTAGGTATATCCAAAGATGAACTTGCTGACTTAGTCGTCAAAGGAACAGAGATATATGAGGAATTGAAGAATATTCTTTCGCCTACTCTACTACCCGGTAACAGCGCGAAATTTAAACAAATTCAAAGGTACCATATGGACTTCCTCAGGGACTTTAATGAAGATGATTTGAAGATAAATGCTAAAAGGTTTTATTCGGTAAGTTTGAATTTACAAAAAAAAAAACGATGTTAATGTCTTACTTCAATTATTTATATTTTTTTCAGAAATTGAATATTTTTAGGGAACTAGAAATAAGTGCTTCTTGAAATTTGTTATAAGTCTCCACGTGAACATGCCTTACCGTGTAATGCAGTTTGAGATTCATCGATCCCAAACTTCCTGTTAACTGAATACGTTTATATTCTAACACATTCGTAGCATCTCCCTACGGAACTACAAATAAGAGCTTCCCGAATTTTGTTATAAGCCTTCATGTCAGTATGCAGTGTGATGTGTTATCAGATTCATAGCTTATCAATTTCCTGTTTACCGATTACTGATGTATTCTAACACATAATGGCTACGTATTTCATGTCGTATTATCTAGGGACCTGCAATAAAGGGCTTCCTGAAATTTGTTATCAGGCTTTTTTTGTGAACATGCTTTACTGTGTGATGTGTTTTCAGATTCAGAACTTATCAACTTCTTGTTACCGATGTATTTAAAGTGGGGGTATCAATAGTGAGCAGAAGCTCACAGTTATACCTGTTAATTTCTAATAACATAAATAGAAGGCAAAGAGTACTGCTTTTGGTATCAATTTGAAACTTTATTTTTAAGGCGTATCATTCTGTGGATTCGGAAAATGACTCAAGTTGTAAACCTCCAATATCAGAATCGTTGTCAAGTAGTAATGATGAAATGGAGGAACCACAACATTTCAAGCTTCCGTTGTCCACTTCTAAAAATATTTCAGGAAGAGACTTAACTCCGGCAACAAGATGTAGAGGATCTAGCACAAGTTCTGGTTTTTATAGTATGAATTCCTCTACCACGGACATAGAGAGTGTAAGTTCATTAAAAACTAATTCTACGTCGAGACAGTACAGTTGGTCTGATGACGACGTTTTCGCAAAAAGACAGTCATCTTTCGAAAGTGCAGTAGAGAGAATGGAAGACATGCCATGTACAAACAAAAGTAGTACACTTAAATCACGCCTTCTTAAACCATGTGCAAATTTTGAAGTTGAATCATTACATTTAGAAGAAGCAAAAAGCAAGCGGCAGCTCACAGAAGGTAAGTTGAGTTTTGAAAATGATTAGAGGACCAGCATTACATACTAGTAAAGCAATTTTTGAAGTCACTGCTTACTCTTCCGGAGCACCAGAGTTCACGCCTTATTTTTGGTAGGGTTCGTGTTGATCAGTCGTTTGTTTTTCTATATTGTGTTTTGTAGATTTTTTTGTCGTTTCGTCGTGTTTCGATTGTTGCCATGGCGTTGTCAGTGTTACTTCGACTTATGAGTATTGAATGTGCTCTTGGTATCTTCTTCTTCTTCTTTATTTTTATTATTGATCTACCAGTTTCAAATAATAATAAGATAAGGTGTAAAAAATAAACATTGTTTAATATCCTGCTTAAGATAACATTAGAAAACTACTGGCGATATTCGTTTCTACAATTTAAAATGTGTTATCCAAGCTGAGTAAGTGTAATCTATTACACATATTTAGACAGTTAACCTAGAGTAACAATACAAAGTAAACAAATAAAGGAAATTGTATAGATGATGGAATGTTTCAATAAAATTTTGAGTTAAACGGGTTTTACATGTTCGTTTGCTTAAATGTCATTTGACTAGTATATATATATCTTCTTTAGAAATTTAGTCATTTCTGTTGATTTCATCAACTTTGCCAAATATTATTAGAATGTCCTTCCTAGATAAAAAGAGCATCGATATTAAGTATCTCATGTAAATGCATTTATGGAACGATCAAAACCATTACATGCGCAAAAGTTTATGTATTCTTCTGCCATATAAATGAACTCATCATAGATACAGGATTACAATTTTGTACGCCAACCGCACGTTAAAGTATACAGCGGAACATAATAATATATATAGCCAACAGATGTATTACCATACTCAAATGTGTAACCCACAAAGTCCACTCATGGAGACCTATTGATATGTAGCAAAATGGTAATTTTACAAAGAATGTTGTTAGATATATCTAATAAATATGAAATTCGTTTAAATACAGCATAGTGAATTTTGACGCAGTCTTCGAAGTTCATGTGTAAGTAAGAATTGGAAAAACACGCTCTTTACTTATCCTTTAAAAATTATTACCTAGATACAATAACATTTCAACATGTTAATTTTTGCCGTATGTTACAGCATAATCATACTATTTTACAGATGACAAATCAAATTCATCAGATGTGGATTTTCCACACAAATTAAACATAACGGAATATGATAGTCAATTTTCAGATGAAAATTCTCGGTCATTTGAGAGAAGTAGGAAAAAATACAAAAAGGGACAGCTAGGTATGCATAATAATATTTTTATCATAAAATAATGGCTTATCTATATAAATGCAAATACATTCATGTATCTATGTATATTCGTTTGGTTAAACCGATTGTAAAGGAAAGATCATAGGATAATTGAATTTCAGGCGACAAAATCTGACGTATCACTCAAAAATAAAATAAATATTTTTGGTTGGGATTTATTCTTTACAGGTTTCTTCAAAGCTGAACCAACACACTTTGGATAATAATTTCTTTTTTTCATTCCCTAAAATATTTGTGCTTCCTATGTTGTATCTTTAAAAGAGGAGGGAATTAGTCAATAATCTCTGCAAAATTAATCTTCAATATTTGTAGAAGAAATAGTTGATGAATTAGAGGAACTTATACCATCTGTAAAACCAAGAATGAGAACGCTTATTAGAGATCTTGACACTGGGGAAGGCAAGTATAGATGTGACTGTAGCATTCCTCAATAAAATATTAAGAGTTCAATGTGAATGTAACAGTCCTCAACAAAATATTAGTAGTTCAAATACAAACAAAACATAGGAAATCTAAACTGGGTGATATCAATCTTTTTGTTGGTGTTTTACTGCACTTTTAAGGCACATATTTTTGGCATTTTTTTTATGAAAACATTGCATATAGAGGTCTGCTTAGTAAAATAGATAGCTTTCATCACTATGTGTGGCTAGCATCTAGTCTTCAGTAGTTGTATTATCAAAATGTGTATAATGCTTGTTAACAAGAAACTATAAAACAATTGACATCAGGATATGTATTTATTATGAAACACGACATCAAAGATGATTTTCTGTTTAGATTGATTGTTTGATTGATTGGTGTTTAGCGCAACTTTCAGCACTATTGTGATATTTCGTGGCGGTCAGTTTTTATTGGTGTAGGAAGCCGGAGTGCCCGGAGAGAACCACCGACCTTCGGTAGGAAAACTGAAAATCCTTGTCAATTGATATTGGAGTCGAGCGCACCTGCCACGTGCGGGATTAGAACTCACAACCTCAGTGTTGACAGGCTAGTGAAACAGTAGTTGTACAGAGGGGAGAAACGAAAGTTAAATAGATGCATTAATATTTCAATTACTTTTATCATGTTTTTTATACATATTTCACGGTAATCTGTGAACATTTCGCATCAAATTTTATATTTTCATTTCTTCCACAAAACAAACAGCGTAATGCACACATTAACCGTATTGTATCCCCATTTTAATTTTTTCAGCTGAGCTAGTTGATGACAAGAGCGGCAGACCTTTAGTCAAGTATAACGATTAAGCATCTAGGTATATAAAAATAATAATGTTGTCAAATTGAACAGTTTTGACCAACTGGTTACTCGGATAATCTTTCGACCGATTAACCGACCGATTAACCGGTTATTCGGTAGCTAAATTGAATTGTTCCTTATCCACAGTACTCTACAAATGCACAGTTATATGACACAATGGATTGAAGTTTATCCTTGGGCATTATAAAGCCTGGCTTTGAGCTTTCCTGGTGAAATTTTGTTTTTAATAATCCAATACTACCATATCTACTATGACGTTTGTAATAACTTCAGATTATGAGGATTCACTTTCTTGATCTCGGCGAATTGACAAACTTTAGTCTGAAACCGGTGCTTGTTTAATTTTCTCTGGTCTTACAGAAAATTCTGTGGAGTGTTTCAATTTGAGATGATTTAGCGTGTTACTCGTACCAACCAGTATACATTAACTTCATTTGCTTAATTTTCTTTTCATCGTTTTTTGAGTCGGCACTTCGTTTAAATTATGACAAAGCCTTGTACAATGGAGGTGGCATACATACATGCAGGTCTTCGAAATATTTAATAAAAGTAATTGTGAAATTTAATCAGCTTATAAATGTTCAAAGTTCTTGTACGCTTGTTTAAGTTTTCTTTAGAACTTGCCCCAGTCTTATAGACGAGTGGTCTTTGTGCTAATTAATTTTGTAAAATTGGAATGTTTTCAAGGTTAAAAATAGTAATCAATATACTGGACAATTGATCTGTCAAGTTAAGTAGCACGACGATAATTTTCAGATCCAACAAAATTAATAAATGATTTCAATACACATTTACATCAAATCTATTAAAATTGAAAAACGGTCCTGTTAACCGGTTAGGGTTTTTCGTATTCGATATTCGGTCCTTCCGACGGTTAACCGTTGACAACACTAAAAAAATGATGAAATACTTTTAGAATATATAAAATTCAGTGTATTCAACTTGCAAAATAAAAGTATCACTCACCATGTATACTTTTATCCTAAATCAAGAGTAAGTGGAACAACATATTTTTCCTGAATGGATCAACATATTTAATATTTAAAAGTTATTTGAAAGACGACTTTATAAACAAAAATGAAGATTTGTCCAAAATGTTCAAATTTTATTAGTAACTAGGAGTTTTGGAATGTTCTGAGTAACCATCAAATTTAATATGTTGTCGTTGCATCTGATTAGGTTTTTACTTTCATCCCTTAGCCAGAAATTCATTAAACATTTCTTTTCTCTTTGATATATATATCACAAAAAGAATGATGGTCTCAATTCTGTACTGTGGACACACATTATACAAGACTCCTTTTCAAGAGTTTCTAGTAACGTGAATGTTAAGATTTGCCATGGAACCTTTTCTTAAGAATCTTGCAACAATGCTGGTACAGGAAAGGAAAAGTATTGTAAAGAGTGGTGTACTACCAGCAGTGTAAATGCGATTTCACTTATACACAGCTACTTTAGTACAAACAATCTTGATGTACATCTGATTAGATTTATACTCTACATTTGAAAAGAAATATATTAGCTGTTTGTAATTGCGTATGATTTTTTAAATTTTTATGGACTATCAACTTTTGGATTTACCTTGGAGTTCGGTTTTTTATTTTATACATTCATACATCTTTATCGGTATACAGTATATATACATTGTAACCGCTGTACTGTGTATAAGCATCTCAACAAATTTTTATGCATCTTAAGAAATGTTAATCAAGATTGCTTGTACTAAAAAGAGCTTAGTATTCTTTTAGTTCTGTACTCCAAAACTGAGGCAACAATTTTATTAGAAAGATCAATTGAAATATTCAATTTCCATACTCTTAAATAAAATTTGGTACGGTAAATAGAAAACAACATGTTATTAAATATTCATGCGTCCGAAGCGTTTTTCTAGATTTACCTCCACCAGGAACGCTCAAAGCCGAATATTTGAAAGCCGCGGATGTATAAGAACCAAAACAGTTGAAGAGTAATGTTCTTATAGCTATCACGAAATAGATGATCGTTATAATATCTCAGTTTCTCAACTTTTAAAGAAATAAATTATCATACTGTCAAATACTTCACGTCCTCTTATTTATTTGATTGTCTATATAACATCATCTTAGATTGATTGTTTTCATAACTTGATATTATATTGCAATAATTGATTCAACCATAAAAAAACATGATTTACTTGTTTTTGATTTAGGAAGATATATTGGAGTCGTAAAAAAGATTGTTTTGGTACAAATATCATGCTTTGATCCCGCCATTGAACCTTTAAAACTTCCATATCTGGCAGCACATGTTATTTTTTTTTATTTTGTTGTCATATCGAATGGATAATTATTTCTTCCGTTGGGATCTAGAAAATTAGTTGATCATATCTTTATATAAAATTTAAACTTTTAAACATGTACTTTCAGGAAAAGAAATCATGCATCGTTGTATATGACTACCAAGGATATCTGTTCTTTGAATGTGACCTTTGAACATTTAAAAAGGATTAGCCATTCAAAATTCAAAACAGTTTCTTAAATATCTTTTCTTCTTGATCTCTTACGTTTTTAGTGTTTTGAATTATTTATACATTAAACTTCTCATTCAAGACAATATACTAGTATCAAACTTTCCATATAATGAATGACGACTGTAAGTATTTACGTTTTCGTTATATATTTACTTCTTAGATATAATGTATAGTCGGTTTTAACTTATAATACATATTGTATTGTCACTTGTTTGTTTGGCTATAATTTTCAATATATATTATATAAAAAAAACTCACCAAAGATACCAGGCTGATAATTTGGTACACTAAACGCGCGTTACATCTACATAAGACTCATTAGAGGTGCTCGTATCAACGCAGTTGGAAGGCTAAATAATAAACGGACTTGGAGAGAATTAAAACCGAAAATTCCTAATAATCCTATTAATTCCTAATACGGCTAAGGCAAAATAGATATTAGGGTAGAAAAACCTTAGTGTTTCGAATTATTCATAATTTTATGAACAATAAATTTACAGAAAAATGGAGATATCAATGATATTTCATGTCAATGCAATAGTGCTGGCTACTAGGCTGGTGATACCCTCATGGACGAATTGTATATCAAAATGGTATCGATCCACTGACTATAAAACTCATTAAAAGATACCAGGCTTATAATTTGATACGCCAGACTAGCATTTCTTCTACATAAGACTCACCAGAAGCGCTCGAATCAAAACAGTTTGAAGGCTATGAAGGAAATAACGAACACGAAGAGTATTTAAGTCAAAAATTCCGACAAATTGTGCCAAATATGAATTTGGCAAACTATGGCCGGGGTAGAAAAGTAATTGAACAATTTCAAACAGTAAACATACAGAAAATAAACATATCAATGTTATTTCATTTCAAAGCAAAAGTGATGTCTACTGGGCTGGTGATACCCTCCGAGACGAAGCTTAGGCTTCTTAAAAAGCTCTGACGTGTAAATATTCTTTTCTAAAAATGAAATATTGGTCAAATAAAAATCAGTGTCAAACAAAATAACTAAAAAACAAAAGAAAAAATCAACCACTAGGTGGATTAAGAATAATTTGTATTCTGTTACAACAAACTTTTAAGCTTAAACATTAATGGGAATGTTCTTAAGTTTTGTATTTGATTTAGTTTTCAAATACATTACCAATAATAGTATTTCCCAAATTACAGCTGACTTAAGTTTATATTCTGTGTTTCTTTGACAAGTTTAACATAATTTTATTCACAAATGAATAATATTTTAAAAATTTTATGAATCAATATTTATCAAAAATATTCTTTTAGATTTAGATATTTGCATATTCCTCAGTAATTCCTTCGGATTTAAGCGTTCCATGCAGTATGTTTTTTTTTGTTTAATTTTCCCAGCAATATTATTTATTTTTCTTCGCTTGCCTTTTAAATATGGTACTGAAAACTCACGGTTTCATACGTTAACATTAAATTGTATTTATGTTAATTCTAAAAATAAAAATCATTTTGTAGTTCTGTATACGTGAAACTTCCAGACTTATGTATGCATGGATAAAATAAGAAGTATCTTTACGGAAATGCCTAATCTTATTTTGAATGAGTTTTACCTTTATATTGGAACCATACTTTAACACATTGACTTTTTGTTATCATGACACACGTGATATATTGGTTACATACAGTACATTGTCAGTAATTTAGTGCTTTAAATAAAGGCAACAGTAGTATACCGCTGTTCAATAGTCATAAATCGATTTAACTGGAACAAATCCGGGTCACAAACCAAAACCGAGGGAAACACATCAACATAAACGGTATGGTACAACAGACTTAAAAGAGTGGCGAAGGATACCAAAGGGACATTCAATGTCCTTTATATTAAATGTCGATAAACGTTCGAAACTCTATAGTTTGTTCATATTTTGTATTTATTTATATATAATTATTTTTTACTTAATCGAGAAATTGTATTCTATATACGGTATGTACTATCAACGACAAAAAACTTTTTTTGTTGACGTCATTGTCAAATTTACTATCTGTTACACCATTTTGTGTGTCTTTGTTAGATTCATTTGTATATTTGTTTGAAGTTTTTAGTCATTTGTGTTGTATGTCTGTGATATGTATTTACGCAGTTTTGGCTGCTGGATCCCAATTATTGTCACATTAACCTATTATGTCTGATTGGGTTGCTCACCCAATTTTGTCAATATAACGGAATTATAAACAACTGTTATAGAACATCTAGAAATTGACAATGAGGGTCGGTTGAAAACAAAACTTTACGACAAAATAGATGATTTCAGCTTCCCAATTGTGAACTTTCCATTTCTTTGTAGCAACATTCCAGCATCGCCTGCATACGGAGTATATATCTCCGAATTGATACGATATTCCCGGGCTTGTATTTCCTATCATGATTTCCTTGATAGAGGATTGCTGCTCACAAGGAAGCTATTAAACCAAGAGTTCCAAATGGGGAAGTTGAAATCATCCCTTCGTAAATTTTACGAACGCCATCACGAGTTGGTTGACCGTTATGGAATAACCGTTTCACAGATGATATCGGATATGTTCCTTATGTCGTTACTACAATACCCTTCCTTTTTCACGAATATGACCTACCGAATTAGACTATGTACCGGATTTGTAATCACAAAAGCAACACGACGGGTGCCACATGTGGAGCAGGATCTGCTTACCCTTCCGGAGCACCTGAGATCACCCCCAGTTTTTGGTGGGGTTCGTGTTGCTTAGACTTTAGTTTTCTATGTTGTGTCATCTGTACTATTATTTGTCTGTTTGTCTTTTAATTTTTGGCCATGGCGTTGTCAGTTTGTTTTCGATCTATGAGTTTGAATGTCCCTCTGGTATCTTTCGTCCCTCTTTTATACACGTCAGGAGTTTGGCAGTTTTTTTTAATTTAGGACAGAAAGTCAAGGAACAAAAAGTCACAGTTCAGTTTTGAGATTATTTTCTTTGAATAAGAAAACTCTTATTTTAAAAAAAACATTTTTGTATTTTTCTTGAACTAGTGTATATATAAACCAACTTTGTAAACAAAATTTATTAAAAAATATCAATAATGATCAAATAATTGTTAAGAAAACAAAGTGTCAAAGTGGCTGGCTTGGTACTTAAACGGCGTCATGGTGCGAAGAAATATATCCTTTGCGTGATTAAAATCTAATAAATCTTCATTTATCAAGGCTAATGAACAATTTCCCAAACTGTAAAAAGAATATATGTAATAAAAAGTAAATATCTAAAGATCTTACTCTTATATACTCAAACAATTGTCAACAAATTATTTGCGACTTTTTGTCCTGTGAACTTTTGTCCTATCAAATTTGTGACTTTTCTGTCCACTTACCTAGTTTTTCACTTGTTCCGTTGATTGGTAGCGTTTGATTTTGTCAGTTTTTATGCACTTGCCTTTTTGAATTTGCCTTGGAGTTGTGTGTTTTTGTTATACTTTTTTCTTTAAAGTACAGATAGCGTCAGACTTTCTACGAGACCTTATATGTTCGTGTAAGGGGGAAAAGGCATGCCAGGCAGTATGCATTTGCAAGGAACAGGTCTTTCTTGCACGGATTTGTGTTTTTGTCAAAATGTAAATGAGTTGCAACAATGACATCCCATGATCATTATTTATTGGAAATGTTTTCCAACTGCTTTTGGGTTTCCTAGTTCAGTTCGTATGTGAATTTTAACTTGCTATAATTATTTTCGTTTTAATTTTGAATGAAAACAGTCACGTCTTAATTTTCAAATTTGTCATAAAACCTGCTTGCATTCATGACAGTAATGTCGAATGAACGTAAATCGTAGTTGTAACTTCAATAACTTACGCTACTGGTATCATCTAAAAAGTATCGTGAATTTAGACTTGCACGAAGATATCGTTAAATGAAATTGGATATCCAGCATTTATCATGCTTTTTTATAACCTATAGTCCAATCTCTGAAAGACCCCCTCCTAAATTATTAAAAACTATCATTCTGCATTGAAAATAATGTCTTGGTGTAAATTAAATTCACCCATTCGGGCTAATGTCCTCAATGTGTATCTAATACTAACAATAGGAATTTATTTCCAGAAAACTCGATTCCTAGAAAACTGAGACGAAATTTAACTTGCAAATGTTGTTGGATTTAATGTAATTTATTAGTAATTTCCATTAAAACGTGTTACCTTTCGAAAAAGTTAAATGATGCGTTACTCTGACGTCATGTGCAGAAATGAAACATATCTAAGTCGGATCTTAAGCATTGATGAAAATTAGTACTTTTCCAATTAACTAAACGGATTATCATTTTTGAGAAAAATCAGTGCTTTGTTTCTTTAGATGAAAATATGCAAATTTTTAGAGAGCTTGATTTAAGGCATGATGGTAACCGCTTTTAAGTTTACGACGCAAATTTTCAGAAAAAGTACACGATTCAAGCTTTTCAGTGAGCTATTAGAGTGCCATGAGGTAATTAAGTAATTCAAAATTCATCAATAGCCCTCTCTGCTGCTCAGCTACTACAATACATGTGAAATATTATTGTAAAAAAAAACACAAAACTGATATGAAAATTAGCAAAGTTAAACCTTGCAAATGTTAATTTGGTAAACTAAATATATAAGATGCAACAGTAATTTACCAATGTTCCTTTCATAAATTCATTATGAATATTCAAATGAAGATGAAATACTGAGGTCATACATAAATTTCAAACGGAGCGAGACCGGGTGTGTCGAAAGTGTATGCGTCGAATGGTTTGCACGCATCATCCTCCATGAGAATCCAGATTTATTCAAAATGGCACGAATGACACAATCGGCAAGTTTACAGATCATACACGCTGTATGATAACTGTGATGACTCGTGAGTCGAAACACAGATACACCGTATTGGTGAACGAATTTGTAAACTTTAAGTGTTATTTTCGATTGCAATTAACCGATATCTCTTAGATCAGCATACGACTAAATATAAACAAGATATGTTTTGATATCAAATATGCTATAACATAAAATGTACCTGTTGAAGGGTATGTCAAAAGTGTTTTTCGTGCGTTTAAGATTGAACATTAGTTTAGTAACCCTGGAATGATCCACTGCTAGCTGGCTGTTGGTCTGCCCAGTAGATAACGCTTAGGTATGGGAATAACATATGGTTCATCGACATCTCTGCATAATTAGTATATTTTAGATCCTTCATATCCTTAATATACCATAACTAATTTCGTTTTTACTGTAAACCTTACATATGATATGTTAAAATGCCTGCGATAGTTTTAATTCAAGAAACACAAACAAAATGCTCATGATAAATTGTAACACAAGTAGCTTTAGAATAACCCAATAACAAATTGCAAATATAATTTTTGAGTCGATTTGTTTGTTATAATATAATAAGTTGAATTCTAAATACACATTTTTTTGTTTTATCTTTGGCTAAATCTAGAGTCAGAAGAGTTTTCTTGAAAAAAAATATTTGACCTTGATTAAATACTCTGTTTGCACTTAATAGAATTCTGACATTATGCACAATATTACGTGTGCCCTAGTGTAAATTAAAATTAGAGGCTCTAAAGAGCCTGTGTTGCTCACCTTGGTCTATGAGCATATCAAACAAAGGACACTCTCCAACATTGTAGATGAGAATAGACTTCATGACAAAAATCTCTATTGTGTTGATCTTGTATTACTGATCTTTTAGTCTGTTTAGCTTCTCTCTATCTTCTTTAGTTTTTGCTCAAAACACAAAAGAGGATAACAAAAATTCCTCATTTAAAGGCAATCACTCCTATGAAGAGTGACTGTCTACTAACTATATCGGCAAAATTTGACTTTTTAATAGATCTTACCTTGCTGATCATTTTTGTGATTTGAAGTGATTATTTATTATTATAATTTAAATCATATAACTAAGGTATAACGAAAAAAAAAATGTTTCTCTCTATTAAAATATCATAGTTTTCATGATAATAGGCATACATGAAAAAAATGGTAAAATTTGTCATTTATGGGCAATAACTCCTATAAGAATTTGTCTAACAGTTTTGACGTATATGGACAATTGGTAGAGCTCATTATTCTGAACATTTTGCTCCGTTCAGATTTTCTCTATTTATAACGGTTCAAAATATAATAGACAAAACTTGCATTTTACCCCTATGTTTTAGCCATGTCGGCCATGTTGGTTGGTAGGCGGGGTCATCAGATACATTTTTTAAACTAGATACCCTAATGATGATTGTGGCCAAGTTTGGTTAAATTTGGCCCAGAAGTTTCAGAGGTGAAGATTTCTGTACACGCTAACGACGACGATGGACGACGGACGCCAAGTGATGAGAAAAGCTCACTTGGCCTTTTAGGCCAGGTGAGCTAAAAAGATGAATATTCAACATTTCCTGCTTTGCATCTTTCTTTTTTAAATATTTAAAAAAATCTAAATATATGTACTCGAAAGCATACACTTACTAAACATGTGTTATACATTTTTTGGCAGATTATAAAATATCTGTTTTACGGAAACTTTATAATTAAATTCCTGTCTTGATTCTAAACTTATATTTGACAATGTTCAAATATGATAATTTACTTCCCGCTCGAATGGAGTGACATGAGGTGAAGGTAAGTTGTTTAAAAACAACATATGTAAAAGATAATAGCGTAAATAATGTAAATCATCGAAAAGCAAAATCCAGGTTTCCATAAAACGAAAAAGTTGATTGGTTTATAATATTTTGTAATGGATATATTATTTGATGATATCGATTTTGTATTGTTTCAATTTGTTACAATGTGAAGCTATATATAGTTTGTAAATCAAAGATATCTAATTACATTTAATGGCAGCATGGTGTAAAAAACAATATACTTGAGCTATATACTTGCGCATTTTTTACCTACATCAAAATGCAATTATGAAAAATACCAGGCTTATATTTTGCACGTCAAGCGCGCGTTTCGTATAAACGAAACGACTCATGAGGTCTGGATGGGGGGTCCTTCGTTTCTGTATACTTTAATTTTCTAGGCCATTTTTCTCTATTCTTTAATTTTTTGCCCATTATTCTCTATTCTTTTTTTTTTTGGCCTATTTTTTTTTATTCCTTATATATATATATTAGGCCATTATTCTGCAGATTTTGCCCATTATTCTCTATTCTGTAAACCCCACCCAGACCCTCACTCATCAATAACTCTCGAAGAATAAAAGTTAAAAGGCTAATAAAATACAAAGTTGAAGAGCATTGAGGACCTAAAATTCCGAAAGTTTTTGTTAAATACAGCTAAGATAATATTTTCCGGGGGTGAAAAAATCCTAACATTTTCGAAGTTTTGTAATCAGTTAATTTATAGATACTGTATAATCATATATATAAGCACTCGCTGTACTATATACATGTAAAACATTTATGGGAAAAATATCCTTAATCTTGTATAAAAAGGAAAAAGGTCATTCAAATGAATGATCATCTCAATTGGATCATGTTATTGAGTACATAATTCAATGCTTTTATATCAGTTAAATATTACATTACATGTTTTTAAAACTTTGACCTTATTTAATATGTTTAAGGACATCATTTAGTTCGTATTATTTTACTAATGAAGAAAACAATTCTGCACCGTGTGTAATTTGTAGTCTCTCATACAGATAATGCATAAGTCCGATGATAAAGGTGATAGTTAAGTATAATCATCGTAGGACGAAATTAAATCTTTATAGATGTGTATTTGTATTATGCATACTTCTCCTAAATTGATAAATCAAAAAGAAGAAAATAGTTGAAACATACATCTTATAGATATAGCATATTTTTTAAGATTAATTCTCTTATGTGTACACATTTGCGTAGCTTACGTTGAGGCAACCGAGGCAACTGCCTGATAAAAAATAAAAAATCTTTAACAATTTCCACCTTATGTAGCAAAACGATACTTAACGCTAATATACCGACTTGTATCGTATCGTTGTTGTTATTGATTCACATCCTTTGCGAATTCAAGACTTATGGAAACATTTCCCTCCACTAATCAGAAATCCCCTTTGCGGTTGTTTTCAGTAATATTAATATGTCGGAGTCAAAGAAATCGACAAAACTAAAGCAAACAGATTTATTATTTTAATCATACCCAAGCAAAATGAGTAAAATAGATGATGATAAGGTTCACAAGCCTTTACCAATCGAATATCTTCAGGCGGAAACCCAGTTGAAATTAAACAAAAGAAATGGAACTCTTTGTTAGAGAAGGTAAAAAAGGCCAAGTTGGTAAATATGAATTGTTTACATCTGTTTCTATGGGCTTTAAAAGTTTAATGAATGTGTCTTATTTAGGATTTTATGCATATTGTGTATGTGCTTTTATTTAAATTTTGGATGGGGCTTTGAAATATTTGTAAACTTTTAAATTATAGACATATTTTCACAAAACAGTCGATTGTGGTAGGTGCAAATACATGTGGATCTTTTTCGTGCATAAGCATAAATTCCGCCGAAAAAAGTTCCAAAGAAAGATAAAAGATTGATCTTTTTAAAGTATTAATTTGGATCTCTTCCCCGGCGACAGTTTTTTGGGAATTATTTCATCAAAAAGAGAAAGTCGAGTACACCTTTTTATGTTTAGGCGTGTGAGTTTACTATTCTGTCTTGAAAAAGTATAAAAGACAAATATTATATACGTTATCTCGCTTCAGATTCTATCATTTTTATATATTTAGGCTCTAGGTTGATATATTAACATTAACAATTTACAGTACTAAAAATGAAATATATGGCTCAAGTGAAATACCTTTCTAATGAGTCATACCAACAGAATAGGTGTGTTCGAATAATAAATTTTTTCTAAAAGTACTTGACGGCAGACTTTTCAAGTGGATACTACAGCTTTACTTTCGGTCTCTTTTGTCTGTAAATAGAATTCAATCCAAAAGAATTATTTGCCATATTCATACCTTATTTATTGATTCTTTATCATGTAGGTATTTTCTTGTGTTCCATGTTTTTCTAAATGTTCGCTTTATTTGACGAATTTACAAAGATAAAATCCGGCTAATTTTGAGATCAATTATTCAATTAATTTGAACGTTACAGTCTGTAATTAGATGTTGAGTTTGCCACACATGTACATGTGTAGCGTGATTAACATCTATCAAAGAAATCAAAGAACCAATTACTGTGAACCAAAATTATTCTATCGGATACTGTTTAACGTATGCAGCCCTTCTTAGCCGATTTTTTTTTATTTGTTTTCTCAGTTTTCCAATATTTATGTTGTATCTTCAGATAATTAAAAAATGGGACGAAAGATACCAAGGGGACAATAAAATTCATAAGTCGAGGAGAAACCGACAACACCATGACACAAACCAAAAAACGACGAATAAACAAAAAACAGTGAACAAAACATTGCATATAAAATAAATATAAATACAACGAGTCCTGTAATAAGTATCTAAACTTGCCTCAATAACAAGACCAGAGATATTACAGTGGGCCCTTTTATAGTTTACTATACGGTATTGGCCGTATGGCTCATATAGCCCTATGAATTTATTTTGTTCTAATAACATTAACGGTACTAGTACCAATTTTATTTCACCAGACGCGAATTTCAACAATTAATGTCTCTTCAATGGTGATCGAGGCCAAACTATTTGAAAGTTCGAATCATAATACACGCCTGTACCAAGTCAGGAATTTTCAATTCCTTCCGTTGATAGATATAGTCGGGCGTTTGATTTTGTCAGGTTTTATGGACTTCTCCCTTTTTGATTTTACCTTGGAGTTTAGCATTTTTGTTAATACTTTCTCAGACAGATAATTAGGTATACTACATCAGATGAGACTCGACTACGAAGTTTAGTTAAAATTTGGCTAGCAATTGTGAAAATCCAAAAAAAGGAAGGCTTTTCGCTAGTACTATCAAATAACTGACGCCATGCAAAGATTTTGTGGCTTCACATGCTTTGAAATAGGTGTCGATATCCGATTTGGTGGTGACATTTCTATTGTACAATTTCCTGCCGTTAATGTTTACGGTGAACACTTTTCATCAAAAATAGGAAGTTTTAAACGATGTACTCAGGTGGAAAATATTTATCTGGAAGTAATGTAAAACAAATTGCGCTTGAGTTCCCGGTCTTCCGAGCAAGTACTCGTTGCCCTCCAATTATTTTACCATTTACCAGATTTTTGTTTTATATTTATTAATGATAGCACAAACTAATAGATTGTTTATCTGTACGTTGCATTATACCTCCATTAATTATGTGCATTATCAAAAGGCTCAATATTTATTAATGAAGAATACACACAAACTCATATTTGAAAGAATTTTTAAAGTCAAACGATTTTTCAATTGACAAATTTTAAATTTGTGAAAACAAGCATGCAATAACACGTAAACAAAATGTTTATAACTAAATTGATTAAAATCGTCTGCTCAGGAAGAATTGTGAAGTTATGGGCCTTTAAATTAAGCGTTTCATTAACTTCTTTTTTAAATGTCAGATCAGGTAATATCAATTTTTCTGTTGTTAGTTGAGCTTTATCAAAAGTAGGACATGTCTGCAAAAATTACAGATATAATATTGATATTTATTGTTATTCAAATATAACTGTTAAAGTTGAAGATAAGTCAGAGAGTTCGAGGATAGAATCTTATTATTCATTGTAAATTGTCTTTCTCCGGTAAGGTAAGTCATTTGAAAACTATTCGTTAAATAAATTAATGTGATATTCAAATAAAAGTGCTATAAGTAGAATGTTTTAACATTTTATGATAATGCTTGATGTTTTTCGTACGGTAGGCAATGATTAGATACATAAATCATTTGTTATGAGCATAAAGTTACCACACAAGTTTTGACAAAATAAAGTTCATACAAAAAACAACTAAATTCATTCGTTTATCTTTACACTTTATGAACGGATACATTAAGTATATAATTATATATTCTTATCTCGGCCTTATTCGGATTTTGCTCGACATTATAACAAGCGTCAGATGCCTTCGAATTCTTAACTTACAATTTTTTTTAAATCTTTTTTTCTTTTATAAAGAGTTTATTGTTGATGCCCGACCTTTGCTAGTCTCTGTTAAATCTATTTAAAATTTTCTTAAAACTTTGAAATTTAAAGCTTGACAATTGTACACAAACAGTTGTCTATTGGTAAAGACCGTAACCGAAGACAGCTCGAATAACAACAATATCAATAGCAATCTTTAGATTTTCAGTATAGATAAATAATATATGACATGGAAATTAAAAATCAAATGCATTAAATAAATTATAAATCTTGCTTTTTTCTGGCTATTGGATTATTGGTATTCTAATAAATGTTTATAATCTTAAGAGAAAATAAAAACTCAAAACTTAAAGGCATAAAAATCTGTGTTATCTTTTATGATAAACTATGAGAATTTCTGAACAAGGATCTATTATATATTAAGATTATTATTGTACATGTACATCCTTGTTATGGATGAAAAGAGATCTGGGGTGTACGTCACGTCAGCAAGATAGCTGCCAAGCGACACTAACAAAAACAGAATATTCCAAACTGTAAATCGCCTCTAGTCTAAAATTATGCAAAAAGCTTTAAAAAATATATCTAATTCTGCACCCCAAAAAATAATAAAATTATTTGGAAAAAGTTTAACTTACGTTGTGTTTTGTGTTTTGTATGGAAACTTGTTTACCGTGTACATCATTTACAACGTAATTAAAAGTGTTTTGTACATCTTTACTGTTCATTAAATGTAAACATCATTTAAAAAAAACCAAACGCATAGATGGTCTTAGCCTGAATTTGCATTGCATTTTTTATTTTAATGCCCTTCAATTTTGTAATGGATTGGCCTTTTAACTGTATTGAATCGAATGTCACTAAAGATTCGTATGGAGAAGAAAAGAAAGTCTGGCGTACAGCTTGGTATCATTGGTGATATTTCCTTTACCTCATTCATAAAATGCATTATTGTCCTAATATAAATATGCATGTGATGTTGCTGGCGTAGAATTTTACAAATTAAAAAAAAACCGCTTTAACTTTTCCTGATTTCATTGGGTCGGGGATCGTATCCATGAACCCCGGTTTTTTGGTGGGGTTCGTGTTCCTCAGTCTTTAGTTTTCTATGCACACAAATTGTCGGTTTGTTTTGACTAAGAAGTTTGAATATCCCTTTGGTATCTATCTCCTCCCTTTTCCAATTCATTGATATTATGTGTAGAAATTATCTTCATATGACTTAAAATGTAGCACGTTTGTAGTATACAGAACGTATTGTAAAAGAGGCAAAATCAAAAACTAGTCATAGTAAAATGGTTGTTAATACCAACAATATTTTTGAATAGAAAATTGGTTATTTTTTGGTGGGTTTTTTTTAAATTCGAGTTTGCACTTCAAGACGTGCACAATTGTATTGGTTGATTGTTGTAAATAGTCCAATCACTAAACTCGTTTAAAGCCTTTTTCTGTAACGAAAAAGGAAAGTATGCTAGTTACACTTACTGGAAATGTGAAGATATGATTGAAGCTTTATATCTTCTCCTGGACAACATATATGTGCGTTTCGGCGAAAAAGTGTATCGACAAGTAGTAGGTATTCCTATGGGCACTAACTGCGCCCCTTTAATAGCAGATTTATTCATGTATTGCTATGAATCTCAGTTTATGACCAAACTCAGTAAAGACACGTCATTGTTACATTTAGTTGATACATTCAACAATACCTTCCGTTATCTAGATGATATTTTTTTTCGTTAAATAATCCAGAGTTCTCTAAATATACTACCGAAATTTACCCAAAAGAACTTACTTGTCATTTTCTAGATTTGGACATTTCAATCTCTAAAGGAAAACCATACTAAAATTTACGACAAAAGAGACGACTCTTCATTTCCTATTGTTAATTTTCCTTTTCTAGACGGCGATGTTCCTTTGGCTCCATCATACGGTGGTTATTTATCCCAACTCGTTCGTTATGCCCGTGTGTGTAGTGATGTTATAGATTTTAACGAACGTAATCAATGCATCACTGGTAAATTATTAAGTCAGGGATTTCGTTGCCATAAATACGTAAAACTTTTACTAAATTCTTTCATAGGTACAAAGATTTGATTAGTAAATTTGGCTGTACCTGTAGAAAACTGATTAAAAACGGTATTTCACATCCTAAATTTTACGATAATATTGTACTTAAAGCGCGGAAATCACTATGTGATCCGTGTAAACTCATCGAACCTTTAAACAAGCTTATTAGTAAAGGTTATCTTACCAATGTTGTAATTAGAGCTTTGAATATAGTTTACATTGGCACTAATATCGATTTTGTCATCAGAAATTAAAACATAACTAAATTTGTATTCTTTTCAAACGGGATGTATAAAGACACACCCACGTTCATTTTGATCTATAAAGAGGTTAACTTCTAACTATCCTACTGCCTGTCGATACATTTATTTTTGGCATTGCACAAGTCATGTCTTCTTTGACTGTCCATGACGTTAAAGTACTAAATCCCTGGGATGTGTTTTAGTTGATTTTAGTTTCTGATGCATGATTTTTTATTATTAATTGTTTTTGGCTTTTAACTAGCTGTCAGTAACTGCGAGTACTCTCAAATCGTACTTTCTTGATTATTTGACCTGTTGATACTAATTGTAATGCTATTTTATTATTTAATGTTATTCGGGGTTATATCTGGTTTATATACCAGCTTTGATAAGTGACTGGTATTACTATAAATTTTCACTTCTTCAGATAAGGGTGAAGGTTTGGTACCATTAAAACGTATAAACCCGCTACAATTGTTTGCACCTGTCCTAAGTCAGGAATCTGATGTTCAGTAGTTGTCGTTTGTTGATGTGGTTCATTAAGTGTTTCTCGTTTCTCGTTTTTTATATAGATTAGACCGTTGGTTTTCCCGTTTGAATGGTTTTACACTAGTAATTTTTCGGGTCCTGTATAGCTTGCTGTTCGGTGTGAGCCAAGGCTCCGTGTTGAAGACCGTACTGTGACCTATAATGGTTTACTTTTATAAATTTTGACTTGGATGGAGAGTTGTCTCATTGGCACTCATACCACATCTTCTGATATCTATGTAGAATAATGTCATTTTTGTCTATTTTGATACTGACTTTATCAGCAAGAATATCAAGCGAGCCCGCTAGGTCGAGCTGATATTCGAGATGATGAAGTAAGTATCAAAAACTAAAATGCCATTATACTTTTTATCGGCAATTTATCAAGCTAGTTTAGAAAGATGCGGTACCCAGGAATTCCTGGAGTCGAAATATATGATCTCGTTCCTGAGTTTCTGCGAACCTACCTACTCTAGGGGCGGTGTGAATCAAATAAGGATACTAAAAATTCGAAAGATCCGTTAGAGAACATACAATGTAACTTCCTTTCCTCTTGTTATAGTATTAAACATTTGACTTCTCTTCACTTTACACTAGTATGCCTCATTCTAAACTTAAAGATAGATTGATAAAACTAGTCCAACTTTGTTTCATAAAAAAAGAATAACCAACGTAGATGCATATAAATTGTTTTACGAAGGAACACACCATACTATGTTAAAACTAGCACTCTGATTCGAACAAAAAATTCTTTGAAACTGACATTGTGAAGATGCCTCATTATTTGATTGACAATATGTTTGTTATGTTTTGAGCTATTCTTTTCCAACAAACAATCTTATGGGAGCTAATTGGGCTCCTATTCCTGCCGATTTGTTCCTTTATTCATATTTATATATACTTCATATATGAGCTTTTCAAGAAGAATGAAAAGAAGCTCCCGTTATCCCTTAACTTCATGTTTTGGTATATATATAGATGGTGTCCTCTCCAGCAAAAATCCAAAGTTTATGTTATGTTATGTTATGTTGAACGCATCTATCCCATCAATTTTGCAATAAAGGATACCACAGATACCGGTAGGTCTACCTCATATCTTGACTGTCATCTAGAAATTGACAATGAGGGTCGATTGAGAACAAAAATTTACAAAAATAAAGACGATTTCTGCATTCCCAATTGAAAACATTCCATTTCTATGGAACAACATTCCCGCAGCGCATGTATACGAGTATATATCCCCAAATCTAGCGTTTCCTAAAATGATATTCTTAAAAGAGGGCTGGTGCTTATTGAAAGTAGCCTTTGTGTGCTGAGGTGGCGTGAAGCAAACACCAATCAATCAACAATGCAACTAGTGAACCAAGAGTTCCAAGTCCAAGTGGTGACATTTAAGGCATAGCTAGCACGAGTTGGTTGACCGTTATGGAATATCTGTGTCACAAATGACCACAGATATCTTCCAATTGTAGAAACCACAATCCCGTTATCTTTTCCTCGATTTTGACAGCATAGAATGAGACGAATTATCGGATTTATACTTGCATGAGCAACATTACGGGTGCAACATGTGGATCAGGAACTGCTTACCCGTCCGGAGCACCTGTGTTCACCCCCGGTTTTAGGTGGTGTTCGTGTTGGCCAATCTTAGTTTTCTATATAGTGTTTTGTGGACATGGTCGTCTTTTCGGCGATGTCGGATTTTCTTCGACTTATGAGTTTTGAATGTCATCATGGTATCTTCCGCCTCTTTCTTCCATGAAAGGATAGTAAATGTATTGTATGACTTAATACAATGGATTTTGATGACAATCACGTATGTTTCACCATTGAAGAAACATTTACACCTATAAGTTGAAAGAAATCTTTTTTAAAGTAGTGATTTAAAAGCCTTTTGAAATCATAAATATGACTTAAAGATCCTGGTTTAAAAATTAATAAGCCAAAAAATATCTTTTCAATCAATGTGACAGATAATCTGATAGATAACATTGTGTAGTTATAAGGCTTTAAATGATGCGTATCATACTCATTTCAAAAGATCTTAATGGCAATTTGAAATCTAGTGGTATCGTATGTTTAATTATATTCATCATCAAATCTAGTGCTATCGCACGTTTAATTGTATTCATCAAAATTGGAAAATGTACTTTACTAAGAAATAGCTATGTAAATCAGAGGATTGGAAAGAACACTTGTAAATAATGTAAGTAATTGGTTTATTCGTCGAAAGGTGTTTTCCTCAATTTTAATGTTTCTAAATCCTTCATAAAATGTTAAAAATGTCATTATCCTTAAACTATTGTACTTTAAAACGACCTTCACTTCAATGCTTGATGCCTTGAATCAAATAATGTAAAACCATTTTTTCTAATGTAAATATTATAAAAATCATAAAGTAGCTAAAGCTTTGTTTAATATTTTGTAATTGCAAATTCTATAAATATAGGTTGATACCTTTATTGTACTTCTTTATTGTTGAAGACTGTATCTTGAACTGTAGAAATTCTTGTCAAATTAAATCATCCCTCTTTTCCCAGAGAAAACTATCTCATTCAAGAAATACAGAAAACAAATGAACTTATCGATCAGATTTTAAAATTCTAAATTCATATGCAGCTAAGCAATATAGAAATATCATTGATCGAACAAATTTAAGAGACAACACGTTATTATTTTATTAATAAAAAAATTGATCTTTCATATCATTTAGGTAACACCATGTAGTATTGAAGCCTATATCGGTGGCAACCATGTTCCTTAGTTTGAGAAGTATAGTCGATGAAATTGCCACTGGACACTGCACAGAAATTGATATTTGGGACAAATTGGTACATTATTTTACTGAATATTGGGATGGAGATGAACACATATTTCAGCAGGTTTTAAACTTGTCTAGGCGACAGTTAGGGGAACAAACTCAAAGCGTCACTGACACTGCAGCATTCTTTACAGCTTTGGAAAACAACTTCAGTGACAAGAATGATTTGTTGGAATTCTTAATAAATCTTACTGGGTACTTAAATTACCATACAGAGCTAGGATCAGTCAATGTAAAACAACACTTAAAAGATTGTAGAGAGAACATAAGACGGGTTAAACGAGAATGTATAAGGAGAGGAATTTTCAGGGACAACAATTTTGTTGGTAGAGAAGTTCAAATAGCTAAGATTAAAGATGAAATTGAGAAAGGAAACACTAAAGGTATGCATTCATGATCTACTAGGGAAGTCCTGACTTCCAACATAACTTTAACTTAACTAAAGTTTCTGACCTATCTCCCATATATATAATACATGTGGAATTGTAAGTTATCTATTTACAAATGTATATTACAAAACAAATTGGTAAATGGGAGACAATCCAATTTGAACCATGTCCCATTGGTTGGCACGGAAGTATTTCCTGGGTCATAGGGATAATGACATAACTAACTTAAATTGTTAAGAAGTTATTTTTAACAGAAACGAATTTCAATATTTGCCCTTATCTTAGTTAGGGCCCCGCCTAGTGGCGGGTCGCCATATAGTGATCGGTCTGTCCGTCACATTATCGAGAACCGTTATAATTTCATACTTTATACTTGACATGTATATTAACCAACACAAGAGGGTGTGTCATAATGTTTGTACAACTTCCTAGGTCAAAGTTCAAAGTCAGCGGGGCCCACAGAGATGGCTCATATCTCAATGATGTCTAGTTTGTACTGTAGTTGTTGCTGTTTCCGTTTGTTTATTGATCTTTGCTCATTGATAAGAAAACTTCTTATACCAATAAATGTATTTAAACGTTGAGTGACCAAACATGCAGTGCCTTGTGCTATTTTAATACTCTATTTTAGTGGTTTTAATGATTTGGTTTTACTACTGCGTAAAACGGTTTAATAATTGAATGGGGTTTACTCTAGTCTAATACGTTATCATCTGAATACAAGGAAATTCGGATTATTCGCCTCTGCGACAGTACCACTACCACAAAAATAACAATGAAGAAATTTAGCCAAACACACAGTATTAATAAAAGTCGGTGTCTATCAAAAACAATTTGCAGCATACAACTTACTGGATTCCTATGAAGCTTTCGCAGAATCTTCCTTAAGTATATGACATTGTTGAACTTTCTTGCATATTTTTACTCAAATATTTTTGTATTTTCAGAAGCAATGACATGTCTATGCAAATGACTAAATGAAGTATGCATATACATGCTTTGTCTACAATGATTTTGTAATATTTATTTGATAAACTTATTTACACATTAATATTTTAGGAATACTTGTTTGTGGATTGGGAGGAATGGGAAAAACCTGTCTCGTCAATACAGTTTGTTATGAACTACGAAGTGACAAATGGAAAACCATTAAATTTGAACTAAGGTAAAAACAATTTTCAAGACAAAACTCGTGATTTATACGATATGATCAATTTAAAAAAAATTATAATTTGTTATTTAAAAAAGTAAAGCATAGTGTTAAGTGCATTGGCGAAAATATGCAGAGTAACGAACGTAAAATGCAAAACCCAAATGTAGTTCAGGTACAAATGGAGAGAACGCACAACTGCAATGCGGCAATTGGTACAATTTCCAGTTGATCTGAACTGACTAATATTGTCAGTATCATCGGACTTGCCGTGGTATGAAAATTATCTTGTCAGTTCACTTTCTCGCATAGACGGGTGAATCGCACAAGGAAATTTTTTTTCTGCAATAAGACACGAGTGTTTAATGATTTTGTCGTTGTTTCTTTAATTCTATACATTGATATACGAGGTATCAAAACCAGCTATAATTTTCATTTATTATGGTACTAATCTGGTTCTATTCCGATCTTTTATCTTTTATTGCGAAGAATTTGTTCACTCACTGTGAAGTGCTACAATTCAAAGTATGCACAACACATAAAGACTCTTCTGAATGGATAAATGCTATGAGGTCGTTGATACAAATCATTTTTTTAAAAACTGAATGGGTCTATGAATATTGTTGCTACATCAATCTTTAAAGACCCAAATGTTGCAAAACACCTGTCCTACCTCCATGACAAATATGTTGTTGTCCCCGCAGATAAAGCTCCAAACAACATCGTTTTTGTGTGTAAAGAACATTAAATTAATTGCTTGATAACTGAATTGGGTATTGACATTTCACTTCGAAACTCAACTTATACCCCCACGGCACTTACCAAGGAGGAAATCCTGGATAATCATAGGTCAGTTCTATGTTCCTTTGGTATTTCAACCAAAGATGAAGAACTGGAACTTCCATCACTGTATTGGATACCTAAACTACATAAGTGTCCTTACAAACAACGTTATATTGCTGGGTCTTTCTAGTGCTCCACGAAACCTCTTTCTAAATTATTAACATCAATTTTATCAGCAATTTAAGCCGGGCTTTAAAGTTATTGAGAAACTACCTATTCTAGATGTGGCGTGAATCAGATGTGGATACTAAAAAATTCCAAAGATCTTTTAGAGTACATACAACCTAAGACTTTTTTGTCCTTTTGAGCTCACCGTTCAGAAGGAACTGTGAGCTTTTGACATCACTTGGCGTCCGTCGTCGTCCGTCGTCGTCCGTCTGTGTAAACTATTTCAAACATCTTCTCCTCTGCAACTACCTAACCAATTCCAACCAAACTTAAGCTGAATGATGCTTTGGGTATTTAGAATCAAGTTTGTGTTTTATTTACTGTTTCGTCAGATAACATGGCTGTCATGACTAAAATTAGAACATAGGGGTAAAATGCAGTTTTTGGCTTATATCTCAAAAACCAAAGCATTTAGAGCAAATATGACATGGGGTTACAGTGTTCATTAGGTAAAGTTCTATCAGCCCTGAAATTTTTAGTTGAATCTGATAACCCATTGTTGGGTTGCTGCCACTTAATTGGTAATTTTAAGGAAATTTTGCAGTTTTTGGTTATTATTTTGAATATTATTAATGATAAAGATAAACTGTGAACAGCAAAAATGTTCAGCAAGGTAAGATCTACAAATAAGTTAAATGATCAAAATTGTCAATTGATCCCTTAAGGAGTTATTGCTCTTTAAGGACAATTTTACACAATTTGTTTATCATGTTTTCTAACATTAAAAAATCTTCTTCTCTGAAACTACTGAACCAATTCCAACCAAACTTAAGCTGAATGATTCTAAGGGTATCTAGAATAAAGCTTGTGTTTTATTTTCTGTTTCGTAAAAAAACATAGAACGTAGGGGTAATTTTTGGCTTATATCTCAAAAACCACAGCATTTAGAGCTAATCTGAGATAAAAATGTTTATTAGGCCAAGCTCTGTCAGCCCTGAAATTTTCAGATGAATTTAACAACCCATTGTTGGATTGCTGCCACTTAATTGGTAATTTTAAGGAAATTTTGCAGATTTTGGTTATTATCTTGAATATTATTAATGATAAAGATAAACTGTAAACAGCAAAAATGTTCAGCAAAGTAAGATCTACAAATAACTTCGGATGACCAAAATTGTCAATTGTCCCCTTAAGGAGTTATTGCCCTTTAAAATCAATTTTTCACAATTTGTTCATTTAGTTTGCTTACTTTAAAAAATCTTCTCCTTTGAAACTGCTGAATCAATTTCAGCCAAACTTGGGCTGAATGAGTTTCAGAATATCTAGTATAAGTTTTGTATTTTATTTTCTTGTACGTCAAGAAACATAGCCACTATGGCTAAAATGAAACATAGGGGTAAAATGCATTTCTTTGATTTTGAAGAAAATATGACAGATACAAAGAACATTTCAATGGGAGTTTTAAGCCATTCATTAATATATATTAAAAAGCAAAAATAATCATTGATGAAAGATTTAGGCAAAAAATGACAGGTGAGCGATTCAGGCTCTTGAGAGCCTCTTGTTTTTATAGCTCTTCTTCTTTTTTATAAGCTTTGGAGTTTCAAATATTTTGGCCTCGAGCATCACTGAAGAGACATTGATTGTCGAAATGTGCATCTGGTGCAGAAAAATTGGTACCGTTTATATTATTTTGCCTTGCAATAGTATTAAAACATTTGACTATTCTACACTTTACACAAGTATTCCCCATTCCAAACTCAAAGACAAATTGAAAGAGTTGGTCCTGCTTTGTTTCACAAAAAAGAATGGCCAAGGTAGATAACAGGATCTTGTTTTAGGAAGGGATAAATCGTACTTTGTAAAAAATCACTCTGATTCAAACAAAAAATTATCTGAAACTGACATTATCAAGATGCTTGATTTCTTGATTGACAACATATTTGTTACGTTTGGAGGACGTGCTTTTCAACAAACAATCGGTATTCCCATGGGGAGCAACTGTGGTCCTCTTCTTGCCGACTTGTTCTTTTATTTAAATGAGGCTTACCTCATACAGGAACTTCTTAGGAAGAAAGAAAAGAAGTAGTATCCTTTAACTTTACTTTCTGCTATATAGATGATGTTCTCTCACTAAATAATTAAAAATTTGATGACTATTTTGAACGCATCTATCCCATCGAACTTGAGATGAAGGATACAACAGATACAGTTAAGTCTGCCTCATATCTTGACTTACATCTAGAAATTGACAATGAGAGTAGTTTGAAAAAAAAAACTTTACGACAAAAGAGATGATTTCAGCTTCCCAACTTTAAACTTTCTATTTTTATGTAACAACATTCCAGCAGCGCCTGCATACGGAGTATATATTTCCAAGTTGATACGATATTCCAGGGCTTGTTTTCCTTCATAGAGGGGTTGCTGCTGATAAGGAAGCTATTTAACCAAGAGTTCCAAGAGGTGAAGTTGAAATCATCACTTCGTAAATTTTACGGACGCCATCACGAATTGGTTGACCGTTATGGAATATCCGTTTCAAACATGACAGCGGATATGTTCCAATTGTCGTAACTACAATCCCGTTCCTTTTTCCCCTAATGTGACCTACCGAATTTGAATTATTACCGGGTTTGTACTAACATGAGCAACACGACGGGTGTCACATGTGGAGCAGATCTGCTTACACTTCCGGAGCACCTGAGATTACTCCCAGTTTATGACGGGGTTCGTGTTGCTCAGTCTTTAGTTTTCTATGTTGTGTTTTGTTTACTGTTGTTTGTCTGTTGGTCTTTTTCTTTTTTTTAGCCATGGCGTTGACTGCTTATTTTCTACTTATGCGTTTGAATGTCCCTTTGGTATCTTTTGCCTTTCATTTAATATTATCAAATCAAAATCGAAAAGTTAATACGCTCAGCAAACGTCATGATTTTTTGACTAGGTTTCTGGTGACAAATAAAGTACCTGACATTGAAAGAGGCAAAACTAATCTGTAAAAAATCAGGCTACAAATAAATATCCGTACAAACAAAATGTTTTATACGACTATAAATCGTTTGATTCGTTCATACGGGTCGCCGTGACTTTTTATACATTTGAAATTCAAAGGTTTTTTTTTTTGGCTTCCTTGTTTGTATTACAGCAATTAAACAAGAACAGTTTGGTTACTAGAACACAAGACTATTTTGGAAGCATTGAAGTTCAATAAGGACATAAAATGCATGTTAATATTTCTAAATTCAGGGAACAAAGAAGCTATAGACATTTCCTCCGCACAACTATAAACAAATTCAGAGAGTTACGGGGGTCTAGTTCAGGCAAAGATTCAAACATAGTGAATGTGGAAGAAAATGATGTTCAAGATGAGATACTAGTTGAAGAAAATATTCTACAACAGAAACTTTTAGATTATTTCCGGAAACAGCTGGGAAATGGGGACACTGTGAGCAAAAAACGTGAGACAATTTCATAATTTACGTTTGAGGAAGTATTTGTACCTCACTGAATGTTATGATGATGATTTAAAAAACAGAATATTCAATACATTACATTTTTAACATACAGTAGATCAACACTTTCCATGCAAGCCTGTGTATCTGTCTGGTTTCACTGATCAATTATAAGACCACTGTTTATTTTTTATTCCATTTAACAAAACATTTGATCAATATACTACCAAGATCATTATTGTGTGAACTTTCATTTCTTAATATTTGTCTTTTCTTTATAAATGAAACTTCTTTGTAAAATTCATTCATAAAATAAAAAAATCTTGACAACAAATCTGAAAAAATCTGAAAATTGAAGACAACATGAGAAATGAGTTCCTAATAACAAAAATTATCTAGTTAATTGTACTGTAATCATTCCTAAATTTTCAGAAATATTAATGTTTGATAACATTGACGATGTAACCACGAATCCTGACGAGAAGACAAAGCTTTTAGCATTTTTCAAAACTCTACTCGAGATGATGCAAAGCAGGAAAAAATGCATGGTATGTTATTGATAGTGTTTATGATTTTTGGTCGATTTGAATGATAAAGTAATTAATTATATTCATGTTTTAAGAAAACCAAATAAGGTCACTTACTACGTTGGAGCTGGAAATTTTTCGTTAGAACACTGCAAATTTCCTTCGTATCTTTACATTCTTAATTTATATAGATCATTAAATATCAACTTTTACTTCTGAAAGTGCTATTATTTATGAAATGTTTCATTTAAAAAATATGAGTTTGGTAAGATGTGTTCGAAGTTATTTTACAATTCATTTTCTCCAATTACAGATGAGAATGATTATTACTTCTCGGGATAATTTTCTGATGACAACTGGGCAAGATATGGTACATAGTCTGGTCAAAGTTGAAGTAACACGTTTGGATAGAGAAGACGCAAATAACCTAGTGAGAATGAGTACAAAACAGGTACCTTTGCATATCTTTTTATGTTTTTCATAAATTTTTTATGATATTTATGGTAAATTTCTAACACGCAACTACAAAGGGAAAAGTATTGGAAGTCAGTTGAATCAGTAACAAAACTATGAAGTCCACATTCACATTAATAAATACACTCATCATAGATACCAAGATTAAAATTTTGTACGCCAGACGCGCGTTTCGTCTACAAAAGACTCATGAGTGACGCTCGAATCAAAAAAGTTAAAAAGGCCAAATAAAGAACGAAGTTGAAGAGCATTGAGGACCCAAAATGCCTAACAAATACTTAAGGCATCATACAGTTCTCTTTTAATTATCCAGGAAAACCTTTTTTGGAATTATAATTCAAATTATAATTCATAATTTGAATTATAATTAAAAAAAAACAAGAATTTCCATAGGGAAGAAGGATAATTGATTTGTTGCAAATATAATAATGACATAACGACATGGATAATATTACTTGATAAATTCATATCTATTGATTTTTGGTGTCCCTTTTTTAAGGTATTCAAATTTCATCTTCTGCTATCCTATCATAGAATATTAGTTTTAATATTCTAAAATTTAAGGAAAGAAACAATTCTACAAAAACAAACAAAAAAATCAGATTGCTCGTACAAAAAAAAAAATAAATCCAAAGAATCGAAATAAAAACAAAAAGGAAATTGAGCTATTTGACATATCTATGGCATGTTTAGATAAATAAACATGTTGTTATAGTTACCTTAATACACAGAACTCGAATCATAATTTAAATGGCAGCTCAATCCTAACATTGATTCACTTTTTATTTTCAGTCCAACCTTGAGATAAAGCAAATTAACTTCATTGTTCGAGTCTGTGAAGCTTGTCCACTGGCGCTTCGAGTTATATGTGATGCAATCAATAATGCCCCCAACATTGACAATCTGATAAAATTTCTAGAAATAAGAACAGAATCACTTTCAACATCTGTTTTAAGTATGACCGATTGTTTGAATCAACCGTTTAAAAATCTTGGTGACCACAAGTATACTCTTTGTAAGTTGTCATTGTTCGGTACGTCCAAATTTAGCCTTAGATCAGCAGCCATTATTGACCGAAATGAACAGGACATAGATAAAAGAAATGAATCTGAAAGTCTTGGTGATTTAAAGATAACTCTTCTACTTTTTAAAAGTCGACATCTTATTGAAATTGAAAATGAAGTGGAGGACGAAAATTGTACAGAAAAGTTGCAAAACGAGTCTGAAGTCTTAATTGCTGACCAAGAAATATTTTCACTTCATCCGTTAGTATACAAGTTTTTACAAGAAAAAGAGCATGAATCAGATGTAGCACAAGCATTGGAAAAGGCGAAATATAATTACTTAATACTTTTTGATGAGCTTGTTATGAACATTGGTCAAGAGTATGATATAAATGTATTAACTGCAAGAGAAAAATCTGAAAAGTTGAAAGTACACATTGCAAAATATATACAGCTTATGGAAAGTTACGAGAATATATCGAATCTTCCAAATATGCAAGGTTTAACATCAACTGAGGATACAAAACACAGAAACAATGTTGCTCTGATGATCCTTAAACCGGAGCAACACCTTTCTTTTATTCAGCAGATGAGCTGCAAGAACTGGTCTTATCCTTTGATAAAGGTTTCATGGGAGGCAGAATACGTGACAGCTATGATTAGATATGACCAACCAGATATTAACATTGACAACATATGCAGCGATATACTTAATACGATTAATAATATTTGCAGTAACGACTTGAGTGATACGGAGAAGTGGCAACTTCTTATCTTGCATGGTAGAATGCTTTACAATTGTGGTCGTCTTAAAATGGAAACTGACTCGAAAGAGTCTGAGATGTATTTTAATCAAGCGGAACATATTTTTAAACATAAAGAGTTGCGACATAAGCAAGAGCGTAAGAAATACTTAGCAGATATTTACAACTGCTTAGGATGTGTATATTATCGACTGTATGAGACTGAAAAGGCTATAAATTTCCACAAGAAGGCTCTCGACAGTCAAAATAAAAGTCACAGTCAAAATGAAAATACTCTTGCATTCCTTGCAAACATTGGGGCTTGTCATTTTCGACTTGGAATACAACACTTGCGAGATAAAGAAAAAGAAAAATGTGAACAGGAGATGAAAAAGGCACTAACGTTTTATAATGATAGTATAACAGTAGCCGAAGCATTGAAAATGGACAGAACTGATATTTACTTGAAGAAATTGAAGAACAGGGGAGATGTTCTGACTATGCTTCATCAATATAAAGAGGCAAAGAAAGACTATCAAGAGTGCTTGGACATAGTTAAGACATTGTATGTTTCACCAAGTCGTAAGGAAATACTCTCTCTTCACGCTCAAGGAGATTTGATCCGAAAGATGATTGCAAGTAAAACTAGAGGTACTTAATTATCTTCTTTTTAAATCATCATTATTAACGAAATAACTAGGCCTTATCTTTTCATAATTTCTGTTTTATCTTATTTGTATTAGATGTTTCATTATCTCAATCAGTTACAACATTATAAAAATAAACCAAGCTTTTTCTATTTCTTGAAGCATACGATAGTTATCGTGTTTGACATAGTTATCATGATGATTTGCAGAACTCTTATATTTATTAATTGTGAAATGATTTATCACTATCGAACATTGTAGTTGTTGTTGTTGACGAATTGAGCATCGTGGTTCATTTTGGGAAGGGTTTCTCTGTTGCTCAAACTTTGCTTACCTATGTAGTTTAGTTTTTCGATTCCTGTTTTTGTCGTATGGTTATCAGATTGTGTTTTGCAATTATCTTCGTCTTATCGTTTTAATTAATGCAAATTATGTTCTTATTTGTTTAACTTACGTGAAATTTGTTCAATTCATTTTTTACTTTTGATGGATTGACGAGATTTGAACATCGTTAATTATGGTAAACTACTGGTGTCTCTAATTATCGTAAATACAGAATATATTTTCTGAAAATTTTCTCACGTAATATTATATTAAGGATTTCCCATAGCAGATCAATTATCTTTTAAGTAACCCTGTTCGGGTAAGTTTCAACAGTATAAACAACAGTTCCAATCTTATTTTGAAGGTTCTTTTTCGAGTGACGTAATGGACGAAGAAAGAAATCAAGAAGAAAGGTACAGCCTGGTGGACGAGGGTTTAGAAATATATGAAAAATTAAAGAACATGTTAAACAGTGAAATTTTCCCAGGCGACCACGAATCATTTAACAAAATAAAGAAGAATCATTTATATTTCTTGAAACAGCAACATGAGGCTTCAAAATTCGAAGACACAGAAAAATTTTACTCGGTAAGAGCGGTTTTAATTTTGTCAATTTTGATAATCAAGTAACTTATCGACTTAACATACCACAAAATTCATATGTAAATTTTTTAACACATTTCCAAAAAAATAAGGTTATATAGTTGGTAAGTCCATTGATACAGCATGTAACTATCTTTCAAAAAAGTAAAATAATAGGTTACCATACCAACGACTATAGTGGACATTTTTGAGACATGTCAACATTCAAAGGAGAATATAAAATACAAGAAATTATTCCTCCGAAAAAAAAATTCTTACACATTTCGAACTAAGCTTCAAGATGGATATAAGGTAATCTAAAATGGTCAATTTATCTAATTTACATTGGAATCGGTCGTGCTTTTCTTTTCCGACAATGAGTGAAAGTAAGGAAGTCGGTCTGGATAAAAGGACGCTTATATAAAAAAAAATAGAATACGAAAGTGTGTGTCAACCATTTCAATTTATATATTCTTTACTTTTAAAAGAGCGGCGAAATATACCAAAGGGACATACAAACTCATAAGTCGAAAATAAACTGACAACACCATGGCAAAAAAAGAAAAAGACCAAAAGACAAACAACAGTATACAAAATACAACATAGAAAACTAAAGACGGAGCAACACAACCCTGTCTAAAAACCGGGGTTGATGTCATGTGCCCCGGAATCGTAAGCAGATACTGCTCCACGTGTGGCACCTATCGTGTTGCTCATGTAAGAACAAATGCTATTCTAAGTAAGACAGATGATATATTTTTTACTTTTACAAAAAGCATTGAAGATACCTGCTATTATAAATGCAATTCTAGTTTCAAGATGTACTTCTTTTACTACACGTCTTCAAACTAAAGTAATCTTTAAATTTGTTAAAAAGACGCGAATAATGTCTACACTTAATTGAAAAATATTCACGATTGATGAATTAATCAAAGGATTTGAATACATAGGCGTACCTGACAAGAGGTCTAGATGATGATACAGATTCATCTATGTCGACAAAAAGCAGCAGCACAGATTCGGGTGAGGGTAGTGGAGATGAAACTGAACCTGAACACAATTCACACAGTCGAGGTTCAAGTATATCACCCCGGCATTCAGAAATAGAAGACGAAGGAGCAAGCAATGAAATTAATATTCACGGTAATATAGTTGACCAAACCAGCTGGATGATAAAAAAGAAACAAGAATTCAAATTGCCTTTACGAGTACCTGCAAAAAGAAGTGCTGATGAAATAAATCGGTCTCCACAGAAAAGAACATGTCGTCGCGCGTCAAGTTCTAGTTCAGGTGTCTCAAGTATGGGAAGTTGTACACCAGACGTAGAAAAGGCTAGTTTAGGACAATTCAGAGAATCTCTTCAATCAAGTCACGGGAGTTCATTCGAAGATGATGTATTTCCAAAAACAAAAACAGAGAACAGTGACAGAAAAGAAGCAAAAACAGATCCTGGATGGGTTGAACGAAGATCTACATTATTGTCATTCGGCTCTGGTTCGTTGGAAGAAAGTACAGTGGTTGATGAAGAAGTTGTACCAAAAAAAAAGAAACGGGAATTAGAAACAAGTAAGTGGTTGAAAAATAAAGCTATACCACAATATTGAAAATCATGCTGATATTCATGATTATCTAATTTTTGACACAATTATAGTATGAATATCTATATATGTATCTATAACAGCCTACCTCTGTCTAGGTTTAATGCGTTTAACAGGAGTAATTCAATTTATTTGTTACTGGAATAATTGAAAGTTTTAAACAATTCTTTCACTGAAACTTGAATATAACCAAATGAATCTAGACGTTACCTAAAATAACTTCCTTGGTGTATTATAAAGTAAAAAATGTTTTACACAGATTTTCTAACAGTTGAAAACATAGTTTTCATTTTGCATGAAATGGTAGAAAATGTAACTGTAACTATTTTTGTCTTTATTTATCTGTATTTGTACATTTAACTTGTTCTTCATATTGTATAAGCAGCATTTGGTACACCAGCTACTTTTGATGAAACCTTGTCCTCTGCAAAATCTTTGAAGAAGCAAAAATCGGAAGATTGGATGATAAAAGAAAAATTGTCTCCATTTTTTGTAGACAGACGGAAAGACAGTAGTTCCCAGACAGATTCAAGAAATATAGGTTCGTAATTATAATTACACACGTACGCCGTTAGAACACCTTTTATATGAACAAAATTGGTATATATATTGTTGTAAGTGAACACCAAAAACTACCATTAAACAAGCCATTTTTTTTAAAAGCAAATGGTAATTGTTAATAATAACTTTGAATAAGGCAAACTTAATATGTTATCAGTATCAAAATGTAGTATATTAATCAATTCCATGCAATTATATCATAACCCGAAACAATAAACGCTTAACACACTATTCATATTAAAAGACACTATTGCATATAAGTTTATGGCAATATCCTTGCCTTAAATGCTTTACACTTACTTTCTAAAAACAGCTGGCTGACTAAAAACTGAATTTTGCAGATAACATAGTTGATGAATTAGAAGATTTGATTCACTCTGTGCAGCCAAGAATGAGATCTCTAATTAGAGATATAGATTCACGAAAAGGTATGTGTAATCAGAACATCGTATTCTCCATATATTTTGAAAATGATAAATAAATAATAAATAATAAAAAATAGTCATCCAATTTCATTTCCAAAAGTTGACTATTTGTACGCACTTCCAAGGTAAGAACAAGACTGCTGTTATGATTTTAAATTATCTTTATTGCAAAGGAATAATATCTTCTAAAACTAAACATCACTAAGCTAAATCTTGAAATCGAAATCAAGTCAAGATGAACTATAACTTACCTGCTACTAAAATAAATGAAGATTAAATATCTCTTTTCAGCACGACTAATTGATGACATAAATGGAAGACCGACTATTCAGTACAAAGACGAAGGTTTCTTGTAAGTCCGATTTATATATACTTATTGTACACATATGTATTCACTTTTAATGGAAAAAATAGATCAAAAGCATTTTGTATCTAAAAAAAATCACCAAAGATACCAGGCTTATAATCTTATACGCCATACAAGCATTTCGTCTAAGCAAGACTCATTAGTGACGCTCGACTATAAAGTAAAAAGGCCAAATACAGTACGAAGAGACCGTGTTTATTTATTTTGAAAACATTTCCATTTCCTTTTACATGTTTTATAAATAGAAATTGTTACACGCTATGCATTTTTCAATTGGCGACAAGCCAAAAGCAAAAGTTTTCTATTCCTCCCTAAGAATAGTATACAACAGAACATGAACAACTTAATGCGAGGAAAACCCTAGATTCATATTTACCAAGTCATTTTATATATTTACCTGTGTCTTATTTCAGTGACGATACTGGTTCATAAAATCAGGTTGTGGAAGATAGAAAATGGAAAACTATCGTCAATTTACGAAATTATGATCGGTATGAAATGTTTTGATATTATTTAAACGAATTGTATTTTTTGTGTTATTTATTATTTACTAGAGAATTGTTGAAATCTATCGTTCATCAGAATGTTAAATTTTTTAAAATTGTAAAATTCACACACACTGTTCTGGAATGTATTCTAGTCACGTCAATGGCTGCTATAAGTTAAGACGCTGTATGCATATGCTTACAGACTCAACAAAAATGTGTGTTCGAAACAAATACATTATTTTTCTAGCAAATGTTTTGATTTAATATGACATGACTACATTCCAGAACAGTGTGTGTGAATTTTACAAACGAAGATGTTGAACAATTGCAATTGATTATAATTTTTATATATATTTACATCATCAAAGATATTATAAATGTTTTACATTTTAGAAATGATCTCCGCAAAACGATTTATATTACCTTTTTTTTTATCCCCTTGTTTATTACTTGAATTTCGTTTTTTTTTTAATCTCCACAAAAACTGTGTACAAATATTTATACACATATATTTTAAGTGCTGTTAAAGAGAATGTCACAAATACTCATTTTTGATATATTTTAATATAGTGACAATGTTTTGTTATAAGTAAATATATGTGTAGGACACAAGGTATGGTGGTATGTCACCCTTAAAATGCGATGGTTATGGTTTGGTAGACTGTTTGTGATTTTTATCACTAAAGTGTGACTCGCTGAAATTTGATACTGTCTTCCAGCTATCACATTGGGAAAAAATTTATATAACTATATATGTCTATGCAAACTTCAGTACGATCAAAAAGTAAAATCACAAAAATACTGAACTCCGAGGAAAATTCAAAAAGGAAAGTCTCCAATCAAATGACAAAATCAAAAGTTCAAACACATCAAACGAATGGATAACAACTGTCATATTCCTGACTTGGTACAAGCATTTTCTTATGTAGAAAATGGTGGATTGAACCTGGTTTTAAAGCTAGCTAAACCTCTCACTTGTATGACAGTCGCATCAAATTCCATTACATTTACAACGATGCGTGAACAAAACAAACATACACAAAGGTAAAAATGTCAAAAATAGGGGTACAGCAGTCAACATTGTGTTATCATCTTAATCACTATAAAAACAAACAAATGTAACGAAGACGCACAAAAAGGCATACATCAAATTTAACATCCTCATTTTGCTTATATTATACGATTTTATTTATCTATGTAAAATCAACCCATAAAGGATGGAAGGTTTTAAGTACTGGCGTAAAATCGCGCGTTTGAAATTCGCACAGGTAGACATAAAATAATTTTGTCGTTCAAAGTATGACGGGATAATCATTAAATAAACATAACAAAGGAAAATCAAAGTCTACAATGGCAGACCATCCACATCATAACTCTTTAAAATAATTAAACAAACTGTCACAAAAATTATACTTTATTACATGTGAATCATGTTAACTTTTTAATATAATGATATATTTATAGAATCATGTCTGTTATTAAAGACGTTATGTTGACCTCCAGATGTCTTTTGGTTATTTCTGTTGCTGTCTCATTGACGCATACCCCACATGTTGTATTTTTGATAGTACCGGCAGACAAACCAAGTTATGTATATTAAAAATAAGTCAAATCACTGTCACAAACATGGACTTTATTTCATGTGAATCAAGTGAATTTAAAATAAAACGCACATTTTGTGTAGTGGCTTTGTGCATTGACAGTGACCGTCACATACATACCTGTTTGTATGCTGTGGAAAATTAAATCCTAAATTTGTTATTGATTTTAAAAATATTTTATGGAATTTCGATTCATTCCACCATCTTTTTGTCAGCTATTGTACGTTTATAGAAAATCAAAAGGTTTACTTCAGACAAATTAATTGACCCTAAATGACAACGTAAACAATCCATGTAAATTGTTCTTGATTGGGGTCATTTGTTTTGCAATCAATGAATATTCCTTCTCCAAAAAAACGCTTACATCATCCTCATCATTTTTCTTTGCCGCAACGATCGGAAGTTAAGGTCCCACTGCAATTACGTTGCTAAGGCCCTTTCTTTTGCATACCATCGGTGACGTGTTGGCTATTGAACAGTATAACCATCGTACTTCAGCATATATAACGATCTTACTTTAACTCATACCATCTTTCTTCTGTTTGACCATCGCATTTAAGCAATTACCATAGCACTTTGGAGTCCTACATATGCGGTGTTATTGTTACAGATATTGTAAAATAATATAAAAACAAACTTGCCATTACATGTGTACTATTCCGATTTCTATAAGAGATTGGCAACTTTATTAATGTTTTTATAACACATGTGTGTAATCATTTTTTCAAATAAGGTTTAAAATTTTTGAAAATTGTTATCTTTTTTTCTTTTAAAAAACCATCGTCTGATTCTATAATTCTAGAAAATATACGTCCTTTGGAAACGATTTCATCAGGAAATTATTACAGTTAAAGGTAAAACATTAACAATTTAACAACTTTTAACGAGTTGATGACAATATTTACAATAAATTACTTTTTTCTCATTTCAACAATTCTTCAGTCTGACAAAATAGTAAAATTTCTTTCTTATAATATTTAAAATCTATTAGTGATACAAAGGTTTTAGTCTATAAAAATTGTGATTAAATTAAATTGAAATATTATCTGCCTGCAACTAAAAGATCTCAAAATTATAATAAAAAAAACACATTGTCACGTATTTAATGGTGTATTCCCCCCCCCCCCCCCCCATTCATGTTTCATAAGTTGAGAATCGTATATCTTAAGAGTATTTTTAAAAGCAGCGAGTAGTAGTTTGTTTTTTTTTAACTTGTGTATTTTATTCCGCCGATGTTCTATGATGAAATTTTTTTTTTATAGTTTTAAACAAACTATTGATTCACATCGATAAATTAAATAAATATGTAATGTAGTGGGAAAATGTTGTTATTGACATCACTGTTTGCGAGTTACATTTGATTTTATTAAGAACGGATATTTATTTAGTAAGAAATGACAGACACATATAATGTATAAGTAATAAAAAACCCAATATCTTAAATATATTAAATTCTTTTTTTTTAAAATATCATGCATATCATTTGAAAATAGACAATTCCTGTCATCTAATAACGTGTGCAATGAATGTATTCATTTTCAAATTTTGGATGTTCTTTAGATAAACCAAAAAAATCTTTACTAAAGATTATCATCATCATACATATAATACATATACTATCTGATAATTATTTTAATGAACACATTGAACACTTAAAACTTAAGTAGTGATAAAAAAAAAGACTGCAAAGTGTTGACCTTTTCATCCATGATTGAAACAAATCATTCTGCATCTATATAATTATATCAACTGTCTCTATAGAAATATTATAAATGAATGGTTTGACATTAACTAGGTTATTTGTCAAGTTCAGATCTCATAGACAAACAAAGTTTTACCTGGGTCCATAATGATTTTTTGAATATATTTGATGGATTTTTCTCATGATTTGGTTTTGTAATTTTACATTGCAAATAATACTGTGACATTGTAATGTTATTTGGTATGGTATTTTTATGAATGAAATATTTGACGAATCAATAACTTTTTGATGAAACATTAATTTTTATTTTTATTTCGATTTAAGGTGGATCATTGGTAAATATTTCCTCAGATAGAATTTTCTTATACTTTGTCAGAATGTAGCTTTTTCCATGCTTTTTCAAAAATATAATAAAAAGTATGGGCCACCGTACTACTTTGCTACTACAAGTCGTGCATAATTGCCCAAATTTGCATAGATTGTTCATGAAAAAACACCTTTTTTCTGAATAAAAAGAAATCTATGAGATAGAATTTTGAAATAAAATATAAGAAGATAGGTTTTAAAATATGCTTTAAAATAATAGTAAAAATGGTGTCACCGACCTTATTTTCTTTCCACGAGTAAAAACTGAAAATTTCTCTGTCATTCCTTATAACATTTTTACTATTTGAGTTATCTCCCATTAAATGGGTAAGTTGACAATTTGATTAAAAAGACACAAATATTTGGTATTTGATAAATCAGTCTGAATAATGCAATAAATCACTTATTTTTCTTTTCCCCAATAAACAGTCTAACCCATTAATTGCAAATCCGTCTCAAGATTTGCAGACTCAAGCAAAGAACTAGACCTATTGTGAACTGCTATTTTACAATCCAAGAGCGGTATACAGTTAATCTACCTTAAAAGATAATATTAATTTGCTCCTTTTTAAAATTATATTTTGATCTCAAATTTAGTACAATGCGTTTTATACAGTTTTATATATGTTTATTAACAACATAACTTCAGTTCACATTATAAAGTATGTCTCAGGTCATTATTCACATGTCAACAAAGTTACCACTAAATCATATTCATATACAATTCACAATCAACAGTAGCAGGCAGCTAAATTTATTGGACCAACACCTTGTTGAAGAACAATTTACGTGTTTTAATATGACTTTACTGTATTATATATATTCATTTATCAAATGTAAAATTAGTATAACAGTATGCAGTGCATTAACAATGTAATTCGTTAGCAATAAAAAAATTAGAGTATTTCGTATTTTCTTTGACATTTCATCAGTGAACATCAATTGGATATATAGCTTTCATATTGCATTCCCATTTTGCTATTCATCGTTTATCCACGAATTCTTTAATTTCACCGGAAAAAGCAAATGAGACCGAACGTGGCACCAATATCTATTTACTTTGTTTTCTAGTGTGAGTTTGACAGTGTAACATAAATGGCTAATTTGACATAAGACCTTTAAAATATGGGATTGTGATTTTTTTATTTGATTCAATTGGACTATATATACACAAAACAATATTCCAAAGATCCGATGAAATATTTAAAACAAATTATAGAATTTAACAGATAATACTCATATAAAGAGTATTTTTAAAAGCAGCGAGTAGTAGTTTGGTTTTTTTAAACTTGTGTATTTTATTCCGTCGATGTTTTATGAATAAAGAAAAAAAATATAGTTTTAAACACACTATTGATTAACATCGATAAATTAAATAAATCTGTAATGTAGTGGGAAAATGTTGTTATTGACATCGCTGTTTGTGAGTTACATTTGATTTTATTTAGAACGAATATTTATTTAGTAAGAAATGACAGACACATATGATGTATAAGTAATAAAAAACAATATCTTAAATATATTAAATTCTTTTTTGAATATCATGCATACCATTTGAAAATAGACATTTCCATCTAATAACGTGTGCAATAAATGAATTCATTTTCAAATTTTGGATGTTCTATAGATAAGCCAAAAAAATCTTTACTTAAACTTATCATCATCATACATATAATACATAAACTATCTGATGATTATTTGAATGAACAAATTGAACACTTAAAACTTAAGTAGTGATAAAAAAAGACTGCAAAGTGTTGACCTTTTCATCCATGATTGAAATAAATCATTCTGCATCTATATAATTATATCAACTGTCTCTATAGAAATATTATAAATGAATGGTTTGACATTAACTAGGTTATTTGTCTAGTTCAGATCTCATAGACAAACAGTGTTTTATCACATATACGGGGTGCATAATGATTTTTTGAATATATTAGATGGATTTTTCTCATTATTTGGTTTTGTAATTTTACATTGCAAATAATACTGTGACATTGTAATGTTGTTTGGTATGGTATTTTTATGAATGAAATATTTGACGAATCAGTAACACTTTGATGAAACATTAATTTTTATTTTTATTTTTATTTCGATTTAAGGTGGATCATTGGTATATATTTCCTCAGATAGAATTTTCTTATACTTTGTCAGAATGTAGCTTTTTCCATGCTTATTTCAAAAAAATAAAAAAAGTATTACTCACCGTGCTACTTTGCAAGCTACAAGTCGTGCAAATTGCCCAAATTTGCATAGATTGTTCATGAAAAAAAACACTTTTTTCTGAATAAAAAGAAATCTATGAGATAGAATTTTGAAATAAAATATGGGAAGATAGGTTTAAAAATGTGCTTTAAAAAAAATAAAAAGTAAAAATGGTGTCACCGACTTTGTTTTCTTTCTTCAAGTAAATTTCTCTATCATTCCTTTATAATAATTTTATTATTTCAGTTATCTCCCAATAAATGGGTAGGTGACAATTTTATTAAAAAAACACAAATATTTGGTAACTGATAAATCAATCTGAATAGTGCAATAAATCACTTATTTTTCTTTTCCCCAATAAACAGTCTCACCCATTAATTGCAAATCTGTCTCAAGATTTGCAGAGTTAAGCAAAGAATAAGACATATTGTGAACTGCTATTTTACAACCCAAGAGCGGTATACAGTTAATTTTCCTTAAAAGAAAATATTAACTTGCTTCTTTTTAAAATTATATTTTGATCTCAAATTCAGTACCATGCGTTTTATACAGTTTTATATATGTTTATCACAAAATTAACTTCAGTTCACATTATAAAGTATGTCTCAGGTCATTATTTACATGTCAACAAAGTTACCACTAAATCATATGCATATACAATTCACAATCAACAATAGCAGGTAGCTAATATTTATGGGACCAACACCTAGTGGAAAAAAAAATACGTGTTTTAATATAACTTTACTGTATTATATATATTCATTTATTAAATGTAAAATTAGTAGAACAGTATGCAGTGCATTTACAATGTAATTCGTTAGCAATAAAATGATTAGAGTATTTCGTATTTTCTTTGACATTTCATCAGTGAACATCAATTGGATATATTGTTTTCATATTGCATTTCCATTTGCTATTCATCGTTTTTCCACGAATTCTTTAATTTCACCGGAAAAAGCAAATGAGACCGAACGTGGCACCAATATCTATTTACTTTGTTTTCTAGTGTGAGTTTGACAGTGTAACATAAATGGCTAAATTGACTTAAGACCTTTAAAATATGGGATTGTGATTTTTTTTATTTGATTCAATTGGACTATATATACACAAAACAATATTCCAAAGATCCGACGAAATATTTAAAACAAATTATAGAATTTTTCCTGATTGTGACATTTTAACTGAGTTTTCATTCGGATTGGGGTTACAATTTCTTAGCAGGAGACGCTTACTCTGTCGACGGATTCGATCTTGATGCTTTTGTAGTTTTTGTGTATTAGTTTGATTTGTTTTTTCATAATCGGTTTTTGAGATCTAAACATCGGTTTACTACTGTTGCCCTGGTGTATTCCATGACCTCGAGTCACACATATCTTAAATTCAAGATGCTGTGATGCATCATGATTTCAAAATAGACATTCTGAGTAACTTGATTTATGGTTACCATTTGAAAAATAATGTCAAAGTTCACAGCTATGATGTTTTTGTTAATTTTCACAGGTGAACCAAGTTAGACTATGTGAACTATTTGTTTTCGCTGTTGCTTAAATTTGTTTTACGTCATTTGTTTTCGGAGGAGCCAGATGTTTGTGGTTGGTGCGGTCTTTTTTTTCTCTCAAATAATTATTTTCTTTGGTAATTCCTGTAATCCTTGCTACATGTTATTGATGGAAATATTAAGACAGTTGTGAAAATCGAAAAAAAACTTATTGATTAGTGTATATTTATGAATTTGTAATGTTCCATCTTTTAAAAATATAAAATACAAAAATACAAAATTAGTTGTATTCGGTTGAATCAAAGCAATGTTTAGACAACGATAATGATAAGAATAAAAATTACTTAGTTCTTTCAAAAAAATATGAAACAAATATTTCTTTTGACGATGACCTGTCACTTAAGTGAGTGCTTGCATCTCATATAGCCAAGTGAACTTGAGATTAAGGAATTAACGAAAGTAGATAGTTTGATTCATATCTTGATTTTTCCCTCGATATTGAAACAGATGGACGACTTTGTACTAGATTCTATGACAAATGTGAAGATTTTTAGTTTGCAAATCAACTTTCCATCTACCCTCTTCCCCATCGTATGTCTTTCTCAATTGAAATGTTATTCTCGTGCATGTTCATACTTTTCGGAATTCATAGTCATATATAAGAAGGGATGAGATCCTAACACGGAAACTGCTCCAACAGAATTATGAGAAAGAATGACTTAATCGATGGTACATAAAATCTACGTTCACCATAGCGAACCGGTTGACCTATACGATATGTCTGTGTCTCAACTCACTAGTAGACAGTCTTGAATCTTTAGATACCAGAATAGTAAAAAAAGTCGTTTTATCTTTAACTTTAACGATTGTGTCCTATTCCCGATTGTGTTATTTTGACTGCGTGTGGATGTACATGGCGGAAGAGTTCATGCAATTCCCATCAGTTTTAATTGGTTTCCTTAATTGTTCTTTTTAATAGATTTATGAAATGTAAACATCGGTAAACTGCTGTTGCATAACTAAGAAGTGAACAAATCAAAACGTCAAATAAATTACAATGTTAACAAGAAGATATATAATACTTTCAAGGGAATTCATAAGGGATGGTAATACCTTGAACCCTTGGTTAGCTGTTCGTTAAAATGTTTTTAAAATTGTTTACCAATAGAATGCAACAGTATACAAAGATAGACATACGAATGAACTATTTGAAATTTAAACATTGTCCTATAATAATGATTATTTAGAAGCTGTTATTTATTTTCAAATCCATCGCTTCGAATTTGTCAGTGTCTGCTCTATTATTAAATCTTCTGCATCATTTCCTATACATAATTTCTAGCACTTCTACTGAGGAAATTATTTCGAAATAAGAGTTTTATGCACAAAATTCAGTTCGGCGTTTCGTACATCAACACATCCAATAATGGACAACATAGACATCAACAGAGAAGGCATCTATAATTTAATTAAAAATGTAAATCCTAAAACAGCATCAGGATCAGATAACATAACTGGAATAGTGCTTAAAGAAAACATTAGTACATGCACAGACATACTCACTCTTTTTTTTTTTATACAAAATCAATACAAACAGGAAAAATACCTCATGATTGAAATCACGCAAACGTAACACCTGTTTTCAAAAAAATAGACAAACACCATTATAGGAACTATAGACCAATCTCATTAATATGTGTTTCCTGCAAATAACTAGAACACATAATTCCAAGCAACATCATGAAACACTTTGAATCAAACAACATACTTTCTGACTTGCAACACGGCTTTAGGGCAAATAGATCTTGCGAATCCAAGATAATTTCACTAATTCACCAGCTGTCATCAAATAATGATAAATATATACAAACACATCTAATCATCATGGATTTCGCAAAAGCCTGTGATGAAGTTCCACCCAACCGACTACTATATAAACTAAAATTTTTGGCGTATCAAAACAAGCTACAAATTGGATAAAATCTTTCCCATCAAATCTTACACTAACAGTTATACTAGAAATAAATAAACTCATCATAGATACCAGGATTGAAATTTTGTATTTGCGCTAGACGCGCGTTTCGTTTCCAAAAGACTCATCAGTGACGCGCGAATCAGAAAAAGTTAAAAAGGCCAAAAAAAGTACGAAGTTGAAGAGCATTGAGGACCAAAAACTCCTAAAAGTTTCGCCAAATACAGCTAAGGTAATCCATTCCTGAGGTAGAAAAGCCTTAGTATTTCAAAAATGTAAAGTTTTGTAAACAGTTAATTTATAATCATAACCATATCAATGATAATTCATGTCAACACAGAAGTGCTGACTACTGGGCTGGTGATACCCTCGGAGAATAAAAAGTCCACCAGCAGTGGCCTCGACAACCATTCCTCTGACAATATACCAGTTACATCAGGTGTTCCACAGGGCACTGTATTAGGTCCAATACTATTTTCAATATACATTAATCACTTACCTGACTTTTTACATCAGAGTCAAATCAGTCTCTTTGCTGACGACAGTATCATTTTCCGACAGATAAAATCAACATCAGATTGCCTAAAACTAAAAGACATCCTAGAAAGGGCAATCAGATGGGAACAAGACTGGATAATGCAGTTCCATCTTGACAAATGTAACATACTCCGAGTGACCACAAAGAAAACACCCATTTATTTTTACTATAATATATAAAGGCAACAGTAGTATACCTCTGTTCGAAATTCATAAATCGATTGAGAAAAAAAAAACAAATCCGGGTTACAAACTTAAACTGAGGGAAACACATCAAATATAAGAGAACTACGACACAACAGAAACACAACATTAAAATGTAACACACACAGAAACAAACTATAATATAACAATGGCCATTTTCCTGACTTGGTACAGGACATTTTAAGAAAAAATGGCCACATTCTTGATTCAGTTGAAAATGCCAAATACCTCGGAGTAACAATATCATCAAATTTAAAGTGGAACAAACACATTCAGAACATGATATATACAGCAAACTAGGCCCTTGGATTCAGCAGAAGACATCTAAAAATAACCTCAGTAACCATTTAAGACCGAGCATACCAAGCCCTTATCAGACCAAAACTAAAATACTGCTGCGCCGTCTGGGACCCTTACACAACAGAGAACATTAACTCCATAGAAAAAGTACAAAGACGTGCAGCACGATACGTATGTTCTAAATGCCAATATACTGAAAGTGTTACCAACGTGCTAAACACACTTCACTGACCATCATTACAAGAAAGAAGGCATAACATGTTCCATAGAATTACCAACAACAAAATTGCCATACCATATACTGACATACTAATTAAAAGCAAAGCAAACACTAGGTCTAACCACGAACAAACATACTTACAAATTCGATACGGCAAAGACAGTTACAAATCTAGTTTTTTTTCTGCCAAACTATAAAAGATTGGAATAAATTACCTGAACCAATAGCCTGCAGCACCACCATTGAGTGCTTCAAGGAGAAACTAACCAGAGAAATTCTATTTGACACTTACAAACACATACATGCATAATCTATATCTTGTTTTTATCTTATACCAAAAAATAAAAAAAAATAAAAATTGAAAAATATTACTTACAAACATAAAAATTGAAAAATTAATATGAAATTAGAAAAATAAATTTGCAATTATTGACAATAATGTTAAACCAGGCATGCGCCAGAAAGTAATCATCAACCAGTTGATGTTTTTCTGTATATAAAGAAGAAGAAGAAGAAGAAGAAGAAGAAGAAGAAGAAGAACAACAACAACAACAACACTTAAATATCGTGCAGGCGAAGCGCTTTTCTCGGAACCCTCAAACCCAAATATTTGAAATCCTGTGATGTATAAACAGGTATAAATATTAGGGTGGAAACGACCAAAAGGACCTTAAAAGAATATTCAAATTCTCGAAAGGTCAACTTTGACGGTGAAGTTCATAAAAGTATGTTTGAAATCATGTTATTACCAAAAACACTGACTATTAAGATGATTACACTCTGTTGACTGATGTACCCCTATTTTGGACATGTTTACCTATTGTGTCTGTTTGTTTTGTTCATGCATCGTTGTCAATGTAATGGTATTTGATGCGACTGTCATACAAGTGAGAGGTTTAGCTAGCTATAAAACCAGGTTCAATCCACCATTTTCTACATAGAAAATGCCTGTACCAAGTCAGGAATATGACAGTTGTTATCCATTCGTTTGATGTGTTTGAGCTTTTGATTTTGCCATTTGATTAGGGACTTTCCTTTTTGGATTTTCCTCGGAGTTTAGTATTTTTGTGATTTTACCTTTGAAGTGATAATACCCTCGGAGACCAACA